ACTACATGTAATATTTTTGCTATTTGTGTTGAATTCTTATCTCCTATCCTGCTTTTTTTTCTAATATAGGTGTCCATAATTTGGTAACATGAAGTTTTGTATGTGTCCTGCATAATAATTGAAGAGGCATTTCTACACACTATGCAAGCCTCAAAGTCTGTAGGAAGTTTCTGGTAAAGGTTTTCTAAACTTTTCCTCCCAGGAAAACTTATAAATGGTTTCAAAGTTCTGTTAAAGTATTCTAATTTCTCCACTGGCCTGAGGGTAGGTGATCTCTTCTCCAAAGCGTTTTTCTCCCATAGACAAATTTCATGATACAAGTAGGTAAATTCATTTTTGGACACTGATTCCTGTGGGATCCTTTCTTCACTGGAAACTGGACGTTGGGAAGCAACTGCAGTAGTAACTTACACTAAGGGCAGGGATAACGAGCCCTCAACCTCACATTGCAGGCTCTACCCTACACTAGGGAAACAAGGGTCATCTGAATGATTATTTAGGAATCCTCCCTCCTGCTCATGGTCACCTTCTTCGGATTAAGAGTCTTCAGAGGGTTGGGACCTATAAGCCTCAAAAATAAAACTTAACATTTTGCTCAAGTCCAAACCCAAACTATTACTTCTTTTCAAGAGATAAACACTTTCTCTCACTTTTTATTGAGGCTGGTTTACCCCCTATCTCTGTCAGATGAATTTGAGCATCCATTGAAGTAATGTATTTAATATTCTGCACTGAAAATACAGATACAGATAAACTTTGCCATAATGTAAAATCTGGGAAAGAACCTAATGTTTATACATTTCTGAAGGGGAAAGAACCTATTGTGTCTTCAGTCCTATGGCCTGAGTGAGATTTCAGTTCTGTTGGGGAAAATTAAGCACCCAAGTGGCTTTGATAAAGTCTGTGATCTTTATAAACTGTCAATTAAAATATTTAAAATTCCCTGTACCTTACATGGCAATATATGTACAGAGATAAAACCACTGTCTTCCCAGAGATGATAGGGCAGTGTACATAATTATGGTATTTAAATAACAGATTAGAATTCTACAGCTCATCAGTATTTAAAAAATCGGTGTCATAAAGCACTTGGACAGGAGGAGGGAGGTTCAGAGAGCTCTGGGGTCAGTGATGTGCAGCCACACACAGCCACAGGTGATGAAAACAAATAGACCGTGCAAAAGTTGTTCACTCTTTCTCTCTTCCCTCACTTTATATCTGCTTTGTGTGGAAATGCCAGAACTGTGAATTCCACAGTCTGGAGAGGAGTTTATGTTTAGAGGGAGAGAAAAACCCCAGATCTTCTTTCCATTTTCTGTTATTTTGTCTCATTTTTACTCCTTTTTTTTTTTGGCTCTTTTTTTAGAAAAAAGTCTAATATGGAAAACATTATATCAGTGACAGTTTAGCTTCATATCTTGGGCTGTAAATGGCAGCATTTCATCACCTGCTTCAGGAGCAGCTGGGGTTGGGAACCACTGAAGAACTGGAGGACAAACTCCCTCTGCTCCTGTGTCCAAGCCTTTGGTGTTACCATAGTTTTTTCTCAAAGACTGGTTGGGGTTGGTCCTGAATGTTACTTTGCTTTCTTAGCTGAGAGGAAGGGTTCAGAAAGCAGATAGAAAGGAAAGAAGACCTCTTCTTTCCAAAAAGATAAATATGTCTGGGAATGGTGATGCCCAATTAGGGAATTCATCTTGCTGTGAACTGTTTCTGTGTGCATTTGTATTGCTCTTGGTCATTAAAAAAAAAAAAAGATACATTGGAAATTGAGCAGTTCTTAAGCAGTGTGAGACATCTATAGGGGACCATGGGCTGGCAGGGAGGGGAAATGGCCAGTGATGAGTACAGAGCAGCTGCCTGAGGGAGGGCAGGATGAGGAGGGAGAGGTGATGAAAAGCCAGAAGGAAACGGCCAAGACCTAGAAAGCTCAGACAACAAAAAGTCTGATGAAGTAAAAAAGGAACAGTGAATAGGAGAAAAAAAAAATTCAATTGTTTCTACAAAGGATTTTCACAGAAAATGTCTGTTTACTAACAATGACATTCTGCATTGGATTTCAGTGTAGCATCAGTCAAGTAGAATCACTTCTGTGCAGTGCATTAGGAGGTAGGAAAAGGATGGAGTGGCTTTATTGACAGGTAGGATGAGAAACCTGGAAAGTCTGGGTAGTTGTTCACTGCCTGATTGTTTGCAGTAGCTCTCTACCTTTCCCAGCCCGATGTGCTGTGGTGCACCATCGAAACAAAATCCCAGTGTTGCTCCTTATCTCCGTCAGGATCCTGGCTGCTCTGAAACGGTGGATTTCTTACAAAAGCACGACATTCTGAAAGGGTGGGATGGACACACAGATGCCAAGTTACAGCCCTATTGAGATTTTTACTCTAAAGTAAAACTGAGTTCCTCCTTTGGTACTTCAATTAGCCACAAAACAAAGCTCCAAACTGCCCCTGCAAAAGGAGCCCTGGGAATGTCCCTGTTGAGTTTGATTTGGCAGGATTGGGGCCAGGGCGAGTTATGAGTTTCTTAGTGCTGCAGAGGGAAATTTAAACTATCTTTGAATAACAAATAGGAATGTTTACAGTGTCTGCATGCTGTTTAGATAACACTTGGAAATGTTGTTTTGTCTGTCTGCTTGTTACATCTATAGCTACCTTGGTAGGTCTATTCCTGGGATTCCAAGTTCTGGCCATTTTGATGAGCCCTCTGTATCACATCAGTATTAGTTCACTCAGCAGCCTGCTTTTAATAGATACATTTCGGGGATGAGACAAAATGAAAATAAACACATACTTCGTTTTGATTCTCATTACAGCCAGTGAGAGAGTAAAAGAAATCTTACATTTTCCTGGTTTCAGGGGGAGGAATGTGCACTTTTATTTCCTTGCTTATCTGCTGACTGCACACAGGGCCGCTCGTGTGTGATGATGGAGGTTGCAACAAAGCTGGATTCTCCTCTTGGGCTGGTTTTTCTGGGCTAGAGCCGTTCTTCAGGGGAGCTGATAAGTCAAACAAGTGGTTTTCTTCTTTTCCAGGTGAAGATAAGAAATGATTACTGCCAAATTAGTAACTTGTTTGTTGATCTTTTAGCACTTACTGTTATAAACCTTCATCTTGGGCAGAAGTAGCGGTGAACAGTGATGCTGAGGTTATTCCTTCTCATCAGTAAAAAGCTACTAATGTGATCAACTCTTCTTTTCTGGGGTTTTTTTCAGATTACTCTCTGGAAAATTTCTGCCCTGAATGCCTATAAGACCACCATGGAAATCTCAGAAAATAGATTTTTCTATCATATTTCCAGGATTGTTGAGGAGTAGACGTAAAATCTACTAACAGCTTGATTTTTGAGATCCCATGGGAGTTGCATATAGATCTGTGTCAGGTTGACAGAGCATATTTATGGGAAGAAATAAATATGTGCTTATAGTTTCTGAAGTACTATTCTTGAATGCTTGAATTTATTCAGAAGTGTGGGTGATATTCTTAAAATTTTAAAATTACACTCCACACTTCCATCTCCCATACTGCACTATCTGCTGTCAATTAGAAAAACATCAAAAGGTGAAAGATTTGTCATTCAGAAATCTGCTAACCTGGTGAACATTTGAGCCCCATTACCAAAGACTTTGTCTCTCCAACAAATGAAATCCTATGTGAAATGGCTTTTGGCATGCTGGGTATGATCCAAGCAAAGAATCTTCTGTCCATTATCTGTGCTTTAGGGAATTATCTTAAACATTCAGGGTTTGTACTTTGCATTTCCCAGTTTCCCATTCTGCTTAATGGGCATGGACTAGCTTCCTTTGCAGAAAACATTTGATGAAGTGGCTTGCTTTTCCATCAGTTTGGTTTTATTTTCATTACTTTTCTCTGTAATTTGTTTATTGGTTTCTGTATCTTTAGAAAATTTTATTACTCTGTTATTCAAGCTAAAAAATAGCTAATTTTTCTTTCCCAAATGAGTTGCTTGAAGCAAAGTACCTATGAATACATGGGTATTTTAATTCACTTACTAAATGTACACAGAGAAAATTTACAAGCTGCCTTTTTACCATTTTTTAAGTGTCTGCTGACTGTTGCATAAGCTAAATTATTTACAGTATGAAGCCTCACAAAAGAGTAACAGATTTGGGTTATTTACTTTCCTGATAAGAAAAAGGGATTGAAGTTGCTGTGATATGCTGCTTTGTTAATTTTATATTTGTTCCCCAGTGTGTAAAATCTTTTTAAAGAACTAACATGAGTATTGGCAGGCTCTTTTGAAATGGTATGGAAGGAGTAAGATTAAACAAAACATGAAAAGGTCTTAAAAATATAAGTCAGCAAGTGTTTGATAAAAATAAAAGTGCTCAACAATAGAAAACCTTTAGGATGCTTAATTTATTTGCTCTCTCTTTGAGAATGGCCCCTGCACTCCATCTGGGAGTAGTTCTTGGGAGTTCTGTGTGTGGAATGATTCCAGGCTGGGTATGTTGGAACAGTGTGTTTGTACAGTGTTGGCCACTGCAATACAAAGAAGATGTGAAGCCATTAGAGAGTGTCCAAAGGAGGGCAATGAGGATGGAGAAGTGTCTTGTTTTGAAGCCGTGTGAGGGCACTGAGGGCACTTGGTGTGTTCAGCTGGGGAAGAGGAGACTGAGGGGAGACCCCACTGGAGTTACAATTTCCTCAGGAGGGGCAGAGGAGGGGCAGGACTGAGCTCTGCTCTGGGGGGACCAGGGACAGGACCCCAGGGGATGGCTGGAGCTGTGTCAGGGCAGGGTCAGGTTGGATATTAGAGAAAGGTTCTTCCCCCAGGGGGTGGTTGGGCACTGGAACAGTGGTCACAGCACCAAGGCTGACGGAGCTCAAGACGCGTCCGTGAAACGGCCGTGCTGGAGGTCTCCCATTTAATGAGGGGATTAAAATCTGTAGTGAGGCTGAAGAGTGAGATTTGCAGCCTTTGTTACCGCTGTCACAGGTGTCCAGAGCCCTCACCAGGTGTCTTTGTGCCCGGGCAGGTGCTGCAGACCCCGCTGAGCCCCTGGCTCCCACCATCGTGATCCGCCCCCGCAACACCAGCGTGGTCGCCGGGAGCAGCGAGGCCACTCTGGAGTGTGTGGCCAACGCCAGGTATGGAAACCCCCCCGGGGCTGCAGGGGACTGGTTGTAACACACCGTCCTTTACTGAGAAGGACAGAGGAAGTTATTTTCATTTTTTTATTAATTTAGAGATTGAAGCAGAATGCTTGCTCTTCAGTGCAACCTTATGAATAATCTTGTTTGTGCGACATTACTGAATTAAACCTATTGATTTTTCTGGCCCAATGATGGAATGGTCAGGGGTACTTTCCCACCTGTTCCTCACATGGAAAGGAAAAGAAGTGCAGTGGTGTTAAATCAGCAGACATTATCTTAAGGAAAAAGTTATGGTAAGGGTTAATAACATCTCAGCTGTGTTGCCTGTCAACAGGAAAGGTGATATTGTTGAATAGTTGATGCTGCCTGGTAAATAAATTAGTGAGGATCTCCTATGAAGTAATTTATTTCAGACACTCATTTTACAGTGATTATTGCTCAACTGTTCATAATGCACTGTAATATGGAATTCACGGCATTTCTCTATGTTTCCATCTAGTTGGCCTTGAATAGCTTTGAATTTCAGTGAAAGTAAATAGTTGAAGTCCTTGGATGATAAGACCAACTGATTCACTTTCCCCTCTGAGGGCAGAGATGTTCTTGATATGATTAATATTGTTTTGGTAATTGAGTTATAATGAAAGCACTTCCCATGCAGCTGATTCCCATAGCAGTATTTACTCCTTTTGCTTAGAGAAATCAAATTATTAGCACTTAAGTTCTATTGCTGTATCAATTAGCTGTACTTGTATAATGCCACTTGAGTAGTCTGTAGTCTTGGTGTGTAGACATTATATATGCATTTATTTCTTAATAGTGAATGTTGGGAATAGAGGAAGGCTTTAAGAAGTTTTATAATCTTTAATAGTATATTCTCTGTGTGTGTGTGTGTGTGTGTGTGTGTGTATATACGTATATGTGCACACACAGATTATTCTGTAATATATGTGGTTTATTGTTGTCTTCTTGTATTGTATTTCTTGGCAGACCTCTTGAGAGACTAAGTGTGACCTGGAAAAGAAATGGAATAAAGATAACCAGTGGCATTAGCAGCTTTGGGAGACGACTCACTATCACCAACCCAACCTCTGCCGATGTGGGGATGTACTTCTGTGAAGCAAAACTGAGAGAGAGCACAGAGGAACCAGCAAGAGCGAAAGCCTTCCTTTCTATACTGGGTAAATCTCAATGCAGTGGTTTTTTTTACTAAAACAGGCTCTGGGCTGAGGTATAATAGGAAATAAAATTGATATCTTAATATTTCATTGACCTTACATTTGAACCTTTCTTCAGAGAACAGAACAAAGGAGGTGAAAGAGGGTTATCTTCCAAATTAATTCAGCTGTTCTTCCCCACTAATATAAATTCATCAAATAGATTTTTTTGAACGCTGATGTGATTCTGAATCCCCTGTGAAACCATACATTTAATGAGAATTTTGAGAAATACAGTAGTAAAATCCTTAATGGGCAGCTTCCATATCTTGGCTTTTAGATGCATTAAATCCTGATTAACTCCTGGCTTGCTTACATCTAGTTTTCATATGTCAAGTGCCTGTATTTCTGAAAGAAGGCTTTTAGGAGCACTTCTGTGCCTCGTGTGTTGCAAGTGCCAGTCAGGGCCAAGGATGTTCTTCACACACAGGCAGGCAGAGAGCCCTGGTGAGGTAAAAGGAGGGGACAGAAATACCATTAAAGCAGCTCCATTTGCTGGACCTTCGACTCCAAGGGAAACTTTGCACTTAATACTTTTAAGGGGACATTGCTGTCCTTTCCTAGCCTGTTTCCACCATCACCCCTGTGTCCAAGTGTTGCTGTAGGAGGAAGGTTGGCATTTGGAATCGGTGGTTCCCAGCGTGTCGTATCCTGATATCACACTGCAGATTCACACGCTCCACACAGGGTGGAATCTCCTGGGACTTTTAGACTCAAGGAGATGTTTTAGGCAAGGGACATGGAGGTGTTTTAAGCCAGAGCTGATTGTGTAAAGTCAAGCTTTTGTGTAATAGTGCCAGTAATAACTGTGTGAGTGTCCTGGGGAGATCATTGCTCTGGCAGTGACACGAGTCTCAGCGTTGGGCAGGACTCATGCACATGCACTTCTGTAGCATTCCAGAGGGAATTCAACCCGTGGTTCTCTACGCTCTTGGAGCCTTCTGAAAATGCAGTTTTAAAGACTGCTGTAGGGTCTGTATTCTACTAAAGCATTTTGTAGTAGTTCCTGCTAAGTGAGACAGCTCTTCTCTCTGCAAAGCTCCATTCCAGATTCACTTGTAGTGCTGTGTGTCTGTTATATTTATTACCTACTGGACAAAGTTTGATTCCAGTCTTTTCTTTGTCCTCTGTTTCTTAGAATTATTACCTTCCCTTTAAGGAGCAAAGACTGATTTCACTTATTTATGGGTTTTGTTTTAAACTCTTCCTTATTCATAAGATTTTATTGTACCTGGTTTACTTTTGCTGCTCTGCCATCACATCCAGTCTAATGTAATACTTAAAGCAGCCTCTTGGTTAATGGAAAAGATTCTTAAATACAGTTACAGTAAAACTGAAAAATAATCATTGGGGAATCATATTAAACTAGCAGTGCTTTAGTACCTTACCTGCTCTCTTATTTTCAAGTGCTTTATTTATTTCTTATCCAGTTTTAGGAGGCTGTCAGGGAATGAAGTTATGAAAAGGTCTGTAGATAAGAACGAGCAGATGAAAGAAAGCAGAAACAAATTGGTTACCAATTACTTTTATTTCCTTCTGATGGAACACGACACTTCACATGCAGGTGTTTACTCAATGTGTCAGCAAAGCCTGATAGATTTCTTTATTTATGAGTTTCTTGAGCTGCAGGATGGATCTCTAATTCTAAACAGGGAGCCAAATCAAAGGATTAGTAGTTAATGCATAACTTATATTCAGCTTTAGAATACTTGGATGGATCTGGCCGTCATTTAATTAGTCAGGGGACGGGTTCTAGAGGAAAGTGCAGACAGGATTCAAACCCGAGGATTTCTGCAGTGTATCTCTCACAGTCCATTGGGGTAGTACTTACAGAGAATCAAGTTTGCTTGTCCATTTGCATGCATAAAATATTTTTGGTGTGTAGGTGTAGATGGGGAGCTGATAATGAGCTGTATTTGGGAGAAAAACACACTGTGGACTTAATGAGGGGTCTTGACTAACAGAAAAAGGAAATTGTGTTAAAAACAAAGGTTTGTATTCAAAATGGGAGAAATCAAAGGCAGACCTTTAATAGTGTGGCAATGAGAGCTTTTGTGGATCAATAGAGAAAAATACTTTGCTATTAACAGGTAGAATAGGGGTAGGGATAAAAAGATGCATCAAAGATAGCACAAACACTGAGTTAATCAAAGCTTTTTTTGCAAATATGTCAGTCCTTGACTTTCCCAGCTAAGGGAAGTCACACAATTTGAGTGTGGCTCAGATGGTGACAAGAGCTTTATTAGAAGGCAGTGAAACTTAGTACAAAGGCACCTTACTCAGTTTAAATTATTATTTGTGACCTACAGTATTATCTCTGAAGTTTTTCTGGCTATTTCTGAGAATACATCTTGGTTTGTAAATTAGAATCACAATAATATTCAAAAAATCTGAATCTCTAATGTATTAGAGTAGTACTGTATAAGCAAGGAGAAAATCCTCGAGTCTTGTGCTGCTGCAGTTTTCTTCTGAATATGGCAAAGAGCTTTCTGACATCTTCATATTGTTCCAGAAAAGATAAACTGAGGTGGTTCCAAACCTTGATTTTATTAGCTGCAGTTGTTATAAATTTTTAAAGGGTATCATGTTCCTCGGTTGGCAGAGTAACAGTTTGGGAAAGATTTGTTGCAGATTAGATAAGAGCACATTTGTTTTATCACTAACAGTTTGAAGATTAAGTAATTTAAGGAGTCTTCTCATGAACAAACCAATTTGAAAACTGAGCTAATCTTAAATTCTTTTTCTCCACTTCTGCAAGTTTTGTTAGTGACAAACTGCAATAGTCATTTCTTAAGTGACTATTCTATAGGAAATTACAAATTTTAGGAGCTTAGAAAATGAGGAATGAAATTCTTCCACTACATGAAATCCAAACTGCTCTTTAAATTAGATGCAGTCAGAAAGTAAAATCTGAACAGATTGAAGAGAAAAACAATTAGAAAGAACAGCCTGGCATGATGAGGGGTTGTACAGAACTGAGGACTGGAGCCTTGTTGGCCTGTCCAAAAGAATAGGATTAAGTCAGAGTCAGAGTGTAGAGGGCTTCCCTTCTTTCTGGAGCAGTTTTATTTCCAGAGAACTACATTCATAAACATATTATTCTCATCTTGGGAGAATTTTTACATCCCAGCTGAATAGAATTCTTTCTAGTAGGATGGTAAGGGAGTGTTGTAGGTCTGTGTTTCTCTTAAAGGCAACCCTGGTCCTCATCAGGTGTGAAGGATTCAGCTTTGTGGTACCATGGAGAAAAGTTATGATGTTAGTATGAAAGGCCCACCTGGTTGGGCTCTGAGATGGAATCTGTGGCTGTTTCTCCTTCACTGTTCTCCAGGAGTGTCCAGATACAGAAGGGTCTGTGTACAGAACTGCCAGAACAGAAGCTGTTTTCCTCTGTAGCTGTGAGCCACCTCAATGCCTTGTGCTCGGACCTCTGGAGTCAACAGCTCTCATGACTCTGGCTTAGACACTTTGAAACACAACAGATGCTGTCTTGAAAGCAGTGGAAAGAATTTTTCCATGGTGACTGTGTTCATATATTGTGCTTAAGAGAAGACCTTGGTGACTTTGTTCATGTACTGTGTAAGAAAAGAATAAGTTTTCAAGGAAACTGTAATATGAAATGTCTTTGGACTTGCCCAATCACAATTTGGGTTCAAAGGAAAGAAATATTGACGGGTTTTTGATTTGTCAAGCTTCAGAGGTTCTGAGAGGGTCACAGACATGCTGCCTTGGGCCCAGATGCACACAGGACCTATCCCACAGGGAAGCAGTGGGACTTCTGGGAAGCCCAGTTCTGTCTCTGACGTTCCTGAGACATTCCTCCTGCTTTCATTCCTGCAAACAGGACATGTGTTCCCTGTGCTGTTAGAAGGTTTCAGAACACACACACGCTGCAGCTCACAGTAGAGGTAGTAGCAAGAAACTAGACACATCTTTTCATCTCTCTCTGTTCTAACCTGATATTCATGCAAAGAAAAATCTTGCTTTAAGGAACCTACTCTGCATGCATCTGCAATGTGGCTTCTCTCCCAGCATGGCCAGTCTGATCTACTGTCTGGAGTTGAGGACTTTGTACCTACAAGGGGCTGTCAAGTTTCCAGTTCCTCTTTCTTTAGAAGATATTCACCAAATAAATTAGTTTATGGTAATGCTGGAGGAAGGCTTCCATGTTGAAGGCTCAATTTTCCTCTTAAATATGCAGCCCTGAATTTCTGAGCGATGCAGGAATTTCAGCTTTGGAGGAGCCCCTGGGGCTTTCTCTGTTCTTTCTGACTTTCATGTGTGTATCTAGGATTAGGTCACACATCTCCAATGCAGCTTGAAGGGTGTGTAATGGATGCTGACTGCTATCTTTTGAATGTTAAAATCAGTGACCATGTAACTCTGTGCAGGGGAAGTTAGAACAGTGTCAAATTTTGCAGGTTCTCCAGGGCTTTGCCGAGAGATGTCTTTCCAGTGGTGTCTGGAGCGCAAAAAAAACCCCCAAACCCTCAACAATTATTAAAAGCATGCATTTATATTCAGATACTCTTTTCTCCCTTTGCTTGTACTTGACCTTTTAGTGAAGATCAGTCAGACACCAATACAATATCTGAACAATACAGTATCTGTTTCTTGCAGTCTGCTCTGAGCTGTGACCCCTCTCATTGCCAGCACACGGTGATGCCACAGGGTGAACTCAGAGTGATGGGTCCTTTCTTATTCTAACTACTCTGATTCTATAATTTCCAAAAAATTACTGTCATTCCTAGAAATTGCCATGTCTGGGGACTTGTGTCTGGCATGTTACATAGTTTGGAAGACGCTGTAATTTTGCCACACATATTAAATTTCAACACATGATTATTGCCTACAACAATAAATGTTCAAATTCATACTGTGTGGTTCAAACCAAGCCTTATAAATATGCAATAGAGTCGTATATACAGGCAACCAGAATGCCCCTTCAGAGTGCCATCTGACCCCTATAAATATTGCTGCATTTTTATGGCCACTTTCTGACAGTTATTCACCAGGTGCTGCATAACCCAAATTCAGATACCCTGAATTTTAGCCTTGCAGTTAGTTCTGGCCATTCAGGCCCTCAGGCACACACCTGGTGTGCAGATGATACATCTGACACCTCTAAAAAGTGAGGAGCTGATATTTTGGTTGTCCAGCACCTGTAACAAGAGCTGTTTCTTCCACAGCCTGAGTTCTGTTGAAGCCATAGGCCCTCACTGCAAAGGACCTTTAGAGCTCCCATGATGCTGGTCAAAGACAAGTGGATGTGGAAAAGCAGCACAGTTGCATGGAAAACTCAAACTTCTTTTCTTCAAGGGTGACAGAACATTTCAAGGGACTGCCCAGAGAGGTTGTGAAGGGTCATTCTCTGGAGATATTAAAAACACACCTACACACTGCTCTGGATGGACCAGCTTTAGCAGGGGGGTGGGTTTGGGTGATCTCCAGTGGTCACTTCCAACCCCAACTATTCTGTGGTTCTGTGTGAAATCACTGTTTCATTTCCCTCAAAACCTTAAGAGCATCCCTACAGCAGTACTGCTGGGATTCTCTCATTCTTTACATGACCAAGGCTAATTTTCCATGAATATTAGACTGGGATGTGACAACACTGTTGTCCATGTGGTATTCTTCCAGAATTCCACATAGATCTTCCAGAATTCCTTATGAATTAGACTCATCTTCCCACCCAGGCTTTTCTCTATCTTTAAGCAATAGAAGCAGTAAATTGTGGAGTGGCTTCTGGAAGGTTTTCTATATCAGTGCTTGTCTTGCAAGAATAACATCTGACTCCTCTGTGGGTAGTTGTTGCACTTGGCAGTGCTTCCAGCTGCTGAATGGCTGTGAGAACAGAGTTCAGCAGGCCTTAGTCTGAGGGAAAAGGTGAGTCTGGGCTCAAAGACTGGAAACCAAATCTGTTGGCACCAAAAGTCCTCTGGGAGCTGTCTGGGACCTTTAGATTGCATCTTTCTGCTGCTCCTGCTCTTTTTCTGTCTTGTCTGCTTCTGTTTCTCCCTGCTTCTTTCAAAAAAAAGCTGATGTGAATCTTCCTCTTGTAACATCACATCCCGTTTGCTAAGTGACAGTTGTCACTGACTTCAAGTTCCTTGTCACGTAATTCACTCTGTGATACTTGCTCACCTAAGCATCTCTCAATGGAAGAAGTTTCTTTGAGGGTGACATAAGAGCCTGTATGGGATTTAAAGGAAGGAGCACAGGTTGCAGTTAGGATTTTGGGAGGGACTCTGGGAAAGACAACTGTGTAAATATGCCAGGTATAACTGCAGAAACAGCAGCACATAAGCAGAGGTCATGGAACCACGAGCATCTTTGAGGTCACGTTAAGTGCTTTGCAGCTGGACTGCAGGCCCATGGTGAAGATAAATCTGCAAATTTATCACTGGTGTGTGAATGTGTTGCTGATCTAGGAGAAAGTTTGTGAGAGCTGGTGGCTGAAGGTTGCCAAGTTTAGAAATTGGCCCGTTAAGGTCAGAGTCCTTTGGAAGACGGAGGATGGAAAATGTGCAGTCAGGAGTTCCCTAAACAGAAGAAGATGAACTTCACTGATTCAAGAGACATCCACAGAAAAGCCTAAATTTTGAAGGGAATATCTGGATGTGGGGTTATGTGTCTGGATGGTCTCTTGGCCCGGTGCTGCTCTGGCCACCCTTTGCCTCCCCTCACGATCACATTCAGTTGCCATAAAATGAAAGATGCAAATTTTATTCTGAGAGATGGACATAGGGACACTCAGCCATGTGGCCACAGACAGGCACGTAGATAAGGACACCAGGCTAAAAGTTTGGAAACGAAAAAGTTAACATCCTAAAAAATGAAGCACAAGGAAAACACCAGCCAAGGCCTGGAGGATGGCGTGAGAGGAAAGAGAGCACTCAGAGTGAAAACGTGGACTGAGATGAATTGCAGAGGACTCAGCAACTTAGCTGATCAAACATGTCAACGTGTGTGCCATCAGTGAATTTCAATTAAATGTTCAGCTTTTCAATTTGTTGTTTAGATTAACGCATGAGATCATATGCAATAAATCACAGCTTATTATGTGTGTTTATTAATAGCTTTATATTTAGGCAGTGAGGATCAATAATGTTAACACATGTATATTATTAGAATATAATAAATCAGGTAGCTTGGTTTTATTGGTTTTGCTGGGTAAACAAGTATTCCAGGCTATTTTGCAACCTCCCCTCCTCCTCTGCACAGCATGTTGAAGACTAATATTGATTGACTTTCTTTGGAATGAATGCAGAATTGTAATATCCATTGGTGCTCAGATGAGACCCCAGTTCTGTACACTGAAGTATTTTATTGCAGTTAGTGGGAAGAAGTGCTGGGAAAGGGGGGTTTCTATTCTAATCCAGTGCCTACTGATATGTACCTGCTGGCATATCATCATGTCATCCCTGTGCAGTGAGAGCCACACTTGCTGTACTGCAGGTGGTAGCAGGAGAAATAAGATTTTGCAGGATAAAAATGATGTGATTTTGATTTTATTTACTAAAATACTGATGTTTTATCAATAATACAACCACAAGTCCTTTTTTCAGTCATGTTTGGTGAAGAGATTTGGGAGAAGGTCAGCTCAGATGACCTTGAATCTTGCAGTTTACTGCATTTTTTCAACCATGCTTGATTTCCTTAAAATGAAAACACGAATAGCTTGTTCTCACAAGCTGCTTATATTGTTTTTTCTGTGTTTTCTAAAACTTACCAGTGAGTTTGTTTATGCTACAATGGAACTCCATTTATAATCAAGTAAAATCCTTCTAAAAACAGTAGTCAGATGATAATTGCATTGAACAGACTATGACAGTTTTTAGTTACCATGATAATTACTGCAACCTTAGTGCCTCTGGGACTTTGACATGATGCTCTTCAATTTTATGCTGCGTAGAAGAAAGAGTTACATGCCAGCACACTCAACAATTTCTGCAGTCTTGTCTTTGTTTAATTAAACGTCTAATATCTTTTCTTTAGCCCTAATGATAAAGTGGGAATTTTTATGATTATTACTATAACTTCAATTAAAGCATTAAATCTGTTTGCTTGCAAGAAATAAAACAGTTGAGAAGAGTTTTTTTTAATTATGCTGTGCTTGTCCTCTGATGTCAACTCTCAGACATGCTGTGGCACTTTATTTGACATGCTTCGTGCCTCTGTGAGGTGGAATTCAGTCTAGATACTGAAGCAAACTATCCTATAAAATGCTCTGTTGTAAATATAAACCTTTATAAACCTCTCGGGAGGACCTTTCTGAGCAAAGAATTAACATGTTCCATGATTCAGTCCAATAAAATGAAAAGTAGCCCTTGCTCTGAGTATTAATTTACAGTGCAAACCCCTAAATCTTACCTTACATTGACTTGACTCCTTAGAACTCATACTCAGCATAGCAAAAATTGTCAGCTTTTTTTATGATGCTTTTACTACCAAAAAAAAAAGCACCTCCAATACTCCAGTAGAGACAAACTTGGTCAAACTAATCTGTTTGTAACACACTACATCAAATACACCAGCCGTGGAGAGATTACATGATGAATATCTTCAAACCAGCACCTGTTTTTCATTTTGCTGTGGCTTTGCTTGTTGACTCCTGTTTGCTTTCCCCTTTCTAAAGAACCACCGTATTTTACGGCCGAGCCCGAGAGCCTGATTTTGGCTGAAGTGGAGAAGGACGTGGACATCCTGTGCCAGGCCATGGGTGAGTCTGCAGAGTGTTCCAGCTTGGATCAATGATTTGTGTATATCTGGTATGGAAGTAATCATCTCCTCTAAACCGTCTTATGTAAATGTTTGAGCTCTCTGTGTTATTGCTAATTATCGCAGATCCCAAGTACAGGGGAGAGGGTTGTCCTTTCCCCTTGGAAAGTTGGGCAGTCCTTGCTGTTTAGTTTAGACATGAGTAATGCCCACATGTTGATGTTTGTCTGTTGGCAGCACAAATCTTGCTCCTGTCTCTCTGGGAGCCTGTCTTTGCTTCATAGTTGTCACTATATAAGAGACATCAGTGGCTTGAGCCAGAAAATAAGCATGGTCATGGAACCCATCATTTGCAATGCAAACAGTCATTATTTTCATCAATTCAAATGTTCTTTTTTCCTAAAACTTACAGGACTTCTGTACTGAATGGAAATGTCAGTAACTGACATCTGAGTGTAGTTATGAAATCTGCAGGAGGACTATTACAGGCAGTTTTTAGTTGGCAGGTGTTTTAATAATATAAAAGACTTCAAATGTCTAGAATTCCACCTAAACCAAAATGTTTTTTTTTTTTTATTTAGTTCCAGAGAAATGCAATCACCACCTATTTAAGCCCTTTAGTAAGGTAGGAGACCCTGTGATTAGAGCAGGGTTGTCAAAGTCACCACATTTCTTCATGAGTTTGGCAAGTGACTGAACGTGTTGTTATCTCACTTCCCCCAGTGTTGAGTTTAAGAAGCAATACATACAAAAATGCCACGACATCCTTAAGGAAAAAGATCCTTGATTAAAAAGCACCCATATCTAACTAACAGTTTATTTGTATGGTGTCTTTCTCCAGCTCAAAGCCAATAAAGATATTTTTGCTGTGTTATATTATTGCCACTATGATTTCAGCATTTTTATGTGTTTTATGTAGGAAAGAGTCAGCACTGCTTTTCTAGAAGGAAGATTTGCCAACTGTGTGATAAGCAAGTGTGTGTGTTAAGGGTGCTCTGGCTGATTTGGAATTTCGGAAGCCTTTGATGAGGTCTCTTACAAAGAGCTCTTATAGAAATGAAGCTATCAGATTATAAGAGACAATGTCTTGTTGTTAATTAATAGCTTTTTAAACATAATGCTGCAGGACCTGCTGTCAGTGGAGTTCTCCAGGAATCTCTACTGGAATCTGTGCTGTTCAGTGTAGTCATAAATGCCCTGGAAAAGAGAGTGAAGAGTAAGATGGTGGTATTTGCTGATCATATAAAAATATTCAACAATGCCAACATTAAAACTGACCACAAAGGAGTTGCCAAAGGTCCTGATGATTTGAACTGACTGGTCAATAAACTGGCAGATGAAATTATTGACAGAGATGAAATTTCCTATTACTGTGCAGGAAAGATTTGTCTTCTGAAAACATCAATTCAGTGCCGAACTGTGCTTCAGAATGTGAGGTACTGGGAAGAAAGGAATAGAGAAAAAATAAGAGAGTGACACTGTATCCATGGGGCAACACCCCCATCTCAAATCCTTCACACAGTTCTTGGAGACAGGGATGGAGGAAAACTGAAGAGATACTCTAAAGTAGGAATGGTATAGTTAAAGCTCTACCATGGTTTTTGAATAATGAGAAATTAAATTGACTGGAACACTTTGTGAAAGAGATAACTGAAGGGTGGGTGACGTACAGGAAGGTGAGTAGGAGAGGATGATTCTGTGTTGCTTAGTACAGGAAGGAGATGAGACACCCAACTAAATTTTCGTGTGGGAGAGGTATGATGAAGGAAAGAGTTCTTTTTCAGAAAATATAAACTGTGGAGGTCATTGGTCCAGGCAGTAAATAGGACATAAAGAGAAATAAGAAATATTTAGAAAAAAACAAACGGAATTTATGGAGGAAAAATCCGGTAAGGGCTTTTAAACACAGCTGTGTGTATGCAAGTCTGGCTGAGGAAATGGCCAAAGCACAGATTGTTGGAGCCGGGAAAGTGGGAAAAGCATCCTATCCTTGGGCTGCCTGAGCATCCATGACTAGACAATTTCAGAGGAAGGAATTATGACAAGAAAGACATCTATTCTGGCCATGTGCCACCAATTTTACGTTTCACCATGTGTTATGACAAACATTATGGCTTTTTTTTTAATTGGAGAAGATTTTTCAAATAGTGGAACTAAATGTATCATTAGAGAAATTGAGTTTAAAAACATTCTGAGATTTATTTTCTTTTAAATGTTTCAATACTACACAACTGTTTGATGAATCTCTGGGCTGTCTCACTGTCAGTGAAAAAAACCTGTCTGCTGTCTCAAATGTTTTTCATGTATTACAAAAACAAACAACCCGGAACAATCAGGGAGAGATGAGGTTGACTTCAACTCTTCCTTCTACCCTAACTCTTGCTTTGGGCAGTTTAGTTCCCAAGGAGGTGGGAACTCTTATTAGACAAAATTATTTATTTCTGCTGCACTCTTCTGGTGCACATCTGATCTGCTGATGAATGTGGTGCAGGAGCATGGAAACCTGTCTTCATGTGGATTGTTTTGCTGAGTATCTGTAACACTGTCTTATAAGGGGCAGGTATTAGAATTAAAAGTAGAGGAGTTTAGATCCATTATTACACAATTGCCAGCATTTAAAAAGAGGGTACATGAAGGTTGCTGCCTCCTTGCTCCAACCTGGGAGCTGCAATAAAGCACTGGGGAACTGCAAAGCTGCCCTGTACCTTTGCTACAAAGGGGAAGACAGATTGTATTTCCCCCAGCCCCGTCAGGTTCTGTGCACAAAGCCCATTTGCCAAGTCTTTGTGCACTATGAATGTGTGAGAGACAGATTAATTTCACAGTATAAGCAGAGATTAACTGTAAATAAAATTGCAGTTTGCACCAACCAGCTTTCTACTCCCCCGTAATGGAGTTTCAGTGTATCAGGCCATGCAATAACCAGGCTCTGCTGTTTATCTTCAGCAGTGGCTGATGCTGCCTGCATGTTCAGTGGGTTTCCTTTAAATGCTCTTTCTTATTTGCTTATAGAAAGTTTAGAGCTGCAGGCAGTGGTGGTGGTGTCTGGGGAGTGCAGTTAATTGGACTTTAGTTCAACCTGTTTAGAAAAGTAGATGGAAAGATGCTTTTGGAATTCCCCAGTAGCCCACTGGGATCTAGAGAAGGCTGTAAAAAATAAATAACAAAAATGACACAGTGAATATTTTGAGTCTTTCATCCAGGTTCTTAAGTTAAATGTGGCAAAGAGTCAAGCAGCTGTTTCACAGATGGGGAAACTGAGCCTCGGGGTCCATAAGTTATTTGCCCAAGGTTACAGAGAAAGTGGCAAAGCCAGAACCAGCATCTCTGTTTCCTGCCTTCCCTTCTTCCCCATGGTACTAGATTAATTTGTCTGGGAAAGATGAATAGTGCTGCACACAGCTCAGAAATAAGGTTATTTTATTTATTATTTCTATTCTTCTAGGCCACTCTCTCATGTCTCAAACAGTAGAGTAGAGCTGATACTGCTTGCAAAGGTGTAGTGCAAGAGGTCTTTAAAGTGTTTTCTTCATCATTTTTTTCACCAGAAGTTGTTTAGAGAAGCAAAGAAGCAAAATTCCTTCGGGGGTTTGTGGAGAGGAAAGGCTGTGAGGTAGAAGAGGAAGAGGAGAAAAGGAGCTGGGTTTAACCATTTTTACAGCCAAACAGGTAGCAAAATTATAAAAGAACATCTGTACAACTTGGAAGACAAATCTCTCTGGGAAGATCTCTAAAGCCCAAATGAATGCTGCTGACAGGCATCAGAGTGCTTAGATAAGATCCTATTATTCAGACTCATAACTTTGAGTAGAGGAAGATATCCGTAACTGAAATGTAGAGAAATAGAGATGGTAATATTCAGTTTGTCAGCTGAGTTGGTGATAGGAAGGTGTATCTCACAGTGATTATAGGATTAGAAGGTTTGCCAATACTGTTAGTAGAATGGGATTTATGGAATGACACCAGTGTTAAAGGTTTGAGTGTACTGAATGCAGGATTTCATTATTTCCTCAGTGCCTATCAAGTCTGATGTGTGGGAAAATGGAGTTGCTATTATTTAAACTTGAAATCATTTCCAGGCTTCTCAGCATCAGGAGAACGATTCCATTTTGCATCATCTGTTTCTTCATTACTCAGTGATAATTTGTATTTGCCCAGGAGGATTTTCAGGAGATGAATAACACTCTCACCGAGATTTCTGAACGTTGAAATTTACGCTAATTCTGTATATGGGCTGTTATATGAAATTTAAATTATGCCTATTGCAAGCTACTACACTCTGTCTATTCTCCATCAGACAATGCACTCTACATAGTGGGTTTCTTCCTGAGATGATTACCTGCAAGATTATGAGTACATTTTACTTTATCAACAGAACAAAAGCATCACAGGTGATTGAAGTAAATGATACGTGTTTATAAAAGTAACAGCAGCAATTGGATGTTGTTTTTCAATCATTCTATGCATTGTTTGTACATCCTTTCCAGGAGTTAATACAGCTTTTGTCTGTATAAAGGGAATAAGTACATCGAGAGAAGATATGAATGGAAGTATAATACAGTAGTATTTAACTCTGGGAGTTTTAAAATTATAATGATGATTATATAGATCTTCTCATAGCACTTTAGCTCTCAGAACATCAAGTGACTGCCAGCATTGCAGTGAAATTCATTGTCTGCAGATGCTCAATTCATCAGTGACATCCCATCCTCCACGCTTCGGTGACACCCTGCTTTTCTCTTGCCCATGAATTTAAGTCCAACCTTATTGCAAGGGAATGTGGAGCTCTGAGATTTTAAGTGATATGTTTTCCAAAATAGCTACTGATTATAAAAATGCCACCTTTGGGGCTGAGCTTTCTTAAATCAGCCTGATACCCTTGTGTTCCTGTGATTATGAGCCAGCGCGTGCCCAGGTGACCAAGAAGGCCAGTGGCATCCTGGACTGTATCAGCAATAGTGGGACCAGCAGGGCAGTGATTGTCCCCCTGTACTTGGCACTGGTGAGGAGGCCACACCTTGAGTGTTGTGCCCAGTTCTGGGGCCCTCAATTCAGGAAGGACATTGAGGGGCTGGAGCATGTTCAGAGAAGGGCAACGGAGCTGGGGAAGGGTCTGGAGCACCAGGAGTGGCTGAGGGAGCTGGGGGGGCTCAGCCTGGAGAAAAGGAGGCTCAGGAGGGACCTTCTCGCTTTCTGCAACTCCCTGACAGGAGAGTGGAGCCAGGTGGGGGTCAGGCTCTTCTGGGGAACTTGTGATAGAACAAGAGGAAACGACCACAAGCTGAACCAAGGGAGGTTCAGGTTGGACATCAGGAAGAATTTCTTCATGGAAGGGATTGTCAAGCATTGGAAGGGGCTGCCCGGGGAGTCCCCATCCCTGGAGGTGCTGAAGAAACGCCTGGATGTGGCACTCAGTGCTCTGGTTTAGTTGACCCAGTGGTGTTTGGTCAAAGATTGGACTCGATCTTGAAGGTCTTTTCCAACTTTAATGATTCTGTGATTAGCTAATCACATAATAAAATACCTGCCTCACTTCAGATCCCTACATTGGACCCTCAGCTCTTGATCCATTAGGGATTTCTGGGAGGTAAAGATGAAACATTGTCTGATATGAGGAGTGGGATGGGAATATTTGTGTTAGATTGTTCTAGGCCTCTGACATCTCTTAAGGAAAAGAGAATCCTACACTATATGTATATACTGAGTTTACAGCCACTTCACCCCAGCTGATGGGGATACGATGCAACAAAAATATGTGTGAAATAACTGTCAGGGTTTGTGGAACATACACATGAAAGAAAACAGGAATAAATGCAACTGTGTTATGTCTGGGGTAGGATTTTTGTGTCTCTTTATGCCTGCATTTTTCAAATAACAGGTGAAGCTTGAGACTGAATAAAAATAGTCATAATTTAAAGCTATCTCACTGTTGGCAACATGTTGTATGTACATCAGCTCAAACTAAGCTCCTAAATTGGGACTCAAATACAGCCATGTGAGCACTTCATTTTTCATGTGTAATTTGCCATTTCCTTTGTGTTTTGACATCTTAGCTACAGGAGCACAGAGGAATCTCATTTGGGATGGAACGGTCTTACAGACTTGCCACACTGCTGCTGTTTAAGTAGCATGATTCTGGCTTTCAACATGAAATTGCTCTAAATCTTATTTTGTGGTAGCATGAAATATGATTGGGTGAAGAAAGTAATTTGATAACATGTTTTCTCTACATTCCCCCTCCAGTGTTTGCTGGTTTTATTCCCACGTGTTCTGCAGTGTGTTATTACCATTGATGATGTGAGATGCAGCCTCAATTTATCTCAAGCAGCTGGGAAAAGTATAAATAATTGGTGTAGAAAGATGGGAAAAGAGGGATATGACCATAACAGCGCTGAGTGTTTTGACTACCTAAAACATGTTTTGCACAGACTAAGAGTGAAGTTATTATTTTATTTTTCTTTATAGGTGTTCCCATTCCCACTCTGGTGTGGTACAAGGACTCTGTTCCCCTCAGCAAGCTGGAAAACCCCCGTTACAAAGTGCTGCTGAGTGGTGGGCTGAGGATCCACTCCCTGCGCCCTCAGGATGCCGGAATCTTCCAGTGCTTTGCCAGTAACAAAGCTGGGGAGATCCAGACATACACCTACCTGGATGTGACCAGTGAGTAAGGAGCTGTGATACGAGATCCATGAGTTGTCATTTGTGTAGGTGACCCTGCATCCACCAGATTCTCCACCACTCTGTGCTGCTTTAATTCAACCCACAGAAGCTTGATTTTCTATCAAGCGTAGCTGCCCCAGCTGTAGGGAACCCCAAAATGCCCCTGTGGCCTCAAAACAATCTGCTGAAGCTTGTGGGAAAACTCTCCATGACATTAGGGGCTTGAGGGGAACACTCCTATTTCACACAGCAAGGGATCTTAGTGAAAGGGAAAAAAAAGAAGAAAAAGGAAGTGTTAATTCTGAAATAACTTCATCTTTCCTTTATACTTCAGTAATTATTTCTACTCTCATGTAATTCTGTTCTGAACTTGAGCTGCTGCTTCATGATTGTGCATGTTATTATTTTATTTGCCTTTGTCTACTACTGCATTTAGCAGGGGGAAAGACAGAAAGCTCAAGTTAGATGTCTTTTTTTGGCCAAAAAATCTGAATAAATGGTTTTGTTAATGAAGTGCACGCTTCTCTATGGAAGAATTACGAATCCTAGTAGTCTCTTTTAAAGGTGATTATTAACAGTCATTTTTGTAATAAATTTCTCTTCAGGAAACTGATTTTTAGCCCAAGAGCAGTTTGCACATACTGATCAGAATTCCTACTGGCCCTAGAAAATAGATCAGCCCCAGTTCAATATATATCTAGGAAACTGGAGGAAAAAAACTGTAATAAAATGCAACTGGGGGAAAATGTAAGAGAGAAAGAAACTTGGAAAGTGTCTTGGATAAGACTCAGGTTCTAAATTCTTTTGGCTGACATTTAAGTTTCAAAGTTAATGCCTTTCTCAAGTTGCTTTTCATCCTAAAGAATTCTATTATGAAGATGAAGGAAAATAGTTTTGTTTATCTAGATTTCTCAACCTCCCCCCAAACACTCATTTTGAGCTTTATCTTCCATCTTCTGTAACCCATCTGACTTGTACAGGTACAGGCACTGATAGATTTTTATTTTCCATGTAGGTAATAAACAGGATTAGACAATTCCTAGGAGATGAATAAGGAAAGGTTACAGTCACTGCTGAAAGGTTTTCATGTCTTATTGTCATGTCCTTCTCCATGATCAGCTCTATAAAAGTGGATGTAAAGTAGTCCATGATAATAGGTAAAGGATCTTTCTGAGAGCTGATGCACTGAGTTTTTTGAACTTTTGATTCTAGACATTAAACCAGCGTTTATCCAGCCTCCAGAGGATACCACAGTCACAGAGGGCATGACTGCAGTGCTGACCTGTGAAGTGTCAGGGGCTCCAAGACCTGCCATCTCATGGAAGAAAGGTAACGTTATTAACCTGTGGTAAAGCTGTAATCCACATTTTTCTGTCCATTGCTATTACTGAGGTTCTGGAGATCCATTTAGTGCCTCTTTCTTCCTTCCTGTGGCGCCGTGAGCAGCGGGTTTGCTGTGGGGCTGCCGTGAGCCGGTGGCCTGGGCAGGCTGGAACAGTTTGTTGGAAGAACTGGAATTGCAGAGCTTAATCCCTGAGCCTATGTGACACTAATCATGCTGCTTCTCCCTCCTGTGTTTCAGGGAAGCAGATCTTAGCCAGTGGCTCAGTTCAGATTCCTCGCTTCGTTCTTCTTGAATCTGGAGGGCTCCAGATAACACCCGTTTTCCTCCAGGATGCTGGCAATTATACTTGCTGTGCAGTCAACTCTGAAGGAGCTCTGAATGCTTTTGTGATGCTGACAGTGTGGAGTAAGGATAATGCTTTGTTTAAAGTCTAACTTTAATCAAGTATTAATCAGTTTTTGTTGTAGGCTCAGGAAATTTTCATAAGTAATTATGCTTTTCTCGTTAATAGAGATACTTGTATGATTTAATGGGAATAATGTATCTATTTTAGGAATCCCATCACAAATACCCTTTTTGTTTGTAAAATTATGCATATAAATCTCTATTTTGTGAAAGAAAGTGTATTTAAATAGAGCTTCAATCACACAGTTTTACTCAGGTTTTGCTTTGGCGTCTCGCATTGCAAGTCAGACCTTTTAACTGTGTGGTGCATATTTAGCATTTGTTAATCCCCAAACTGCAAGCTGAATCAGCCACATTTTTCCTTTTGAACTTGGGAATACCTGAAAACATTACTAGTAGTAACTGTAATGTACTTGTGTCATATGGCCATCTTATTTTTGTTTTGACAGTTATGGAGTTGAAAATATGGATATCAGGATGCTGTAAACTGAATAATATGCAGGTGTATGGATCAAGTAAAGGAGATCCTTCCTATTTATTCTCAAAGCTATGATTCTTATATGTACTAAGATAGTTTCTAGTCATTGTACTGCTTCAGAGGAGGGAAAGAAAAGTGAATATAACCTAATGTTTGTGTAGCAACAGCACCATCATAAAGCCAGAAGTCATGCATAGGTACATCAGGAATAATGCTAAAAGTTCTATGCTGTAAGAGTCAGCTTTTGATTTTGCTGATGATTCCTTCTTGTGCATGTATGAGGTGTCTCATGCTGATTATCTCTGCAGGGATTTGGGACTGATTAACATTATCCACATATCTTCCATACTCATCCTGGTTGTCTCCCTGCCTCAGCTGATACTATCTGCTGCTGCTCCTGCGTGTTACACATAATAGAGATCTTCCACACTGGATCCTGTTGCTGTAGTTACAGCAATTATTGTGTTCTGGGGCTCCAGGAGGGGCCTGAATAAAGATGTTCTGAAATGTTTGAGTAAACAACATACCTTTCTTATGTGGAAAATTTGTCTATTAGAAGCTCCTTCTCCTTTAGCCTCTGTCCTGGATTTGATGAGATCGTAGGGTGCCACTTAAGTTTCTCATTCTTGGTCTTTTTCTAGTGCATTCTTCTCTGGGCAAATTTTCTTTGGTTTTGTTTGTGTTTTCCCTGCTCCAAACAGTGTGACTCGTTTCCTGACTCTTTGCATGCTCAGATTCCTTCATAATACACCACAAACATACTTGTTGCCATATGACTTTAGGGAGTTGCCCCCAGCCAAGTGAGAGTTCACACAGCTTTAGCTTCTTCTGCTCTCACCACCCTGGGCTCGTGCCCTCTGCTGCTCTGTCTCTCTGCACCCTGCAGTGTGTCACCTCTCCTTGTCACAGTGACTTTAGAGGGAGGGGGAGCCTTCACAGCAGAGGCTTGAAGAGCTTGCTTTGAATGACAGAAGCTCGGTGGCCGCTCTCTGAGTGAATATCCAAGTCAAAATGCCGCAGTTTCACCTGAGCTGTGGCTTGTGCTGCTTTCAGATCGCACCTCCATCGTCCGCCCTCCCGAGGACAGCACGGTGATCAAAGGAACCACAGCCACCCTGCACTGCGAGGCCACTCACGATCCCAGAATTTCAATCAGGTTGGTGGTGTCACTCCCTGTCTGTGTGGTTTATCCCAGCTTAATTTTGTAATCTGTGTGAATAGCGTTAGGTGAAAAGTTTCAGGACCCCAGATTTTCACAGCAGACCCCTGATTACTGCATTATAAGGTTGTACACTGTATCATTAATCATATAAATCCCATCTTCCATTTCAGCCTTATGTATTATTTACAATGAGCTATGTTCCACTTCATGACTTCAATATAGCCTTCCATGATTTTACTGTCAAGGTTAATACACTATCAATAAAACCAACTTGTCAGAAGCCAATACTTAATGAGAGTAAAAGCCAAAGAGAAGGAATAGGATTTCAGAAGTGTTTACTCTGGGGTGCATAAAAACCACACAAGAGATGCCCGTGTTTTTGGAAACACAGCAGTAACTTGGGCTTATATTCTGCTTTAACTGTATGAAGGAAAGCAAAATTTGTACAAACTATTAAAATTCATACTAGACCATTTAGAGGAAGCTCAAAATCTTAAAATCAATTTGCCATGAACATTTATTTAGTCTGAAAGCAACATGAAAGAAACTGCAAGGGAGAGGTTGGAGGGTGCTCAAAGGGTGAACGGCAGAAAGAACTTCAGAAAGAGAAATACAGGCATAAAAATTTTGTTAGAGATAGGTAATTGTGAGACCATGGGTTATACACATCCCTGGGACACGTTGGTGTGTGATGGGCTTATGAACTTGGACATTTTTGAATACTTCACCTTTTCCGTGTAAAATATATATAATATTGTTTATAAAATATAGAATATCTTGATTGGAATTACTTTTCTCTTTCTAATCACTTGATCTGAAACTTAAATTTGTAAGAGGCACTGCTCATGAAAGTAACTGTAGGGGCCTGTCCTCTTTAACACATGATGACAGAAGCTGATACCTTATAGCAGAGTTCAAATAAATCTATTTTGACATTCTTATGAGTAATCAATAACTGAAACATTGTAATACTCAGGTATCTTTGGAAGAAGGACAGTGTTGTAATAAATCCATCCAGCAGTTCCAGGATCACAGTGGAGAAAGATGGAACCCTCCTCATCAGCCAGACGTGGTCAGGTGACATTGGAGATTATACCTGTGAGGTCATTTCTTCTGGAGGAAACGACTCCAGAATGGCTCGACTAGAAGTGATGTGAGTATTCCATCTTAGATAAACTCTACGCTTGGTTTCAGATGCATTTTTCTAGCATTTCATTCTGGGTGCTCTGGACAGTTTGGACTTTTTTAGGGTAAATTAGGCCTGGTTCATTTCTAATTAAATTGCCTCTAAATGTCCTGCCCTTTGCATGCTGCCATGCTGCTTGGGCTTCCACACAGCTGGAGCCTTGGAGGTTACTCCCACCGCATCTCTCTGAATCACTACATCTGCATTTCCAGCTGGTTTGAGTGAGCTCAGGGGGTAAAGATTGAGAGGTGGTGGTCCACCTGTAGATAGTACAAGTGGAAAACCACAGGGGACTGTAGAGTGTGTAGGTGGCACAAAATGGATGGGGGAGAGTTGATACACTTGAGGGTAGGGCCACCATTCAGAAGGAATTAATTAGATTGAGAAATGGTCCCAGAAGAACCTTACAAAATTCAGCATGGACAAATGCAATGTCTGCATCTGGGGAGGGATAACCTTTTGCAGGAACCCAGTCTGGGCACTGATCCCCTGGTAGCAGTTCTGCTGGAAAGAACCTGGGGATCTTGGTAGGCAGCAGCTGAACATGATTCAGCTGTGGACCTGTGGGCACAGAGCTCACAGTTTACAGAGACTGTGAACATCCTGGGCTGTGCTTACACAGGCAGAGCAGATTGAGGGACATGATTCCCTCCTCCTGTTTGACATTTATTAGTCTACATCTGGAATACTGTCTCCAGTTTTGACTGAATAAACTGGTCTGATCTGATGGCTGACCCTGCTTTGAGCACAAGTTTGGGCCAGAGACCTCCTGAGGTCCTTTCAAACCTGGATCCTTCTATCATCCCGTGCTGTAGGACTTTCCCATAAAGCCCAGGTGCTGTGCTGCGATGCCAAGGTTTGAAAACAAGAAAACATTTCCTTCTTTTTAGTGTTTTTTCTCTGTTAAACATTTATCAGAATAGCTGGTCCCTGGACAGGCATTGCTTACTCTTGCATTCTTTTGATACATCATTTTTCTGGGGGAAAAAAAAATATTTTTATGTATGACTTTCTTTATTTCTATGGCTCTTTAAAAATAAAAACAAGGAGATGCCTAAAGTGCCGTTCAGTTCTGGAAAAGGATTATAAAAATGTCATTACAGGGTTCCATATTTTCTATTTCTGTCATCCCACTGGGGTGAAGTGCACTTCCGTTTTATTTTTATCCCTAAAAGCAACAGCTGTGGTTTTGGTACGTGTGTGGAGCAGATCAAATGAAAAAGAAGGTGATGTTTTATGTAGACTTATTTATTTATTTATTTGCTTGAGTAGCGCCGCGTGCTTTAATTGAACTAAAATTGCGTCCGTTTCTGCTGGTCATGCCTGACGTCTCTGAGAAGACGGCAACTTGTGCAGTTGGCGGTGTAATGAGTTCACCTCTGAGATTTGCTATGCAGAGGGCTGTTTGATACAGCATTATTCTGACAGTGCCAAGGCTACATCAGATGCCCGTTTTCAGAGAGCGGTCATACATTCTTTTTCTAATTAAGCGCTCCTCAGCTCTCCTCCCGGAGTGCGTTTCACTGCTGGTTTGCATCCAAGAGCAGGAGACAATTCAAAATATATTGCTGCCACAGAACCACGCTCGCTCTTCTCTGAGGCGCGTTTTAAATGGAGGGCAGAAAATTACGGAGTAAAGACTGAAAAGAATGGTAAAACCTGGGCTTTGAAGCAAAGCCATAAATATGTGCTAAACACTTCAGTGGGGTGATGGTTTTTTAATCCTTGATAGCAAAAGATGCCCGGTGCAGCCCAGTGCAGCACGGCAGATGTGTTTACTTGCAGTTCCCTCTTGACTGGTGAGGAGCCTTTTTATGGTCAATAAAATCTGGGCTAGAAGTTGGCTGGGAGAGGCACATCTTGTGTGCATTGCTGAGGCACCCCAGCTGTTCCAGTTGTTCTAGGTGGCTCTCCATGCACTGGGACTGGCTCTTAATCCTGTATCTCTGTTTCCTGTGATGTTCTGTTGCTGATCAGCCATCACCTGTTTTTCCTGGAGGAATTAAAGAAATCTATCAGACCCACTCTTTTAGAGGACTTGAGTAACTGATAAGTCACTCAATAATACCTTGAATTGTGACATTTCATTTCAAAGCAGTGCTGCAGGTAGTGCAATACTGCCAAAGAATATTGCATTTCTTTGCTGCTTTCATCATTATCATTTGGCTCAGCAGCACAGATCTGTGAGAAGGAGAGATACATGATACAACAGGAGTGAAATGAAGAAGAAAATATGTGGAAAGAAAATGTCTGAAGTAAAGCCGAAATTGAATTCCAGCTTGTATACGAATGACAGATCTATAACATTCCCTATTCTCCCGGATAATTCTCTTGTGCAGAACATTAACAAACAGGGCATGTACATTCCCATCGATGAGCACTTACACTTCAGTGCCTTGAGTAGCACTAATGTCAGACAAATGTTCAAAGGAGGCCTCTCAACCAATTACAGACTGGAGCAGTCACCAATGGATAATATCATACCCTACCTTGCCTCGTCTGACAACTCCAATTGTCTCTCCACCTTTTTTTCCCCTAGGAACGAACATGTTCCTCCTCTACCTCTGTGCACGTCAAGAGGAATTTCCAAAGGCACAAATAAGTTTGTTACTGATTTCTGTTCAAACTGATTCAATTCAAAACCATTGACCTTCAGGGCGACCTTCAGTTATTTAATCTCTGAGTGGACTGGTTTTCTAATCTGTGAAAAGAAGGAAAGAAAGCTTTCTTCTTTTGTCTTCCCTTGTTGAAAGACAGGCTTGGGGAGAAAGGCAGTGTTCCTGGCTGGAAGAACCTACAGTGATAGCACAGCACATAAGCATTGGTGGTGCAAGCAGGATGGATCATTTTTCTCAGCGGGAAAGAAGAAATAAAATATTTGAAAAGAAAAGCCAGAAAACTAATGAAGAACTTGCAAAAGTGCAGCCAAAGGTTACCTTGCTCATCAATTTTGCACTGATGGTACTTGGGCACAGAAACTAATTGCTAGTCAAGATACTCTATTCATTTGTCTTCCCTCTAAATGTGTTTATTCTTCATGTACATCACTTGATTTGATTTGCACGAGGTAAAACATTTGCGAGTGATGTTTCTCTTCTACAAGAGATAGATTTTAATTTTGTACTTACTTTTTTTTTTCCTCCTCCCAGAGTTTCTCAGCTGCATATACAGAAACATTTGCAGGTCTTTTGGTGGTGAGCTTCTACCTCTCTTGCATCCCTCCAAGTCATAGGATTTGATCCTGAAAATAATTGCATGTTATGAAACATCCCAGCTTCATTTAAGCTTACTTTTATAGTCCTGTAAATACCACCCTGAAATACATATAGAGGAAAAAAGGCTCGTTCCTAAAGCTGCATAAGCTGAGTTATCACAATGTATCACTCACCTGATGGGAAACTGTGCTGATTCCAGCTCAAAGTATCCTGAGGATTCTCACTATGTATAAAATATGCAGAATTACCACTATCTGTGCCTGATGATACCCACTGCTCAATATCAGCCCGTCTGCAGCCCATGCTAAAGAATCTCTTTGTTGTATGAATGTGACTGAAAAGTATGGTAATGCTGCATTGTTGGAAAATCAAAGCCCTCTACAAGCCTCTGTTATGTCACAACATATAGTAAAACCTTTTAGGCTCTTTTTCTATGCAAAAATATGGGAAGGACAATGTAATACAAAAATAGACAATTTATTCCTGGCAGCAAGTTCATCTTCTTTCAGTTCCCTTTCATCAGAGAAAGAACTATTATTGTTCTGTCTTCTTCAAAAGCAGGAGAGGGGAGCTAACCACTTATAATAAACCCCAGTGGGTTGCCAAGAATGCATAGTATTGCCTTTGTCAACCATCCATACATGAATTTTGATGCCCTTTTTACTAGAGTATTTATAATTGCTGCTTCTTCCAATTTCTTCCCGATATATCCCATAAAAAATAGCTTGATTACTAAAATTAAAATCAGTATGACCAACACAGAGTAAGAGATCAAAATGACATCCCATTACAAATGTATCTTCATCTGGATCCCATATCCCTCGGTTCCAATAGCCCACCTCTTCTCCTTTCTGCAGGGAGTGAAAGCAGGAAGAATGTCAGACTTGAAAATATATTATTCCTTCCTCACTGGAAAGAAAGCTTCTATTTATTTTTCCAAGCTCTCTATTGAGATGTCATCCAAGAAGCAAGGTTCACTGCTGAGTCTAAATGCACTTGATACTCAAAAGAGAAATATCACCCAGAAATGCACTCAGAAATAAATGCCATTGTGTCTGTTTGTCATTGAAGGTATAGCAGAAATGTACGTGTTTTCAGCAAAAAGAAAGCATAAAATTCAAAACCCTTTCCCAAGTCACCTGTAGATTTGAGCTTGTGGTGACCAACAAAATGAAATGGGAAATAAATCTGAGAGCTCTGGAACTTGGCAACTCTTTAATTTCAAAAATTCACCCCTTTATAGGCCTACGAGAGACAAAAAACCTCAAGACTCGGGGCTGCCTTGAAAGAGTCCTTCCTGTGTTTAGAAATTGGAGAGGATTCTTTTGCAAGGGAAACTGGAGAGACCCAAGCAAGAGTTGACACGTTTCTTAATTTAAAACATTATGAACTTTTATGAGCGGAGCCATCAGGGCTGAGAGCTCTGTCAGCCCTCCTGCCTCGGCTTCTCGCCGCATTATCGGCCGGAGCAGATGAACCACCTGCTCCTGAGCAGAACCCTCGTGGTGGACCTGATTTAGGAAATCATTTCTGAAATAGGAGCAGGGCTTTTCATAAACTGACAAGAAAACTTGTTTAATCTCCTGTGCCTTTTTAGTAATCCCCTCTTCAGTCACAGTCTCTCTAATTACCTGCTGTTGGACCATTTTTCTCAGAAGTCTCTCCAAACCATGTCTGGTTTATTTTCCTCAGCAAATAGTCTGCTTTTAGCTAATTTTATAAAACGCTCTGTGTGTTTGCTGAGTGAATTTTTCAGCTGCCCTCTGGCAGTGATGAGCTGACTCAAAACATTAGGGTTTCTGTTTTGAACATGTATCATTTGCAATGGGCTAATATTTCTCTCCTAGATTGTCACAACGACTTCGTGTTCTTTTCTTGCAAATCTGCTATTTTAATTGCTTTGTCAGAGTCCCCTCAGGTCACCTTGGTGGCAATGCCATTAACCCTGGGCTTATCTATCAATTACAGATTTTTAAAGTGTCCATGGACATATTTTTCTATCATACAAAGTAAGTTATGGAAAACTTGCCTCCATGCAACTCTTCAGCATTAGAGGAGTGAGGTCTTCCAATATTCTATATTGAAAAACTTTCATATATTTCCTATTTGGGGCTTCAGTGAACAAAAGAAAGATAATAATGCTAGAATTACACTGCCAGTGTCTGGTCAAGGGGTGTTGAGTGCCCTGGGTGTTATTGTACTAAACCTCATCCGCTTTCGTGGTGCATAAGAAGGTGAGCAGTTCTAGTCTGAGGTCCTTCTCATCCTGAAAAGGGGTTGAAATTAGCATTCCCTGCAATAATTTCTTGGATGTTAGCAGCAAGGAAAAGTAATTCTCTTAAAGGAAAAATAGAAGCAATGATCTCTTTGGGGAACGTGAATATTCATGATGGTGGTACAGGTCTCATTTATCATCCCTTCCACACAGTATGTGGTAGAAAATGAGAAGGAGACAAAGTGTAAGTGCTTACTAAAGTAGAAATTACCACTTATTAATCTCTGCTTTTGTATACTACAAAGAGAGAAGTACACTTCTGTGCCGAAATGTCGTTGTAGTTTTAAATATTTATTTCTGCCCAGGTGTGTGTCTTAAGCACTTGTTCTGTCTGCCTTGAGGGACTTAAATCTGTAAGCACCATCTGTTGCTGGTTGGTGTGGACACATGGCTAAAGACTATGATATCAGTGAGAAGGTGTCCTGTATGGCTGCAGCTCATGCTGCTCAATCTCTGAACAGAAAGTGCTTGTTTCCTTCACCCTGCTGACTGATTACCATTGTCAATCGAACAGAATAATCAACTAAACCCAAATCCTGAGTAAACAAAACCCCATGTTTAAACTCGGTTTGTGTGTTAAAAGAAAAACAGGAAAGAGGGAATGTCCACTGTTCTTCAAAAGTCTTCTAAGACTTGTACATTAAGAAAAAGAGGCTCAGCTTTAAGTCTTGTAGCCTCTGTCTTCAAGTGAGCTGTTGATTGAGCCCTTCTAATGTATGGAAGATCAAGATTAGTAAATGCACATCCTGAAAATATCCTTAATATGTACCAGGAGTGCTTCTTTACTTCCCAGAAAGGCAGCTACATGGGGATAAGTTTGCTGTGAGCTCCCCCTCAGCTATTCCTGCATTGCTACTTCTGTGACCATCATCTTCCAGAAGGAGCTGAAGCCATGACCCATATCTGAGCTCTTCCCCACTGGGAGTGTTGATAAATGACATGGGGACTGGGACTTCAGTGAACCATGTAGCAACAAGACGTTTCACTCTTTCCTTCAGTAATTATCTTTGCCAGCTTAATCACAAAAACTTTTCCAACCAGCTTGCTTAGGACATAATGATAAATTGTAGCAGAGGTTTAATGTTTATTATAATTTAATGTTTCATTCAAAATTAAGTAGCACACTCCTGTAGTCCCTGGGTAAATGGCCGTATCTTACACTCCCTCTCCACACTTTTCAATTACAGCCTTTCTCTGCCACTCTCTCTCAGGCCAGCTGCCCTTCTGCTTTGTTTCCAGGTCCCCTTCATCCCTAAACTTAACTCATCCAAAATTTTACAGTGCTGTGTTCAAAATCTGCTTCCTTTGGGCCCAGCCCAAAAGTGGCCCTGTCTGAGCTGTCAGTGCGTGCCCAGATCTAAGGGAGAGCTCAATCAGCCCAAACTCCTCACGATCAAGGCATCTCAAGCAAGTGATTTAATGAAGTTAAGATCTGAATCACACCCTGAGGTGTCATTCCATGTTTACTACAGAAAGAGCCCGGGGTCGCCGTGCTGCTAATTTCGTTATGCATTTAAAGTCAAATGAGACGAGACAAGACTTTAAGTCCCGGGTTTAGCCTTAGGAAGCATCAGCCCTTCTAGCCTGGAGAGAGGTGGGCAGGGAAGTGCCTTCTACTTGCGTTGCCTCATTAGCTCTGTGTTTTTCTTACCACTCCTTGGCTCTCCCAGCGATCTTTATTTTTTTGGGTGCTAACTCCACAGTGTGTCTCCCTCAGAAACACGTAAACAAAAGCATTCGCAGTTTTAACAGAAAAATAATAAAGCTATTGTCTGGCTCTCCATATGTTCCTCAATCTTCCCATAGAAGCCGAAATCCAGGACATATTTATTGTTCTGGCCTAAAGCCAGAGCCTGTATTTGCTTTTGTGAGTGGCTGAGGAGTTTGTGGTTTTTAAATAACTGTGAGCCTTCAGTACATGATACATTACACCCAGGAATTACTGTGTTTTTAAATTAAGCCTGTGAAGTACCCTTGTGGCTTTCTGCCCTGGCCAGGAGCTGTGGAAGGGTCACCCTCAGCTTTCCTGGGGAGGAGGGAAGGTTGAATGGGTAAAAACTGTCCCTCCTTTCTTTTCCTTCACTATGAGATCCTTGTCCTCCTTAGGAACGGGATGATAAGGAGCAGAAATCATGCTCAAGTATAATGCTGAAGGGCTTTTATCTCTTAAAACACATCAGCATCGAAGGGTTGCAGCAGAATTTAGTGTTCTCACTGCACTGTGCAGCCTCCCACTTCCAGCCAATGAGTACAAATGAAATGTTTTTCCACAAATTTCTTTTATGTGGAGAAATTACACATTTTAATTGAGCTGCTGTTTTATTTTTGTTTTCTAATGTTTCATTTGGTATTTCCGTGGGGTTTCTGCAGGCATTTTTGCTACATTTTCTGGTTGGGTGCTCCCAAAAAAATCCTTATTATAGGAAGGAAGGATTCTACCCATGACAGGATAAGCCTGAATCCGCAAGTAAATCAAGCTGTTCTGTAGCCTAAGAATACATATGGTAATTTTGATTAGTAGCTCTGTGTGGATAGTGTCAATGTCTTCTGCTTCCTTGAGTATGAAAAATTCCATGTTAAATCATATCTCCCATGTGTTTTACTGTTTATACGTATTATGGCTGTCACATTGCTGGGACATCATTGTAAGAAGGGAGAAAAAGTGAGAGAGGAAATTTATTGACCAAGTTGCTCAGTCACAAACCGTATGAAAATTGGCTTTTTTCCACATTTAGCAACATTTCCATTAGCTGTTCTAAGCATCAGCCTTGGGACTTTCAGCATAAATTATTTTTTTTCCCCCCAAATAGGATAAAATTGTGAAGAACTCAGAGATGTCTTTCATTTATTTAATTGTACAATAGCTGCTGGTGGTTTTATATCTATCATCGCACAAGGCTGGTGTCGTCTGCCTTTCACTGCCTGTAAGACTGTATAGCTGAATGAAATGTAGATTAATTTTTCTGTGCTTTTTTTTTTTCCTCCCTTTCTCTTTTCCTTGACAGTGAGCTGCCTCATTCCCCTCAGAATCTTCTGGCCACTCTGAATTCCTCCCACAGCCGGAGCGTGATGCTCTCCTGGGTTCGCCCCTTTGACGGCAACAGCCCCGTGCTCTACTATGTGGTCGAGCTCTCTGAGAACAGTAAGTAAAGTCAGATATATTTCAACCTCACGTTGTTCTTAATCGTTCAGGCTCACCTTTTACCAGAGCTGCTAACAAAGTGCTGCTGTAGTTTGCTAAATGAGAGACATCATGCACAAAGGGGAAGCTCTGGGTTTTTAAACTCAGCTGTTTGCACACTGAAAGAGTGAGACAACAAAGAAGCCTGAGATGGTGAAATTGTTACACAGGAAAGGCTTAGTTCCACCTTCAGTATTGCCAGCCAGACTTGAGGCACAACAGCTCACTCCTCAGTGCTGTAAACCAACAGTAATCTGTTTCTTCCCATTGTTGTCTTTTTCTCCAATTTCTTAGATATCTTGATGCATTCAGAACCCCAATTTCACCTCAAAGTTGCAGGCAGGGTGATAATACAAGGAATTGTGGTCTGTCAAAGGAAAAAACTTGGATGTCAGTAGGAGCTACTGTCTTACCTGTATATGGGCTCATATATTTTCTCTGCTTTCCCTAGATTATCATTTTACGTTGTTCTTTTAGGTGGGTGGTTGAGGATGCTTGAGTGAGATATCCAGGTGTCTTCCTGGGTTACAAACCTGGCCATTGTGAATTGCCACTTCTTCCAGATTTATCATGCTCTGTGCCTGGGCCTCCGTGGCTCTCAGTTTGCAAGGTTATTCAGGGACATTGCTAATGCCTCCTTAGGAGTTGATGGAAAGATGAGGTTATATGGAAATCGGTCACCTTGGCAATACTTTCTAATCTCTATCACCCTAGGAGCTGGAAATCCAAGCTGAACAATTGATTCCTGATGAAAAAATTAAGAGCATCACTTTTTCTGACATGTGGAAATTAGTCACTGCATAGCTGAATGTGAAGCACTCCTGATTTCTGATTATCTAGAGAGCAGCAGTTTGTTTTGCCACACAGAGAGCCTGAGAGGAAACTTGGGCTTCAGATCACATACAACCCTTTTGCTTTGCAGGCTGAAGTGCATAACTTTTCAGATGTGGAGGTCCCAGAACTGATGATCTTGACAACTGTTAAGCAAAGTGCAGGTTTCTAATCCAAGCAGAAATCCAAAGTCATGCCCAGAACTGCTGTCCTTAAAATAGTTCTGTTCAGGCAAAGACTCCTGATCTTTCTGTAATGAATGATTAAGAAAAACCAGTGTCCTGCATTCCCCCTCTACCTTTTTATCACGAACTTCCTTTTTATTTTCGCTCTTCTCTCCTTTCTTACTATTGACTACAGGGCAAGTAACTACCTTTCTGCTTTTCCTTCCCTGTTCTTTCACCCAAGGATGAAACACCCTTGCGTTTCTTGTTTTCCAGTGGCTTTGACAATGACAAGCCAAAGAAGTCCCAGTCTGGGAGCACAGTGCAGAGGTCCTAGGGCTGTATTTACACAGACACAGCACAGAGCTGGCAAAACATGTGAACCTGGGTCCTGCAGTGGGCTGCATTGGCTGGGGAGAGTCCCTAAAAGAAGAGGTGCAGTTCACTCAGTGCCAGGAGAATCATGGAATTGCTTGAGTCGGAAGGGACCTTAAAGGTCATCTCGTTCCATCATTCATCTTGTGTCATGGAAAAGTTTGAAGACCTTGCAAGTCCCTTTCTAGCAAGGATGCCTTGCAGTTGTATAGCAACGGGGTAAATGTGCTGTCGTTTTATAATTTTATAATTAATTCACTGAAATTTGTCAAAGGCTCAGCGAAAATCAACAGTAATTCTTCGGAAATGGTGCAGACAATCCCTCAGAACTCCACAGGATGCTGTGAACCATTGCTCACTCCACGATAGATAAAATAATTTTGGCTGATGGCATTGCAATCTGCCACTGAGAGGGTCTCATTATCCCAAATCCCAGGTATATGTACTTCAGCAGCTTGCAGCTGCAAAAGCCAGCCACACACTGGGTTTGCTGTGAATTGAGAATCTTAACTCCCAGATATACTCTAGGTCTTGCTGTCCTTTAAATTTTTGTCTTTATTTACTTTGCTTATATGTGCAGTGTCCAAATGGCTACCCACAGAAGTAGGACTTGAATATTCCCCTGAATGTTCCACTCTTGCTGTGATCTCTCATTTCATATATTCTTGCTCAGCTTTAGAGTTGCCAACAGAATAGCACAACATCATCAGTGACTTTGGTTTGAAAAGCTGACTGTAACGTCTGCATATTGTCACTGTCTTGGTTTGGCTTTTATTTTCCTGAAGTTTGTTTTTCAGAGTTATTTTGATCTCAGTGGGGCGTGGTTAATATTTAGTTTCTCCAGACCTCCTACGCCTCTGGAAACCACCACCTTCCCTTTGTTCCCACCCTTCCCAAGCACTGTTTGTGAACGAAGCTGACGTTTGATCTTGTGTGGGTATAGTTTGGTCTGATAGGACTGTGCAGGAGCTCTCTTTGCTTTTCAAAGACAATTTCCTTTTGGGTTTTGTGCTGCAGAAAGAGCGACTGTCAGGGAGGCAGCGAACACCCTCCATGAGCTCCTGTGCCGGCGTCGGGAGCTCTGTCACTGTCACAGCAGCACAAAACACAATGTGCTTCATATCCCAATCCCCCTTGGCTTTCACACGTGTGAAGGGTAGGGAGGGACATCAGAATTATGATTTATTTTCCAGTTAGCAAATCTGCACAGAAGACTTTGTTGTTAGTTCTGTGGAGTTTGAATATGCGGGGTTTGCTTTGCAGTCACAGGTGCCAAAACATAGCCCTGTTTTGTTCCTTTTCTTTTTTTAGCTGTTTTGCTTCGGATAATTTTCTAATAGCTTTAGGATCCATTGTAGGTTTTGAAGCACGTACCATAAATGAATACACAATAACAATATCTGTTGCAGAGAAATAGCTGAAGAGGGTTCAAAATAATGAGTATGAATTTCAGGGGTTTAATTACCAGCTGCATTAGAGAGAGGCGTGTCACTCCACCTGGCATGGATTAGAACTCCTTTTCATTAATATCAATTCAGTAAAGAGATATAAAAACCTTATTTTAATTAGAGGGAAAAAACAGTGGCAGATCGTGCACATAAATTGCTGGAAATATGAACGACTCTAGCCACCTAATTTTTAAAATGAATGTATTTGGCACAATGCAATAATTCTCAAATTACAAGTATTCACAGTAGACTGTGTCTGTGGGTGACTTGAGACATATGGCCTTAAACATTTGGGGGCAAATTTATAATCTAATTTGAAAAACACAGTTCCAGGGAAACACAGTCATTAAGTATTCCTGCCCACACAGAGCCAAGAATGTGAACCTTGATTTGAAATAGGATTTTCAAATAAATAGTACCATGCATTGCTGTCATTTGCACTAATATAATTTTGGATGCTTCATGACCTGTTTAGCCCCTGTTGCGATTATACCCAGGAATTCCAATGAAGTCTCTTCATGGTGTTAGAAGGGGATATGCTTAATTTTATTCCAAAGAGGTTTAGACTTAAGGAATTAATCAAAAAAATATTCTGAATAGGCTTTTAACTGAAGAAATGAATTAAGACTTAAAGAATTCTGCTGAGTACAATTAAGATAAAAGCCCATTTTTGTTTTATTGTATTCTGGGATATCTGTGCTGTGTGATGTAATGATATAACTCAGATTCATCACATTGTGCCAATGAGGAGATAATAAAAGCTCCCGTGAAAAGCATTTGTGCATGCTTAACTTAAAACCTATGAATTGTCATCCCAAATTTGGTAGGAATATTCAAGTGGCAAAAACTTAAAACATCGATAAACCATTGCAAAAATCAAAGTAAAACTGTTTGTTACAATTGTGACTCAGATCTAAACAGGATGATGTTAAGATACTTTTTCTAAGGCCACTGGTAGTCCTTGTTTAAGTCCTACCAAACAAAGGATGAACCACCTAGCTTCTATGTGGATTTTTTGCAATATCATTTTGTTATGAAGGTTTGAAAGATGGATTTAGTGAACTCCAGCAGTACAGCAAATTCCAATACTACCCATCTATGCAAAACCCCCTGGAGATGGAAAGAGATGGAAATGTGCTCCAAACCTGCAAAAATCAGCTTTCTGCAGTAGATCTAAACTGTAATATCAAATTAGAAATGATTTTTGAGGAATTTGCAATTAATGCATGAACTGAAAGGTAGATGGGGAAATACAGAAGCAACATCTCTCAGCCAGTAACCAGAGTTACTGAATGCATTACAAGCACATCCAAAAATTCTTGACAGATCAAAAGTAATTTCTAAACCCCCACCATGACATTGTAAACTAGAGAGCGGCCTGTGAGATTCTTCATTTCCAATAAATGAACTTGCAGAGGCAATCAGAGTTAATTCAAAATACCCAATATCCCTAAGACAGCTAAACATGGAAGTTGTTCAGACAGTAGCAATTACAGGGGAAGAGCAAGCAGAGCCCAGAGTACATTCTGGGCAGCTTAAGTTAAATGAAGGATTAGCACAGCCTGTTCACTCTAACAGAGGCTTATTTAATAGTTTGACCTGGCAAGTCTTTTGTCACCATGGAGCTTCTCCAGGCTTCCTGGGACAGGTGAGTGACAGCCATCCCTGGAGGAGAGGAGAGTTGGTGTTGAAAATTTTATGGCATGTTTCCAGTGTCAGAACCGTTCTTCTCTCCAGTAAAACGAGCTGCTGCACAATTCTGGGGTTTGTTGTTGCATGGCTAAAGAGGGAGATGAGCTTTTTGAAGTGTTTTGTTTATTGATTGTCAAAAAAAAAGGACTTGACATTTAAATTTTAAAGATACTCTGCACACTCACTGTATCCACTGCTCTGTGAGTGAGCAAATGCTCCCCAAACTACCCTCCTTTACGAGTCAGAGCGCCCAGGAGATGAATAGGCTTCGTTTATATTAGTTTTCAGTTTAATCTCTCTTCCTGCCAGATCTTTTATCTTCCACCAGGAGAGGAAAAAGAATTAATAAAGTATTCTACAGATGCAGCATATAAACAGAGCAAAGCCCCAAGGTGCTGAGGAGATTAATAGGGCCTGTTGTTGAATCAAACTGCTCACTACATTGAGCTGCTTGGGTTAAGCACTCTCAGGTGGTGTTTACACTAGCAGTAAACAAATGAAATGCTTTAGGAAACGGACCACTGCCCAAGTAGCTCATACAAGGGTGTTTCACTCTCCTGTTGGTGTCTGCTCTTCCATTTTCCTCAGGAAGCTGCTTCAGGCAACGGACTAGGTCAGCCATACCTTAACTTCAGCTTACCTTGATTTGTTATTGTGCATTCTGGCTTTAACAAGGTTGGTTGTGAAGTCTTAAGGGAGGAAGCTTGAGAAAATTCAGAAGGAACTAGGATGCAAAAAAACCTCCTAAGCAGTGCTTTTCTGGATAGCACAGGTGTGTTCCTCTAAGTGTTCTCTAAGAGAAATTCAATGTTCAACTAAGATAAATTGGCATCAAGATCTTGCAACCAAAGTGACTGTTGCTAAATCAACAACTGGCAAGGACAGAACTTGACTGCTGTGCAAATGTCCCTCTCCAGCATTCCCAGTATTCTGCTGTGTCAGTTTTCCTGCTAAAAAAGACTTTGTTCTGGCAAAGCCGTTACTGGAATAAATACATTTGGAGTAACTCAAAGATGCAGTGTTTATAGCCCAAATGGCATCATACCCTGGAGGGCTTAAACTTGCTAAGAAATCTGCCAGAAAAACGCTAAATTAGTGGTTTCTGCCTTGGTGTGAATTTTAGCAGCCTTCCACATTTGGGACATCTCATCTTCATTTTCAGGCAGACGTTGAGGTGACCTGCCAGGAGCCACGATGCACTTCTGATGAGCAACGTGCACAGATAACAGTGCCAAAATCTACAGCTAGCTCCTCAGCAATTTCCAGAAGTGTTAGTAATTTTGAGCAGGGAGCATGAAAACAGCTGGTATTATTTAAAAACTGAACAAATCTTTAAATTGGCTGATTCCATTGCTGTGGTGTTGCAACACAGACCAAATGTCACCTCTCCCTCACTATTTCAGCCATGACTTCAGGGAGAATTTGTGTCACCAGGCTGTGGAGAAAAGAAGTCAGAATATTTAATTTTCAACATGTTTAATTTCTGACCTCTTTGAAAACTTGAAAATGTAATTTGGGCATCAGAGGAGCTCGGTGTGGAACTGACAACCAGGGTTTTATAGCACTGCCAGGGCTGTTTCTACCAGGGAATTTTCCTAGGACAATTAGACTCAATGCTGAATTCTATCACTAGGAAAAAAATAGGATTCAGACATGTAGAATCCACAGCAGAAGCTTTCTCAGGTCTTACAGCAAAAGGCTGATTTGGCACAGAGAGTCACGCTCCTACACCTGCTTGCAAGCTGGGGAGGAAGATATTCCAAACCGACCATGAATTTCATTAGAGTCCTTCCACCAGAGCCACTCATGGGTGTGGTGGTGTGATGGCCTGCCAAACAGATGGGTTGTGAAATACACAGCCCATCTGTCTTTATCATGCTTGTTTCCTCTTTTATTAAAATGTTAATGAATATAGTTTTTATTTATTATGCCATGACATGTGCAGCATCACTTTCCACTAGACAAATGTGCAATCTGCATAACCGTGTGGGCTGACAGGAAGGTTTCTTCTGCTGAAAAGAAACTTCTTCCCAAAGTTCCTCTGATGAAAACAAGCTCAAGAGCTCTGAGCAGTCAGAGGCTTTTTCTCGCTTCTGCAGGGCTTTTGACAAGCACTTCCATCTTTTTTTTTTATTATTATTATTATTTCACATGTTAATTATTCCAACAGACTCTCCCTGGAAGGTTCACCTCTCAAACCTTGACCCCAAGATGACCAGTGTCACCGTGAGTGGACTCACCCCAGCCCGGACCTACCAGTTCAGGGTGTGTGCAGTCAACCAGGTGGGAAAGGGCCAGTACAGCACTGAGACCAGCAGGTACAGTAACAATCAATATTTGTGTGCCAAAGGCACAGTAACCTACAGTTATTGGGAGGAAAAAAGCGCTGGTTGTGAATGAATGGATCAAATATCTTTGGGGAGTGGGACAGTTGGCATTACCCAGGCCCCTGGAGCCAGGAGTGATTGGTGATGATGGCAGTGAGGTCATGCAGGAGATCAGCACACGATGGGAGAGGTGTCCTCGTGCTTCCAGAGTATCAGTTGAGCAGGATCTTGGAAATAATTTTTTGCTCTTGTGCTAAGCCCCAGCAGTTAGCCCGGGCAGGAGTACAGCATCCACCCTGTCATCACAATGTCACTTCTGGAACTCACCCAGAGGTGACATAGAAGGATAGCTTCATCAGACTTAGTTTCAAATGCATCCCCCTTCTTCTGTGAACCAAGGCTTGCTGCGAGCTTGAATTGCAGAGCAGCTGAACTCTAAATGGCTTTTTCAAAATGTAGGAGTTTGATATGAAAAATATTGAAAGAACTGAAAGAAACAATTTGGAAGGAGTCACAGACACTGGACCTGAGCTCTTATTCATTCAGGCTTGTAATCTTTTTAAAGAGTTGTAGCAGCCTGAGTGATTCAGAGAGAATAGGGTTACCTCAGCTGTCTGTCTTGTTGCTTGCTTAACTGATTTCCCATTATGTTGATTTGTTGTAACTATTTCATGCATGTCTTCAGCAGTTTGATCAGTGTTACATTTCTTGCTAGTCATCAGACTGTGATAAAAGAAACTAGTTCACTTGGGCTGGATACAGGAAGTAGAAGTATTATTTCTAATTTATTTCAACATGTCCATCACATTCTTTTGTACTCAGGTTGATGTTACCAGAGGAGCCCCCCAGTGCCCCACCAAAAAACATAGTGGCCAGTGGACGAACCAATCAGTCTATTATGGTGCAGTGGCAGCCTCCTCCTGAGAGTGAGCACAATGGAGTTCTTCATGGGTACATCCTAAGGTAAGTGCTTTCCTAACCTGGAAAGTCCAGACGTTGGTCCGAGTGTGCACGAGGGAATTCAAACGGTGTGACTTAAGAGTGTAATAAAAATTGTCTCTAAAAATTTGTCTCATTAAATGCATTAGTTATTATTTGCAAATGCTGTGGCAGCCTCGGTTTGTTAAATATGAGAGAGGGGTCACAAGGGTGAAGGCACTTAAATTCTGGCCTGTCTGTACTAGAGAGTCAGTGAGCTGGGAGCTCCCTTAGCTGCTCCAAATGCACTGCCTGAGTGGACCAGCTCCCTGTGGAGACTCACAACATCCAGATAGCTTTTTTCCATATTCAAAGGGAATTGAAGCACCAAGTACTAGAAGTGTTCATGTGGGAAGCTGGTACAGTGCAGCCTATGCAGATGTATATTTGCTTATTAGAATCTCAGCTTCCTGCTCGAAAGGTTAATTAAATTTATCAAAGACACAACAGGGCTCCTGCCCTACAGAGGAGCAACAAAAGAATCAATAAACTTCAGTTTTGTGCCAAACAAAATGGAGAGAGGGAATGACAGGTCAGATGCTTCATGGCAGACCTTGATTTGGTTTTGAAAATCAGCCAGTTGAGTAAGATTCTTTCAGCCCCATTGCTGTTTATTAATGTGAAACACATTCAGGCAGGTAACTGGGAATCCTGAATACATCCAGTCTTTCTGCTTGCACAGGACTCGTTGTGTTGGAAAGGGTGTTGCCACACTGTGACTCTTTGCAGAGAATTTCCCTTCTGTAATTTTTTGGGACTCAGTATTCACTCCTACCCAATTCAACTACAGTTTACTGCTCATTTGGCATCCTACATATCCTGTAGTGGCAGCAGCCAGCTAGGGCCACACCTCTAGTGAGGGAGGCATTATCTAAATTAGAGTTTTTGTGGGAAACTCCCAGCCACTGACATAGTTCCAAGTGATGGTTGCAGCCTCCTGTGGGCAGGCTGCTGACATTTTTAATACAGTGTCCTCCAGAACTGTAAAAGATAACTAAATGCTACAGTTTAAATGCCAACATCCTGTTCATGCTGTGCTCCTACTTTTGCTGGCATGGATGGAAAGGCTTTTGTTATGTTAAGAGCATTGGTGAGCTCCCAAAATTGTGCTGGAAAGTTCCTTCTCTCTGCAGGCAGAGTTGAAGTCTGTTAATCTCCCTGTCACCTGTACAGACCCATTAACACTGGTGAGCCACTTGTACAAGTGCCTGTTTGTGCAAGATTTTAGAGCTGGACTCAGTTTGGAAGCTGTGCCAGCCATCACTGACAGGTGGGGAAAGGTGTTTTAGGTTCTCCCTATGGATAGAACCTTGTCCTGAGCCTTGGGTACCCATTTGCAGAGGGTACAGATGTTCTTTGCTTCAAACTGGTCTCTTCACCAGTAGGATCACTTCCTTAGATATTCCCAGTGAGTCTTTCCCAGTCTCAGCATTAAGTCCTTTAAAAAGCAATCCCACGGCCTCCTACTTCTGGCAATCTGTGCTGTTTTCTCCATAGAGCATTTTCAATAATGTTTAACATTAGTATTTTCTCCATCATCTATCAGCGTGATTGACCCCTGTCCTTGCCATAACATCTCTTTCCATTTTAATAGTGATCGTATTCGTTATGCTCAAATTGTGAACATTTTTGATGTCTGCATGCTTTGTCTTGACTACAGAGCAGAGAAACCATTTATTCAACAGGAATTTAAGATTATCACATAAAAGCACAACTGTCCCAGGTAATAAACCAGGCAGTCCTTCCAAGTGGAATTGTGTGGTCACAGCAATATGCACTGCAGGAAAGTCTTTGTGCACTGATTTCTGTTGGATTAGGCTGTAGCAGAATGAAAAGCACCAGGCATCCCAGAGACCCAAAGCTCAAGACATGCGAGATACTAAATTGATGGAACACCTGATCTTTAAAAGTGAAGGTGCACTGCACAAGTCATATGGAGTGTACATCAAACTCCATGGTGAGAAAAATCGTGAAGACATGACATTTCTGAACTGGCCTCCTTCCTCTGCCCTTTTTCTCACCGCCACTATTGCATTTAGAGGTCTGCCATGCTAACAGCATAACAGATTAAATCACAGGAGCACTCCACGCCTTGTCTGCTAGGTATGAGACAAAACATTGCTGCACTAAGAACTGACCTTGCCAGGGAGCATAAACCCTGCACACGAGGCAAAAGAGAGAGAAAGGGGGATATTGCACAGAGCAGAGGAAGATCAAGATGTTCAGTAAACTCAGCTGAGGGCTGATATTTATTTCCATTTGTATTTCATAAATGGAATAACTGCAGCGTAGCATTACAGATATTAAATGTGCTAAAATATGGTCAGGCAAGGAGCTCCTCAGAAGAAAATAGAGGTGTTGTCAATGACTGAGAACTGATCTCTCTATAGGAAGACTTTGGAACAAAAATCTGTGCCGAAATACATGAAATTGTCCAGTCATAAACTGCACCAATTTAACCTAGATGAATTTAAAGTCTGACTGTAAGACATCACTGAAATTGTTCTGTGTCAATAGATTGCAGTGAAGCAAAGGATGACTAAGAGTGCATAAAAGTTGTGTGGTGAATAAAAATACAAATGTTTCCATATTTGTCTCTTTCATGGAATAGTAATGTCTTGTGTCCCTTATTTGGCCTCTGGTTTTCTGATTTTTTCGTGAATTAGCATATTGTAAGCATCCACTGTACCACTTTCTGAAAGGAAGGAAAACAAACAGTATTATTCACATTCACAGATTTGCAAGGTTTGTTTGTTTTCTGTAATTTAGTTCTTCTCTGTAGTTTCTTGGCCTGAAGAGACACATCAAAGGGGCTTTGTTTTCTGGAATACAGTTTGTACATGGGAAAATATATTCAGTGTTTCAGCTTCTCATGTCTGAGCAGAAAGTTTGTCAGGATATTTATCAGCTATCTGTATTTGGCACAGCCCTTCTCCTGGGACTCCAGTGCTTACCCAGCCCCTCAGTCTCAACTGTATTCCATCCTTATTTTAAGCATTCTGTGAGGTAAATCCTGGTGGAAGCCAGAGATGCCAATGCCTGTGATTCCAGAAGGTCGGAGCCCTCTGAGCTTTTCCTTTTCAGATTTCAGAGGAGAAGAAAAAAAACATTTCTCAAGCTGATTTACAGCAGCACTCTGATAAAAATCACATCTGGGCTATTTTTTGTACTAAATCATAGCTTTTACTAGACAAGCCACATTTAAAAAGCTGTAATTTTTCTGCAACCATAAAACAGGATAAAATACCCGTTTTGTTTAGCCCTGAGCCTGTAATCTAAGTGAGATCAGATTATAAATACTATAGCAGTCAAACATGATATGGTCTTATCAGGAGCTACTCTGTTCTTTCTGATTATTTTTCATTATTCTTTGTATAATTCTGCTGTAAAACTTTGCATATTGCCTCTTCACAAAGGGAGCTGTTTTGCCAGTCAGGGTATTTGCTTTAATTGATACCATCTAATTAACTAGCTAATTTTTCTCCCCATATGGTAGGTATCGCCTGGCCGGCCTCCCTGGAGAATACCAGTATAAGAACATCACCAGTGCAGAAATCAACTACTGCTTAGTGAAAGACCTGATCATTTGGACCCAGTATGAAATCCAGGTGGCATCTTACAATGGAGCTGGGCTGGGAGCCTTCAGCAGACCCGTGACAGAGTACACTTTACAGGGAGGTGAGCAAATGAGACCAATATCTCCATTCTATTTCCAGTTTATGGCATTTTCCTTAGGAGATGTGCTGTCTGGTTGTCCCACCTAACAGCTTGTGAAATGGATGGTCATTTCAGTCATATTTGATGGACAGCTTGGAGTAGGAAACACCTGCACATTTCAAATGCTTGAGCAGAGACAAGTCTCTGCTTCTGTCTCTGTTGTAGGAAAAGTTCTGAGTGAATTCAAAAATTATCTATTTTTGTTGACCCTCATAATGACATGTTGCCACACTTGCAGGTCGGAGTCAGCTGCAGCATAAGTAATAAATAGAAATGCTGACGAGAGTGGGGTCCTGGGGAATGGATTTATAGGACCTGTGACAGGCAGGGGGCTGAGGTTACTCTGCCAGGAGAGTTAGAGAAAATATGGCAGGGAATTGGTTTTATCATGGCCAAGATATGCAATATGCTGCATATGCAATATGGGAGACAGAGGCAGAGTTAACCAGCTGTGTTAGTTCTGATAATCACAGAATACCTTGTTTTAGAAATATGGAATAAGTTGTAAGGAAAGTGCAGGGAGGGAAATACAGCCTGTGGAGACAGTGTTCTGAAGCATTTCAGGAATGCTGCAGACATTTGCAAAGAGGAAGATAAAATTATCTGTAAAGCCCTGATTTTTATGCTACAGCTCCTCCACACCTTTCTAAGTGCTTTAAGAAGAGTATAAATTACATCAACAAAAGGATATGTAATTACTTTTTACAACCAGTGTAAGGCATGTTTACACCTCTAGATTGGTATAAAAATCTGTAGGGTAATTAAGTACCAGGCCCTTAAAGCTTTCATATATTCCCATAATTGCAGGGTTGTACTGGATGCTGAGCACTGGACAGTACATGGGCTCTACTTCATTGGACGTGAAACAATTACACTGTTTTAAAAACTTGCAGATTTATAGTACATCAGTTAATTTTCAATCTGTGAAGAATATGTAGTTGTTTGCTAATTGTTGCTAGGAGTACTTTGTAACATGATTAGATACAGTTTGAGGTGTGGGAAGATCTTTAAGAAAAGATTATTCATATGCAACACTAATTAACTACAACAATTAAAGGAAGGACTATCTATATTTTTTCTCAGGGCATGTGAAGTCTCATAGTTTAGAGGAGCCTTGACACACTCAGCCTCATTCTAGAAGTATTTATAGCAGACCTTGAAATGTTTTTCTTAAAGTCTTCTCCTTGCAGCCAGGATTAATGTTTTCTATCCCACTAAAGACCCGATCTCTGCAGAGAATTGGTTTGCACACAGAATTTGAATCTCTTTTGTGAATATGCTTGTAATTCATTACTTTGTTTATTTGCCCATTTTAAGCTATCATAGCACCTTAACCTTCCATCCATTAAGGCTCAGGTTTGGACTTCACACTCTTTTTTCTTAAACCCTGTAATTGACTCTAATTTCCCTGGATATTATGTGCTGTTATTATCATCCTTTATTGATTGGCTGTCTGTTGTCATTTATAAGGATATAAATCCTCTGTTATAAATTAGCTGTAGTCAGTCCTGCATTCATATTAATCAGGAAGGGTGTTTAGACTGCAGGCCAACCTGCAGTGGCCTGTTTGTCTTTATGTAGTTCCTGAATGCTCAGTGCTGGGTAGAAGAAAAACTGGGTATTTCTCATTTATTTTATATCAATATTTTCTAATAGCTGTAAATAACTGCTTCATGGATGCTGCCATCTCCTAATGAATGCTTTGCTGGGTTTCTGTGCAAATCACCAAGGCCATACGGCCTGTTCTATAAAGAGTTTGAAGCCTTTCTACATTTAGAACTGAAAAGGGAGACTGGTTGGTATCAGTATCATTTGAAACTGGATTAATATCAAGTCTCCATATGTCATATGCTGCTGTCTGAAACTCTGCTCCTTTATGGGAGTTGGGAAAAGACAGGGAAAGCCAGTGACTGTTTCTTGCTCCAGAATGTCCTTCCTAAACCGAACCAGCAGGAGTAAGGAAAAGCCACGTGTAAAACTGCCTTGTAAATCATATTCTGATTTTAATATGAGCAGAGATAAATGTCAAAGACACACACTCCCATCCATCCCCCTCTCCTACTACCAGCACCACTGCCTCTGTTCTGACATGCATTAAATGATGTGAGCTCTGCTGGCAAGAACCTGTCTATCTGCAGATGAAAAATACCTGCACCACCTCACACTAATCAAGCGTGCTCTGCACTCAGACCCTGGGAGGAAATGAACCCCGGGAGCAGATCAACCCATTGGCAGGAGCACATCAGCATATTGGCATCTTTGTCATAGGGGATATTGACTGGCCATATAAGCTGTGGATTTATACCAGAAGCTAGTCTATTAATCCCTTATTAGTCCTCTGGCATTGCTTTAGCCACTGAAAACTAATCAGCTACTCAAAGCTCATCAAAAATCACCAACTGGTAGAATGCAGCCAAACTCACGAGATGCTGAGGGATCTAAACTTGTAGGCAACTGATGCATAATGTCAGATAAAATGTCAGAGAGACTTACTGGCAAAGCACTGAACATCCAAGCACTGGGGTCAGGCAGGTTGACTGTCTCTAAAATCTTGAAAGTCCTTTCAGAGTGATATTCAGCCTAATCCTTTGATGCTGTGTATATATAGGTCTTCCTTCATCAGAGCTTCTCCAGCTGTTCTTTGCTTTGATGTTACTTTTCACAGGGATTTTTGCCAGCCTTCTGCATAGGGCAATTTTACTTATTTAAACAGTGTCCTGCAGGACTTTCCATTGCCAGGTGAAAAATTGAAGTTTCCAAATACCTTTCATGGAAGAATAGCTTTGTGAGAGGTATAAACATCTTTCTGTGGTGACTGCATTGTTTCTGCTCTGTGCTATTGGACAGGTTTACCTTTTTCTTCAGGTTGATTTGATAAAACAGCAGCTTCTGTCCTTTACTTTGGGTCTGTCCCTTTTATCTCTCTAGTGTGAGTATTTCTGAACTTCCCTCTCTTTGATAAACTCCCACTGCACCTTAGATTTAGGCAGGGCATGCTTTACAAGGAGAGACATCACTTCCATCAGCCTCTTTGCATTGACATTAACCCACTTCTATTTCTTCTTTAAGTGCTTGTCTTTCTTCTGATGCATATCCCAAAAACCAGTCTTATTTCCTGAAGTTCACAGATCTCAACATGTAGTTCAATGTTGGTTTATTTTCCCTTCTGTGCTGTGCACCAGCACCTCTCCAGGCCAAGCAACTCTGAGCAAAAGGCCCTTCCTGAATAAAAGAGTGGGTGAGACACCAAACTAGTGAGTCTTGATAGTGTGGAGAGAGGGATAAAAGCACAAGTCTGTTCAGCCAGGCCCAAAGTGATGTCTTGCTCAGGCAGTAGGAGATGAATCAGAGAAATTTATATGACTGAGGTAGAAGAGCCAGAGAAAAACCAGTTAACTGAAAGCTTCCTGCTTTATGGAGGAAATAATCTTGAAAAAGGACTCTCTGAATGCAGAGTGTCCTCTGCAACCATTCAGTTTTATCTCAGTGAAAAGATACTTCCATTAGTTTTTCCTGGGGCTTTCTTGGCAAAAACGTCTTAAAGATCCTCATTCACTTCCTTTGGGGAACCTCCCAGTAGCCTTGGAGTGTCCATGGCTGTTTTGGGCCCAACTTCTCCTGTGCAAAAGCAGGTTGGAGTTGTAGTGGCTCGATTTTTATCACTGTTAGGTGTCCTTTGCCATCTACTGCTTTTATTTTATTTTTAAGGTATTTTATAAGGTGGTGAAGTTAGCAGTTGTCTCAGTCAGGCCCCTGGCCCCCAGTTCTTAACAAAGAAATAAAATCTTGTCCATGTGAGAGACATACAGGAGAGGAAGGAGGCATTTCCCAGCTGCAAGAAGCAAAACTCATCTGTTAGTGCCAAATCTCACACTACTGAATTTCAGAATTCAAATTTTCAAATGTGTGGAATTACAGAGACCACTTTTCCTGTGCACCCACAGAGCACCTCCCAGAATGTCAGCTGGGAGCAGAGGGAACAGACTTCACAGGAGGAGTTACTTGCCTCCACATCCCCACCGAGATGTGCAGCTCAGCACCTCGAGCTGGTGCATTAAGGGAACAGCCAAATCCTCACAAAGAGGAAAACCTGCAGTTCCCCCAGCCTGCCTTACTGAGACAGGGAAGCTGTCACCTCAAAGGTCAGGAGCTCCAGAGGAGCAGGAGACTTTTCTCCAGGCCTCTGTTGGAGATCTATATTTAGGGCCAGGAGTCCGGCTGTCAGAAACTCTGCGGGATTTACATGCTATTTGCACATAGCTGGAGACAGAATAATTACATGTGCACATGCTTAACCTTAATGCCTTCTCTCCTCTCAATTATCCTGTCAGCAAAACCCTTTTAATGGTTTTTATCTCCAGTGCTTCCATGACCTTTTCTGCTTGGAATGCTGCACATTAACCCGCAGTCCCGGGGGCTGAGCTCTCCGTAGGTTTCCAACCACGTGAACTTTATCGGGGGGAAAGTAACAGTTGGGTTTTTTCTGGCCAGTTTGACCTGAAATTCCGAGATGACTCCCAGATGGGTCTCTGCTGTGAGATGGTTTTGGAATACTTGCAAGCATGATGAAGTACAGGTTTAAAAACTGGGAATGTTAATGCTTTGGGATTACTCTTGAAACACCTATTTGACATTGGCAGCTTCTGTACAACTTGACAACAAACTGGTAGGAAGAGGATAGATATCCACCACTAAATTAGAAAATCCTTTATGTGGACAGTCACAGCTCCAGTAAGTTACTATCCGTGATCTTGGAAAAGTATTTGAGATTTGAAGTGACCAGAAGGTCAATTCTGATTTAGCTTCCGTCAAACTTCTTTTCTTTTTTTAAATGCAAAACTGTTCAGATACCCAAGGAAGTCTTTAATATCAGGACATAAAAGGAGAATTTTATACTGGCACTTTGAAGTAAATTTGAGATTATAATGCCAATATTTTACTGATTAAAAATATAAAAATGTGTTACATTATGTCTTCTGCAGCATAATTAAGCCTATGCATATCAGATGGACCATGTTCTTTCCATCCTTTAAATGCATTAATTGAGATGCAGATGTTGAATTTTCAATGAAGATGTTCAAAGAGGAATTGTGATATAAATCATGATTTCCAATGTTCTGAAGGCTTTATGTTTTCTGTTCATAATTTTTATCATTTTTCATATTGTAGCAGGTACTTTTTTTGCTATGATTGTATATTCTTGTTTCAGGAAATTACCTCCTAATGCCTAAAAAATATTTCCCTTTTTAAAAGAAATAAATAATGCATTTGGTTATCCACACATTTCTAAAACTGTAGTAAACCTATCCTCAAGTGCTTGCCTGAGCTTTTTAGAGGGCTGTAAGGACCACAAATGAAAACTTGAAGCTTGTTAATACAAATTTTTCTTCTCTTAAAAAATTTGTAGTATTTTGGATTGTATCTAAAAGATTCATCAGGCTCTTATAAATAAAATCCATGTGATATTGAAATCACTGGAAATTTGCTATTCGTTGTACAGTAGCTATGGGATCCTTCCCTAAAGGAAATTATCACTCTCCACATCTCCCTGACAGGAGGGTGTAGCCAGTTGGGGGTCAGGCTCTTCTCCCTATGAACAAACAACAGGACCAGAGGAAACGGCCTCAAGTTGTTGCTGGGGAGGTTTAAGTTGGATATTGGGAACAATTTCTCCGCCAAAAGGGTTGTCCAGCCCTGGCACAGCTGCCCAGGGCAGTGGTGGACTCACCACCCCAGGAGGGATTTAAAAGCCTTGTGGATGTGGCACTTGGGGACACGCTTCAGCCGCGGCCTTGGCAGCGCTGGGGGAACGGTCGGACTCGGTGCTCTCAGAGATCTTTTCCAACCTGAATGGTTCTCTGATTCCACATAGATGGAGTTGTAATGTAGCAGTTCGACAGAAGGAAGAGGAATGAGTGGAGAGGTTGATGCTCAGCTGATTTAGCCTTCCTGACAGGAGGAGATGAATCTATCAGTGATATCCTGGTGACTTTCTGATAACAAACCAACACGAAGGCTTGTAATACAATTTTATCCTGCACAGTAATGAATCTCTGGCAGTTACAATATCTGAATATGCAAATAATGCAGGAAAGTAAGAATTTTGATTTTAAAAATTTTATGCATGTTAACCATTAATTATATGAAGCATTGCACACAGAAGCAAATTCAAATATATCTTGTGGCTCTCATAATAAACAGTTTCATCAAAGAACATGAATTAAAAAAAAAATGCATTTAGTAGGGGACTGTAGCCAAAGCAACTCATTATGGCTGTAGAGTGACTTTAATATTTATGACTGTATCTCAGGATGATTTGGTGAATCTCTTAACTACAAAAACTTTATGATGTCTACAGGTCATTCAGATAATAGTATAACCTTCCAAAAGCACACAAGGAATTATGACACATGGCAGGAAGTAGGGCCTGGATTTTAATGAAAATTTAGAGTACTATCAGATAAACTTTGGTTTCAGAACTCAATAATTATGGATAGTTCATAAATTGTGACATCAAGTTTTAAATTAGGGCAAGAAAGTTGTGACTAATATGCAGTTACTGAGGTTAAAAAAATGTGCAGAGCTAAATTGTTGAGCCATGGTTCAGCCTTCAGGGAGTTTTAGTGACAGAGGGCATGAAAGTGGATGTTCTTGTCATTTCAAACCTACATCTTTGAGGATTTCTCCATTTTTGTGTGTTGATATTTCTAGACTGTGGATGTCTCTGATAATTGTGCACTGTCCTAGCTCTGTTGGTTCCAGTCTTACTGTAGTGTGTACCCCAGTTAAGAATAATGCCCCTTTATGTCTCTTCCAAACAAAAATAGCTTTTGGTGGGAAAAGGGGCAGTTTTGCATTTTTGAGCTTATTTTCTTCATTTCTTCTCCACGCAAAGACTCATCTTCCAAAGGTGGTTTGAAGCTTTAACAGTTTGGGACCTGTTTTTGAAAAGTATGGAGCAAAACACCATTTCTCAGTGGGAATTGTGGATATTCTTTAGAAGCACAGATCATTGGGCTTTGGTAGAAATTTTCCCTTGGAAGCAGAAGGAACAAAGCCTTCCAGGCTTCAAAACCACTTGTGGATAGTTCCTCTTTCATAGAATACAAATGCCCATGCCTGTCAATAGTAATATATTTGAAGCATTATTAAACTTCTTTTATAGGATTTAAAGTGTCTTAGTCCATTTTACTTACTCAAGTAGCAGTTTTCTTCTTAAACTTACTATAAGCTCGATAATTTCAGAAAAATAGACCTGTCTATTAATATTCTTTCCACTGAGAACTATAGAAATGACATTTTAAAGCAGCAAGTTGAAGAAATTGCCTGGAAGGAGACATTATATTAAATGGCAAAATATTTAAGTGCTATTTTTGGTTGTTTGAAGACAGGGTGCCTTTATGTTCCATGCTTTCTTTTGTATTGAGAAAACATCTGTCTAATTAAATCCTTGGCATAAAATGTTTATGCAACTTTTAGTAGATTAGAGGATGTATTGGCTCAGGATATATATAATCAATTCAATATACATGAATGCATATCATATCAAGATAAAATGAGAACATCTCCCAATTCCCAAGAAAAATCTTTATTGCATGTGATATGACTGGTCCTAATTCTTTAAGCAGCAGTAAATAATAAACAGATGCTGTTGCCAGATTATAATTCACAATTAGAACCTTAATTGTGGGAACTCCATGTTTTGTTGTCTGATCTGGGGAATTGAGTGGTATTAAAAGACTCAAGAAGTTTCTTTCAGAAACTGTTCATTGTCTGTGCAGTCATGGATAACTGAAAGAGCTGTGCTCACCTGTCCTTACCCAGCTTCTGTCTCAAGTCTTTCTGAGAAGCTCATCTGCAGAATAATAAGCTGCAGAAACCATTTCTTCTCCTCCCCTGGAAAGAATCTCCAGTGCAGAATGAGGAATTAACGCAATTACCCTGCTCTCCAACACGCTGCTGCTTCCCAAGAAGTGCATCCTTCTCCCAAGATTGTTATTACTCTGTGACTCACAAGTGACAGTCAGTGGGTTCTGGGTTCATTTTTCTCTTTTTCCTCCCCCTTCCTCCTCCACTGTGTTTTATTCCATGTCCCTCTCTGCTGACTGGGAGCAGTGCCCACGGCTCCACCGCAGAACGTGCAAGTCGAAGCCGTGAACTCCACAACCATCCAGTTCCTCTGGAACCCTCCACCCCAGCAGTTCATCAACGGCATTAACCAAGGATACAAGGTAAATAGAAACAAGGTTCCTGTAACTTCAGTGTTTGCCTTAACAGTCCTGGTATAAAAAGAAGTTGAATCTGATAACCTCTGAATCTCCAAAGTGACTGTATGATTTCAGGGGTGTCTTACATGGGTAAAACAAAGGGAGAAGTGAACAGTTGTTGCTCCTAGCAGGGCTTGGAGCCACCTGGTCTAGTGGAAGATGTCCCTGCAGGATCTGGCAGGGGGTTGGAACTGGATGATCTTTAAAATCCCTCCCGACCCAAACCTTTCTGTGAATCTAATATTTGCAATTTACCTACGTTCTGAAAAGGGAACATGTCATAGGCTAGAAGTCCTAATACTTTTGTCATCTTCCTGGGAAGTTTCCAAAACCAAAAAGCAGTTCAGTGTCAGTTTGGAAACTCACCACATGTCATTGTACCACTGAAAACCAGCTTGAGATTTCTATTTACACTAACGCAGAATTCCCATTCATTTCACTAGGAACCAAGACATCACACTAAATATTTGTCTTAACTTTCCCACTGTGATGATTTGGGAGGTATAAGAGTGTAAAGTTTATTAAGCATGCCCTGATGTTACCATGGTAAGTCCCTGCTGATGGGACAACTGGCAATATCTGTTACAGAGTAGGGAGTGTTTAACACAGCCCTCACTGGTCCTCTGGCCAGTGGAGTGTGGGCTAAGGAGGCAGTTGGAGTGGTTTATTCCTGCCCCTCAGGAAGAACTGCTTGACAGAAACTCCATCAATGGTTTGGCAGTCAGGGCATAATAAATGAAGGGTTTAAAAGTGTTCATGGAAAGAATGAAGAGAAATCTGGTAGGAAGGGAAGAAAGGTTTGGTTTATGAGCAGGGAGGAGGAAGGTTGATTGAGGTGTTGGGTGAAGGAATGTGGAGTGGGCTGAGAAGAATGTGTAGTTAGAAAACAGGCTGTGAATTAAGAGATTGATCATGGATTTGAGATGTTTCAGAAGACTTGATCCTTCTCCAAGAATGTCTCAAAGTGATGGAGAAACTGAGACAAACAGAGGTATGCGTGGGTGTTCCAGTATTTTTGCCCACATCTATGTATTTTTCATAAAGACCAGCAGTGGTTTCAGAATCCCACTGCTGAAGACCTAAATACCTGCAGAGGTGTATGTCTGCTGTTCCCAGAGATAGAATCAGCTCTCAAGGCTCAGTGACTGACAGGGCTGCAGGACAATATCCTAAAAGCTCAATACAGAAGTAGTACTTGGCTTCTGTTCAGATTCTGGAGAATAAAAGCACTTTTGGGGCTCAGTGGACTTCAGTGCAATACAATTTTCTGCTGCAATTCCAAGCACAGTGAGCCCAGATTTGCAGAAGTCTTATTCCAGATTTTTATTCTCTGTTGTATTCAGAGTTTCAGTCTTAAGATCCTTCGTCTCATTCCATAGCTACCTCTAATTTATGTTTTCATTTCTTGAGCAATGGTATAAAATAACTGAAATCATAAATTGTATCTGTCAGCGGCCAGTGAAAACCTTTGAAATTATCAAAATTTCTATTTCTTTGGATTTTTTTTGATTGCACTAGATTGCTACAGTTTTACCATTCCTGTTTCTCACAGGGATTGTGAATTGCAGTACAAAGATCATGTGAGAACATTTCTGTCACTTACTTTTATAGCCTAGCTTTGTGTATGATTTATAAATTGCTAGTAGTCAAAGTTAGGCCTTTGTGTTTTTTAAGGATTAAACCTTTTTTAAGGTTTTTCCTTAAACTGACAGAATTGTTCACCTGTGTTTTCTGCATGTTTCCTGAAGAACGTGCAATGAAATGCACTCAAAAAAGAAGTCAGTCCTCCAAAGTTATAAATGCCAATTGTAATCCACAGAGGTGATTTAGAAAAGAAAATAAAACTTAGTATCCTCTTCAAGCACTTTCCATTTTTATCTTTTCTTTGAAATTTATTTGCATTTCAATAAGTTGTAAAGTACACCTTCTCAAATATGAAATATTTCTAACAAAATTACTCTTTATAGTCCACTAACTGTGCTTTTTGATTTTCAGAGACTAGACATTGGCTAAATGTGTCAAATATGGCTCATTAATTTCAGGTATCTATTCATGTTTATGAGCCTGAAATCAATACAAGTAGCAGGATTTACACAGATACTGAGTCAGGTCTAGAATTTTAACACATTTTATAAGCTACAGGCAAAGGATTTTTGGACAAAATAAAAATTTCACAAGCTTTCAAGCTTTAGACCCCCTAAGCCTTTAAGGCAATTCCAAAAATTGTTTCAAAATTTCAAAGGCATTTGCCAGAAATGAATTTTTTAAGCCCTCATTTAGGTACCAACACATAAGGTATTGCACTCTCAAAGATATTGATCGCCCAGAACATCGGCTGAGATGAATGAGACCTGGAGGAACTGAGCTCATCTGACAAGCCCCCTATTTTAAATGCATGAAAATATGTCTTCAGGAGTCTAACTTTTGGGACTCGGGTGTTGGAAATTGTAGTAATCATCTTTACAACCATTTTCTATTCTTTCTGTAGTTCCAGAACCGCTCAAATCATTCACAGTGGGGATGTCCTCAGTCCACTGATGGTTTTAGTGCTCTCGGCCTTTTAGGCAGGGCTGCTCAGAGGGGTGCTGGGCTGGCTCTGGGAGGGGAAGGAGGATGTGTGTGTCCCCTAATCCCACCAACCTCCCCAGACAGTGGGATCTGTAAAGGAACCCCAAAATAAGATAAAGCATTTATGTCAGAGTAGCACTGAAAGTACTTTTCTTCCTTCAGCTTCCTTTCAGCAGCAGAGAGTGGCCAGGCTGATGAAAGGCCCATGTCATACGGGTAATAATTTGCAATAATTTTGGCACTGTTCAGTAGCAGACATTGAGAATTGCAATATTGGTGTATCATCACTGGTGAGTGTTACAGACATCCCTCCAGTATCGCAGTATCACTGCTACATCCATCTGTTCAGCATCAGAGCTGACAGTAGTTTAACAGCATTGCTTGGTTCTTTACAATCAGATTAAGATGGTTTTGGCAGCCAAACATACTTTGCCTCCAAATAGACACAACTTCTGATGAGAAGCTCATCCATATTTAAATTTTCCAGCTTCTGGCCTGGCCAGTGGATGCTCCAGAGAGTGTGACTGTGGTCACCATCGCTCCGGATTTCCATGGAGTCCACAGTGGCTGCATCACCAACCTGAAGAAATACACCACTTACTACACCTCAGTTCTGTGCTTCACCACGCCGGGGGACGGCCCCCGGAGCACACCCCAGCTCCTGAGCACCCTGGAGGACAGTGAGTATCCCCAGCACTGCCAGGGAACCTCAGCACTCAGGTTTGGGTGGGTTGGATAGAAAAGCCAGAATTTTTAAATCTCTGTGCTTAAGTTTTGATCTCAGCTTCACGATCAGTTGGCAGTCTCTTCTCAAGTTACCTTTCAGATGGTGTGTTCTTTTAGCCTGTGGCAAATATTTGATTTTTTTCTTTTTTTCATTATGGGCTGAACCTGGATGAATTTTTTCACACTGATGAGAACTTCACAGTCTGGTACAGCCAACACACAATGCGTTGTTTGTGTCTGTGAATCCTTGTGCTCTTAAATCCATGTTTGGGCACCCAAATAAATATCAATTGATCTCCTTAGGAAGTGAGCACTGGAACTTCCTGTGGAGGTCAATGATTAATTTGTGATTGTTTCCTTCTGTTGTTCAATATATTGAAAATGTCTGTTTGTATACTATATTGCAAACGTTTGTGTAAAAGAACCAGGATCATAACAAGGCAGTATCTTTTATTCTGAAAAAATGGAGGCAGGGTGAAGTAAAATGAGATAGTTTAGCATATAAATTGTTTCCTGAATCAGAAAATGGCTTGGCCTCTGTGGCCCCTTGGAAGTGTTTGCTCAAGACATATTTGGGACTCTCAAGTCTCACGTGTGCCTGATTCAGATAAGGACTAAACTGCAGTGGCCTCGCAGTTATTGTGTCCACAGTGATCTTGGCTCTGGCCAGTGCTTTGGTATATTCCTGTATTGGAGCATCATAAACACTGCTGCCCATTTACAGACTCAAATCAGGATAAAAAGTGTCTAATACATCCATTAAGATATTGTTTTTAGAAATACTGCTTTGCCTTAATAGGGATCTTTTAGGTTGGTCAGTGTTCCCGTAAAGAAAAATCCGATTGTCATTAACATTCACAGAAGTGAGGCTCAAAGTGCTAATCCAATTTTTCATGACATACTCTTGAAAGACCATGGAGAAAATTACTTTCCCATGGATTTTCCTGTTGTGGTTAGTCTCCTCTATATGCTAGAGCTGTGTCCCCAGAGCAGGCTGTAGACTTAAACCAGAGATAGCAATTTAACTACCAGAAGTCTTTGTGACTCACTAATATGAACTCAAACTTGTTTATCTGGGGTTAAAGTAAAAGGTGTGGTGGAAAGAGAAACATGCATTAGGTTCCTGTGTGCAGTATCAACTTTTTTGCCTGTTTTCCTAAGGAAACAAAGCTTTAGACAAGGATGGTTTGTAAATGTGTTCAACTGTCCTTCTTGGGTTCATCTGTCTTCTCTCTCCAAGGACAGTTGAACCCTGTGGCAAATTTCAGTGAAGAATAAGAAACCAAAGATAAAAGACTCCCAAGATTTTGCAAAAATTAATCAACTGGGAAGAGGAAAGGCTGTTAATATTTCTGCTGAAGGAAAGGCTGAAGAAAGGAGCCTTGCAGACTTTCCACAAAGTGAGAGAAGAGGCAGAGCCAAGACTTTGAGACTATCTCAGGGAAATGCTGAGATCACCTGCCATTTTAAACACCAGAAAATTCCATCAGGAAACATAAAACAAGGGAAAACCAGACTTGTATTTTGTAAACCATTTGATGCATTCCCTGGTGTATGCAGCTGTATGCTGCAAGGAGCCTCAGCAGGGGATTTTTTAATTTATTTATTTTTTAATCCTTCAGAATTGCTTCCCTTGGTTTTCAGAGTGGCTGAGAAATTGTGTGCAGGATGGTATAATGCATCTTTGTGGAGAACTCGTTGACTCTTAAGTTGCTTCAGGATTTATGTGGTAGGAAAAAAGATTTGAAAGGACTGTCATTCATGTTTGCAGGTGATAGTTTTCAGTCTATATAGCAGAGTTAGGCAATCCTCTAGAAAAAACTTGTGCAAATGGATCTGTTTGCTGATGAACTGTAGGTCAAACAAAATTTAACATCCAGTCAGAAGTATCTTGTCCTGGCTTGGAGTCACTTGCACCTGTGTTTCGTGGTGACATTAAAATTGGGCTGCAACTGCAGGGGCTAATTGGAGCCAAGCTGTGTGTGGGTTCTGTGTCTGCACATCCCTGGTCCCAAATAGTGCACAACTGCCATGCTCTTGTTGGGTATTCCTGGGATCACTACAGGATCAGCAGTTCTTCTGTGGAGCTTTGACTGCTTGGTATCGCAGAGTGGATTTGGAAACTTTCCTCACTAGGACTGCAGGATTGCAAATGGGGTTGTATCTGACCTACTGGCAGGGTTTGAGCTTTTTTTGTCATAGCTGGAGGGGAATGAGAGACTGGACTAAATTGAAGAGGAAACAAAATATGAAATTGCAGACAAGAAATTGCCAACTGATGTCAGTGGAGCTGGAGGATACTCGGGCAGGGATCCAATGACAGAAGCACTGTGAATATAAAGTGAACAAAAACCTCCTTTTTCCAGTACATCGATTGAGGACAGAACAGTATTTGGATCAAAAATCAGTCAGGTTGTCTTCCTTGAAGGCCAAAATTGAGGGAGGATGGCATATTCTTGACAGTCATTCCATTTTATGCTCTTTCATTGCACACTGGGGAGCTGAATTTTTAAGAGCTCTTTAGCTGCATCATAAAAACCCTTTAAAATTTTCGCACTCTTGTATTCATTTTACAGAAGACAGTTGCCATTATGTTGGACATTTTTAGATTTGTTTTGAGAGAACTTATCCAAGCAGTGGCTTGGTGACTCTGTCCTTGCTGTGACCTTGCATAGGGAAAAAGCTCTTCCCAGATGAGGATGTTCCTGGTGGTGTTGCTACAGACCTGGGTCCATATAAGCTGCACAGCAGTGAACACCACACACCTGCCAACTGAGGGGAAAAATGGCAAATACCATCACCTTCAGGATTACCAGCTTGATTGTGCTAATTAGGTTAGATGAAGAAGAGAGGAAAGAACAAGTTATATGCACGTCTCCTGTTTCCACTCTCTTTAGCTCTCCAGACAATTGGGATGATGGCTGGGTGAAATAATTTATGTGATGATAAGCCAGAGTGTTTCTTCCCAGCTTGTCTTCTCCCTCTCAGTGATGTTTTCAGCTTCCCTTGGCCCTGGCTCAGTGCTGTATTTCTTCATCCCTAACCTTGCCATGTGAATTAGATCACAATTAAGAGGGGTTCTCCTATTAACAGTTTTTCTTTCCTGATCTCCAGAGCCAGGAGCAGTGGGACACCTGAGTTTCACTGAGATCCTGGACACCTCGCTCAAGGTCAGCTGGCAAGAACCTGTTGAGAAAAATGGCATCATCACAGGTATCAGCTGCTATGTCTGCTTTTATTTCTTTTCTGTTAAGTGTGTGTGGGGTGGAATGAATCACTGCAGTGAAAAACTGTTTGTGTAACAGAGCATTTAGGGAGAACTGGCCACTGCGAGCGCTGGTGTCCTGGTCCTTCTTTTGGGTAATTGAGATGTCACCAGGGCACATTTTACAAGGTTTGGGTCCAGTTACTGGCAGCTCATGATTGTGGTGACTGGAAAGGCAGTTTGTTTTGGAAATCAGCTCCCCACAGGGTTTCTGGTCCTGTTAAATCTTCCATAACCTCCACCTGCGTTACTAAATTTGTGGAAATTTGTGAGACTGTGCTTGGCCTTTGCCCCAGGGGTGGGGGGTTCCTGCCCGGAGTTTACAGCTGCAAAATCTGGATTGGCATTGTTAAGATTTGCAATCAGGACCAAGCCTGAAATCAGCAGTGCCCTTCATCTGTGATCAAGTGGCCTGGCTGTGGACTGCGTGACAGAATTTGCATGTCATTACTTAATCTGTTATAAACCACCACAAGGGTTCAGAACTCTCTTGTTTCCCTTTGATGAGTCTGCCATTTGACAAGCTATTTATCTATTTACAGTATGCCAGTGTAGATACAACATCAGCAACTTCATTATTTTTCATAAAGGAAGCTATAAATACTTGAGAAAACCTCTAGTTCTTATCAACAGAGGCAATATTGTTTTCAGAGGGGAAACTGTTACAGCTCCACAGGACGGACATTCCATTTAAGAAAGGTTTCAAGGTTTTGAAGCACAAGAAAGCTCCCAGATTTTAAGTTACTGGAGATAAAAAGCACAGTTGGGAAGGGAGAGGATCATTTCATGTGGATCAAAATATTTTAGTTTGGGAGCATTGACATTGAAGTGTTTAATTTTTTGAAAAAAATTATTATAATTTGTAAGAAAATACACTTTAGGGGTTAAAAATATCAGACTTCCTGACCCTTGACCATTGAAATATTATATCAGTCTAATTTCCTGAAGCATTTTAACTTTGACAGGTCTAATCATTTTGATAGGACTTGTACTTGTCAGTGTTTTCTCTGTGTATCTGTAACGTTTGTATGTCTGTGTTCTGTGCTGTTTGTAGTGTGTGTGGAGTCCTTGTGCAGATCATCTCCTGCTTTTACACCACGGTCACCTTCCTGAAATATGCACTGATTTAAGTGGTTTGAGAATAGAAACTAATGACTCCTGAAAGCAGAGCAGTATTGATTCAGTGAAGATGGCCAAAGCCTTTCAAGCCCAAGAGCTTAAATTTAGGGACCTACATCCAAGCCTATCCAAGATGATGTAATACTGATCCTTGTTAAGCATCAGGGAGCAGCACCATGTTGGTGTTGTAGAATTGCTTTGCTGGAAACAAGCTGCTGCCTCCCAGGTTGGGTTGAAACCTGCTGGAACTCGATGATGGACTGTCTTATATTTGGGGTAAATTGTTCCAGAAAGACTTAACTAAACAAGCTCTGTTGTTCATGACAAAACACCAATGTGAAAATGCCCAGCAGAGTTTATAAGGAAAAAGAAACATCTTTAATGATGCAAATTGCATTTGGGATGGAAGAATAGGAAAATTGTTTATGCCCTTTGAGCACCTCAGAGGTTTATAGAGGGCTGCTTGGAGGTCTGAGTGCTCAGGGAAGCAATTATTCATCATTTCTGCTCATTGATGTCTTTAGTGGACCTTCTTGTTCCCTGCACCAGCACTGGGAGGAGGGAAGCACAGACAGGGTACCCAGCAGCCAACCTGAGCTGGGAAATTGCCCATTACTCTGCTGTAAATCTCAGTATCTTCCTCGTTCCCTCAGTAAACATTGATTTATGAGGCCCTGGATGTAGACAGACAGTTTGTGATTGGGTGTACTGCTCCCGTGTACAGAATTTACTCCATATCACCAGAAAATTATTTCTGAAACTCCTCTGGTCATTAGTTCCCGTTAGGCAGCATTTTGAGGAGTGCCAAAGCACAGGGGAAGGCTCTGTGGCACCTTTCCTGTTCTCACTCACACCAGAGCCAGAGGAAACCCTCTCTGCCCCACACACGTTTCTGGCAGGGATCACGTCTGTAACACAGGGAGTGTGTTTCCACCAACCACATGTCCCAAAGTTCTGCCCATCTGTCAGCCAGCGTGGCTTAAGTGCTACTTGGGGGGTACAGTGGTTGTTGTTCCTTTCCTTCTGCAGTTTTTTTTCATCTGTTTTTGTTATGCTTGGTTGCTTTTGGCTTTGTATCTGCTCACCGTGTGTGTACAGATTTTCTCTTCTCATCTTTTATATGACTAGAATTTAACTATACATCCAGGGCTGAAATATCTGGCAGCAAATGCTGCCTGTTTGCCTTTTCTTCAATTTACACACGTGAACTCAGGACAGTTTTCCTAGTGAACATTTTCTCAGAAAATAGATACATAGAGACTCTGTGCCTAATGGACGGGAAAGCTGGGGCTCATCCTGTGGTCACCAGGGAGAAAACATAAAATGTCCAAAGAATAATCACCAGCGTTTGATATATAACCTGAGCTTATCTAGATGGGAGAGAAGATACCTCAATCACTGAAGATTGCCTGGTGCATGGTGAATGACACTTTCTATTGTCTGTAAGCAACAAATGGACAGAGGGAGCATTAAAAGTCCCCTGCTTATCTTCCTCTGGTTATTTATTGTCTGGAACAAACTGCACCCACAGCTAATGAAAGAAAAGGGTGTTTGTGATGGTCCTTCTGTTTGCAACTCCTCCGTGCCTCTTCACTGAGCACCAAAGGCAGGAGACAATCATCCCCCACCTTTCTGCTCATCCTCTGTTAATAGAGGCAACAGAGTCCTTAAATTTTGTCAAAATGTTCCCACAGATTATAATCCTGCCTGTGCTACATCAACTCTGATCTGATAAATGATTCTTAAGCCTTTTCAGAAGGCAGCAGAACACCACAGTGTTTCCAAGACATTGGTAATTTACTGAGTTAATTAATTCCCACTCAGACACTTGTTTAAAACCAGTTCCAGATGAGCATTCAGGAGTTTCTTCCCTTCCCCTCTGTAGTTCACAGTCAAAGAAGCCTTTGTGGTGTAGATGGAATTGTTGAAGCATCACCTCTCTTTATCACTGCCCCCTCACCTGAAAAGTTAATTAGTGACTATGTGAGCACTCCGGGCCCATTTTCATGCAAAATCAGGTTAAGATGAATCTCCATCAGTAATGGCAACTCACAGAGAGGACAGAGAACATCTCACACCTCTCAAACTCTCACAGAAATATTTGTCTCACCATGCTTTTAGCTCATGAGATGATGTTTTCTTGTTGATTAATACCATAAGGGATTTTGCTACGTCAGTTCATATATGTTAATCAGCTTATCATGATTTTTTATTTTAAAAAAAAAATGGGGAAGAAAAAGCCTCAAGCCTCTCAGCTGGTCTGAATTCCTCATCTTAGATGATGGGAACATGAACCCAGTAGGGAGTTTCTCTAGCCAGTTTGCCTCCTGCATGGTTCACACAGTGGGATTCCTTTCTGTTAGTCCTTTTCACTCACTCCAATTTCACAGGCATTCAAGAGCTATGTGTATTTTTTTTTTTCACCCTCTGAGTCAAATCACAAAGAAAGCTGCAATCAAGCAAACTTTTCAGACACGCTCTCTGGAGACTGGCACAGCAAGGTTCACGTAGGTTCAAACGAGAATAAAGTAGGACTGGGCAGGAGGAGGACAAGCAGATTTGGAGGTAAAATTGAGCAAATCAGACAGTAGAAAGTTTCAAAAGTTCTTGGAAGGCAAGTGGTTATCAAAGTGATAAAAAGGAAGCCTGGTTATGATAGAAGAATAATATGGAGGTCAGGGCAAGTGCAGCTTTGGACAATGCATTGGCTCCATGATGGTTTTGAAAGAAAGGATAATGATTCACCCTGCTGAAGGATTTGTGCGAGGAAGAAGCAGTGGGGAGTAGAGGTTTTTCAGTTCCTGGAAGATTCCCACAATGTTCCTGCCTGATTGTTATTGTCAGATTTCTAAGTATTTCTAGATATACAGCAGTGAAGGTTACTTCAGCCTGGAAAGGGAGTAGCCCTACTAAGCACATATAGATTTTTAATTAGATATTCCAGCTGGTGAGCAGATATTATATTTTCCAAAGTCCTTGTTTCTTCCTGTTTGCTTCACAGAGTTCACAGAGTGAAAGTCCTGTGAGATTATCCCCAGGTTTCCAAGGCATTTCTTAGCAAGTACTGTATTGTCACAGCAAAAAGAGACAGTCTGTTGAGACCTCATGTCCTCCCTCATCTGTAATCTGATAGGCAGATGATGCCCCATAGGGTACCTACATCAATTGTTTATTGGAAATAACAATATCTGAAAAATACTTGGGGTATTTTAGCCAGTTTAGTTTACATTTAGTTTACATTACTTTAGTTTACATTTACCTCAAGGGCTTTTTCTCTGCTTATAAAAGGTGACCACAGTGGAGTGGGGTAAGGAACAATGATCCACCATGGACCACAGGCAAATCGTGCTGCCACAGGAATTTACCAGTCTGTGGGCTGTGGTGAAACTGGGCTGTGGAAGGAAAACTACGGCCCCCTTGACTTGTGTGTGGTTGTTTCTCAGGGTACCAGATCTCCTGGGAGATGTATGGCAGGAACGAGTCTCGCCTTGCCCGCACACTATCCAACACAACCCTGGAGTACAAGATCACGGGGCTCTCGTCCCTCACCACCTACACCATCGAGGTGGCAGCTGTGACCGCGAAAGGGAGCGGGTGGGTCACGTCCTCCACCATCTCCTCTGGTGTGCCCCCAGGTTGGTAAAACTCCATGAAACAAAAGAAAAGGTGCCAATACCTCGTGTTTTGTTGTTCCCGTCGCGGGTTACTTCGGAAGTAATAAAAATGGTTTTGCTTGTGAAGCGTTGAAATTCTTGACCGCGTAATTTAAATTTAATCTGTGGGACAGATTGAAATGTGAGCACGGACACACTCACAGTTGGAAAATTCCAGAAAGTTGAGGCTGTTCAATACAAATACAAAAGAAGTTGGAAGTATGACAAAGTAATAAAGTGGGTACAACACAGAATCCCTTGACATTTACAAAGTAACATACGAACTAAGCCTGAATCTATTCAAAAAGCGTTGCTTTGGGGGGAAAGATAAGGTTTGGATGCTAAGAGGAAAAGGTTTTTCCTTGTAGGAGCAGTATAGGTTATTTCAACCATGAGAGGTCACTTGAATAGTGAAACTACAATCTTATTTACAAGATTTTGAAGTTGTGGCCTGAGAAAGATTTGGGAAGAGGTTTTTTTTGTCCCACGTTGTCTGAGTTACCATTTGGGCACCTGTACATTTACCCATTTTGCATTTTGGTTTAAAAATTCTACACTCTCCCTCATCCAGTATAAAAAGCAAACTGAATAGCCAATTCATACCTCAGACAAGCAGTTTCAGTTAATATATAGGTTATAGAAGCAGAATTTTCCAAAGTGGAGCAGTTATTGTGTGTTGCTGAGAATAATCCAGTTTTTCCTTTCTGCAGTATTTTGAAGTTTTCTCTATGTCCTGAAGTATGTTTGCCTTTCTTTTCCCCAATCATAGGTAATTGTGACAATCTGTAGACTGGATCAATGCCATGCTCCCTGTTGTTAGCCAGATAACAGCAATATTCTACTTGGGCAGGGTTAGTTTATCGATCACGGTTCCCACAAATGTGAAGTAAGAATAAAGAAATATTGTGTATTCCTGCATGCTTGAAAGACACGCCAAAAACCTGCCCATTTTCGGCCTGTTGCACTTGCACAGAGTGTAATGTTGTCATAGAATCACAGAATTGTTTGGGTTGGAAGTGACCTTAAAGATCATCTGTTTCCAAACCCCTGTAATGGGCAGGGACACCTTCCACTAGGTAATTACTGATTATAATAGTTATTTCCGTTTCTTAAAAATGCAGGTACTACTGAGAATTTATTCTAAACAATCTATATTTAATATCTCTTTCCTGGACTTGCTTTTGTTGTTAGTTCAGATGATATAAAAAATGTAAATGCCAGTGTAAGTTTGACTAATGCAAGGCAAAGATTTGATTGGGGCTACCTTTGTAGGATGGTCACCCTCTTTGTTTGCTACAGGAATTTTAAAATTGTTATAATTGTTACCAAGGTATTTTATATGTTGAAACACTGAATTTCAGCTTGTGTTACAGGGCCCTAGACAAAGAGTCTTTCTACCTCTCATTTACATTTCTGTTTCTCCAGAACTTCCAGGTGCTCCATCCAACCTGGTGATTTCCAACATCAGCCCTCGCTCTGCCACACTTCAATTCCGTCCAGGATACGACGGCAAAACCTCCATCTCCAAGTGGATAGTTGAAGGCCAGGTATGTCCCTGACAGAAGTCTCTTAATGAAGTCTCTGAGGGTCCAAATGGTGAATTGCTGTTTGGATTACAGCTTTTGTTTAACTTTGGATCACGTCTCCTCTGTAAATGGCCTGGTGGTAGCTGTTCAAGGGGTCCTGGGAAGGGTGGGATGCCAGGGAGCTTGAGAGGCTCAGCTGGGAAATGTTTGTGTGTCAGCCAGGGAAAAAAGGGCCATATGAATACTGTGAATTCTGTTCCAAGGAATAAAAGGAAAATGTGATTTATAATATATATATATATATGTGAGAATGCTTATCCTTTAAAGAAATCACATGGATTTTTGTAAAGCTGGGTTGTTTATTTCCAGAAGAACACCAGACACATCATAAGCAACACACAGAGCAGAGCTTTAGTCCATCCATTGATTTTTAAAAAGGATTTGAAACCTGTGTTTAGGTTCTGTGAGGTGTCTTTTCAAATCACATGCAAACCTGGAATTATCATTTCGTAGACTCGGAAGTATAGAAGAAATTGCACTGAACAGTAAAGATACCATTATTTGTGAGATTGAGTGTATTTTTCTGTCTTGTAATGGAATATACCAAGGTTTTCTATTCATGCCTCTAGATATGAATAGGATGAATTCTCATCTTCATCAGCTTTAAACAATATCCCTCTTTCTGCTGTCATTCTGCCTTGGAGGAGTTATGTATTCCTCATTTGTTCTCCTGACAGATGAGCTTTGCTTCTTCCTTTCCACCCACAGATCTTTATAAATAATATAATCTGTTTTTAAGACCAAATGTTGGACTTCTTAAATCACCATCACCACTTAGACATGTTGATACAATCACTTCACTTGGTAATGAGATTGTTGTGAACAAGTTGGTACATTTCGTGCCATTTATATACACATTATTGCATATTACGGAATTAAACACTGAAATCCAATAATATGGTGTCTTAGCACATTCTGAGAAGCATTTTCCTGCTGGAACACCACATTGATATTGCTGGGAATTTGCTAATTCAGTGAGTTGCAAAATGCCACTGAAGTGAAATAAATTTGAATGCTTTAAAACTGCAATAATAATTACCGTGAAGTTCATCTGCATCCTTGAAGAGCCCTGGGTACCAGCAGGGGTTGGAATGGTCCTTGGTGGTGCAAGGAGGGAAGGGAGGGTCTTTCTTGTTCACAAACCCTCATCAATATCTTATGCATTGCTGCTAAAGTCAAGGGGTTTGTGGTTCTGGTAGATCCTGGAATTATTTGCTCCATCTGGGGAAGGAGCACCCCAAAGTCCTTGTAGAGTCTGGGCAGTCTTTTTCAGCACACCACACCTCACTGTTCAGCTTGGGCACAACAAATGTAGTTCCCAGTGGATTTAATAAAAAAAGAAAAATTCTTTCTCACCTGATTAACAAAAGTCTTTTCAGGTATGCAGAGAAATTGGTGAGTCCTTAAGGATACAGCAAATCCTGTTTCCAGGATGACAGCTGCGTATAATCCTTTGTTCACAGCCCCTTTCTGCCAGCACTCCTCTCAAACTCTTTCTCTCCTGAAGTGCAATTTCACAGCACCTTTAGCCAATCTAAACCAGAACTCTTGTTGTCCTGCTCCCGTTTCCTCTCCCCATCCCCATCCCACTTATCAAACCTTTCCTCCTCCTGCATGCCCTGACCCAGGCAGGATCATACACAGGGCGGCTGCAAGCCTTGATCCAGCCCAGAACAAAGGAGTTTCAGACAGATCAACTCTCTGCATGGGCTGTGTGTGATCAGAGGAGCATCATTGTAAGGGGAAGGGGTTGAGACCATGGCACTGGGAGCAGAGATGAGGGCAGAAATGCCTCCATCCTGACTTGGATTTAAGCTGCCTTGGACCTGCCCTGTGGACCTCACGGATTTCCCTGCCCACCTTTCACAGACACGTGAGCTTTTGCAAAAGAGCTGCCAGTGACACCCCAGTCCTCATTTCTGCCTTTCATGGAGTCTGTTCTAAGCTGGGATATTTCTGTGCTGAGGTGCAGACTGCTGTTGGAACATCTGTATTTTAGCATAGACAACCATAATTGTTCCTTAAGACTGTGTTAAAGATTGAAGGGCAGTGGTTATACCTCACCTACAACAGTATTTCCTGAACAGAACTGTAGGGAGGATTTTTGTCCTTCTGGATCTTTCATTCACTGACCCATTTACAGCTTTTAATAGCAGTGTTAAGTGTTTCATGCCTTAGCATTAAATTAAAAGCCACTTAAGGGGTGGTTTTGCATACTATGATTTTAAAACAGATGGTATTGCCAAGTGATAGGATCACATTTAATTATAAAACACTAATCTGTACATTGTGCACTTCACTTCTGTCCCCCTCTGTAAGCTGGGCAATAGCTTTGCATTGGGCATCCCTTATTTTCTGACTCTTCTCTTCCATCTTTACTGGGAATATACCTTTCACTCTGAAAGGCCAAGTCCTTACAGACAAAATTCAGCTGTTTTATATTCACACACACAAACAACCTGCCACCAACGTGGTTTTCTTCTTTGTTCCTTGATTTGGCAGAAAGCTTCCTTGGTGAGGGCAGGTCTAGGAAAATGTTCCAAGTACTCCGGTTTGGCTAAGAGCCATTTTTGAAGTCTGATACTTCATGAAACAATTTGGATGAAAAACACAGCTGGGAATTCCAGTTGACGTGACATTTTGGGCATCTGGCCTCGGTTTCTGCTTTTTGTGCTGGGGTGTAAATTCACGGGAGCCGCTGTGGAACTAATTCTCAATTATGTCAATGAACATGAGAGGAGATCAGGTCGTTAAGAGTTTAGTGTTGGTAGATACTGAAATATCAAGTGTTACAAATCCCATTGCTGTGTTTCTAGTGAAGCTGCATTCTGTGCTTTTGAAGGGATTTCTTAAAATTATCACTAGGTTGTTTCTTTTCCATCTTCTTATCTAGACTCAGGACTGGAGAAACTGGATGTACTAATGCTATTTAAAAAATACTTCTAACATTTTTTTTCCCATCACACAGAGTAGAATCTAAAGAGAAGAGGGTCAAATGTAATATAAAGGTTCTGCTGACACTTGTTCAGAGGGACCAGCAGTAGCTGCCTTGTGGCACTGACACTCACAGGTAACTTGTTCCTGCACAAGGAATTTCAGTAAATCCTTCCAGCCATCCTGTACTCTCAGATGCAGTCAGGAAATATATTGCAGACATTTTTTCTGGCAATTTTCAGCCAAGAATGACCATGAATCCCTGCTGGTGCTCATGTAGTTTCATGTTTGCAATCCAATTTCAGCTTATTTTTCTTGTGTTGGATTGTTCCTGGGGTTTTGTCAGGAGAAGTACATAAATGAATCATAGAATGGTTTGGGTTGGAAGGAACCTTAATGATACATCCAATTTCAACCCATCATCACTTTGCCTTGGTGGGTGCTCAATCCATACCATTGAGCTTTCCAGTGGCTGATTGGAAAAGCTGGGATAACTTCTGCCCAGTTTGGTGCATTTTTCTGGTGATTAATGTCATTTGCAGGCAGCAGAAGACCTGTGGAACAGCTGAAAGCCATTTCTGAAGAGGTATTACATTTCCTGGAGCCACGAGTACATGGGCTATTATAGAGAGTTTTTGCTTAAAGCCTTTCTGCTGTTTTTAGAGAGATTTTGTGTGAATGTCATGGTGAGCAGTAGCAGAGTTTCAAAGTGGTAAAACCTTTAAAGTATTATCACATGTATTCCCTTCTAAAGCTGTGAGTTGGGAAAGGGGTTGCAACTTTACCCGTGAGTTTATCTGGTTCCGTGGGTTAAGTCAGTGACCCAGATAGGATTCATCCATTGTGCCAGGTGATTCTCCTGGTGTCGTTTTCACTTTGGGGCTGGTAAATAAAGTGTCTGAAACTCTGACAATTTTATGCCTTTGACAATCTTTAAATCAAAAATGGCTGAATCGATTTAGGGATTTAGTGAGAAAAAAAATTGCACCCGGGCTGACATCCCATGAACCGAATTTCTCCCAAAGCGATTTCAAATGTGTGAGTTATGGACCTCTTAAATGAAAAGTCTGACACATCTTGAACTATAGTGGAACACAGGGTACCTCTATAATGTACAGAAACATTGTGTTATCCTTTCCTGCAGTTAGTGCTTCGTAACTGTTCAAAATTTTGGTGGCAGTGCTGTCTTGTACAAGTGATTTTTTTGTTCCAAATTTTATTTATTTTGGGGTGGTTTTTTTTAAGTCAGAATTCTGCAAATTTTCTCATACAGTGCATTCCATCAGAAAATGTTAAGTCATTTTATAAAATATGTAACATTTTCTTTTTAAGAAAAGGAGAAACTAATGCACAGAGAAGTAAAAGGTTCCGACATCACTTCCAATATTGTTTTATGCTGTCTCATTTCTTCAATAATAAAGGAATATGCCGTTTTATTGAGTGTAATGCCTTGGGAGCAGCTGAGAGATGGGAATGAATATGTGCTAACTAGTGATGGCTGATTGTTATGGAGCGTTATATGAAGTGTCTCGGGGGACATGGGTGTTTTTATTGTGGCAGTCCTGGGGTCCCTGGGGATTGTAGCCCTGTTCCACAGGGAACTGGGAAGATGCAGAGTGCATTCCTTGAGGAGTTTTTATGCTGGTGATAACAGAAAAGCAGTCGGTGTCTCATCTGCCTCCCAAAACAATGCACCCACGAATACGTGTGTGTCTGTCAACAAACACGATCCTTCTCTGAAGTTTGCACACACTGTTATCCAAAAAAACAGCTACAAGAAAGAAGCCTTTAACTTCACTTGATTTTATGCAGAGCTGCTCAGAGTGGGCTCTCTTGCCCCTCAAAGGACTCTTTTATCCCTACCACTGCCCGTGGTTCTTTTTGCCCCGTGGGAATCCCTTTGTACTCGGATTCTTGAAACTGATACGTTTCCTCTGATCTGACATCAGAGTGTTTCAGCAAAAAATAATTTCCTTTTCCTTCCAGAGCCTGAAACTTGGAATCTGCTATAGATCTCGGGGAAGTTAAAAACACAGAAGCCCATCACTGAAGGTTTTCTTCCAAGATTCACTTGAGAATATATATATATATATACACACACACATATATATATTATATATAAAATAAATAAGTGAAACTTCTTTTGAGTAACACAGACCTAGAATTGGTCATTCTGCATGACCTCACACAAGTGAGAGGTCATGCAGAAGTCCCCAGGCTGTTCACCAAGCTACCCTACAGCTATTAAACATTCAATCCTCTTGCTTTGAAAAAACTCCCTACAAAAATATCTAAAATATGCTACTGATTTCAATAGAAGTTAATTTCCCAAATGCTGGCGGCAAATCCAGGGAACATTACGAGGTATTATTCTAACTAAAGCAAGTTCCTGATGTATTTTTCTTAAAATCTTTTCCTAAATCACAGAAATATGCCTGTGGTTGTGTTTTTTGCCTCTCTGCCGGTAATTTAAAAATTAGTCTAAAAGTGGTTAATTTGGGACTGTCTGTGCTGCCACTTTGCCCACGGTCCCCCACATCCCAGAACAGGTATTGACCAACTGTTACCAGCTGGCTCCTGAGCCTGGGAACAACCAACGTTCTGGGCTTGGTTAGAATCTGCCATTTCCTCATAGACTGCACCCATCATCCCAGAAATCTGCCTCCTGGGTGGCTTCTGAGGCGCTTGCCAGAGTCCTGCTTCTCAAACAGCACAGGATCCTCAATGTTTCCCCCTTTCCAACCCACCTGTAAATGTCTCTCTGCAAACCAGGCAGGGGTTTGGACTTGTCTCACGCTTGAGTCCATGTCAGGTGCTCACAGGCCTGTGGTCCTTAATGTGTATTAATGACCTGCCTGCTGCTGCACAGCAACTGCAACCTGGGTGCCTTTTGGGGGTTTTTTGCCCTTTTTTTTTTTTCTTTTATGTAAGAAATATTTTGAAAAGCTCTTACTGCTCTTAGAATATAAAAAGGCGACTTAGTCACCACTGGAGATTATTTGCAGCCTCCAGAGTGCTGTGGATTGTTGCTACATAATTACTGCAGCCCTTGGAGGTGATGCTGTTAAGTGGAAGATTTGCAAAAGTAAGCATTTACTGTAGACTTTCTGCAGTATTAATAGAAAACTCATTTAATAAGAAGTATTCTCTGTTTCTTTGACTGAAATGAACCCTCTCATCCTTTCTTTGTTCGTGTAGGTTCTTGGGGTTTTTTTAGTTCTCTTTATCATCTGTTTCTTCTCTGGCTTCAGTTTAGGGATGTTCTGTTTTACCATTCAGACCTGTCTCAACTTGTTTCCCTCAAGCTTCTGCATCCGTGAGCTTTAGTACAATTTATGGAGCTTGGTTAGGACTGGGAATTTTAAGAGGTCCGTAATCTTCACCACCATCTATTTTATATGTTGTTTGCTATGTGGCAGTGACCTTGATCACCAACAAGACTGAAAGGCCCATCAAGACCTGTTCAGCCACATCCTTCCATGAAAGCAGTGCTCTGCTGGGAAGATCACAGAGGCTTCTTTCCACAGTGCAATGCAGAACTTATTACTTTGGCCTAATTTTCTTTTTGTCCTTTCTTCATGCACAAACATAAATATGCAGCACACCAAGTCCTGGGTGAGCGAAGAACTAAAACATCTATAAATAAATCAGGCTGCTTCTCCTGAAGGGGAAAAAAAATGAGTGAATGAAACCTAATTTTCTATTTGAAGTACTTGGGGTATGTGAGATACTTTGGGCTATGGTGCCTGTCAAGTGCTCTGACAGTGTCTGTGGCTGTAACTTGTATACAGAACTCGTAAGGGATCTGTTTAAAAAAGATTAAAGGAAATAGCTCTTTACACAGTGGGTTGAGAGCTTCTGGAATTTCTTGCCACAGCAGTCTGTGGGAGTAGATAATGTCAGCAGGTTGAAAAAAGATAGGGCATCTTCATGGTTATCGGGTCTGTAAATAGACACTGAAGGGGATAACTGCCCATGTATCTTCTCATATCCTTCAGCCCTTGGCTGTGGATACCAGGACGAGGGAATTGGGCACAGGTATTGTCTTTTGTGTCAGGGTTGAAAGACCAGAGTAACTGTGCACAGTGCTAGGGAATTACAGCAGGGAGCCTTGCCTGAGCTGCCCTGAGAGTCTCCACAGTGAAGCCCAGCAATCTTCTCCCATTCTCCACGCTCCTCCTGTGTCTCATCCATGACCCACGGATGCTGCCACGTTCCAGAGTCCCAGGTCACGCTCTGGCCTTTCACTCGTGCTTTATTGGCTTCCTTTTAAGCCCTGATTCATCTTCATTTAATCTCCAGGAAGCTGCATGGAAAGCAATGCTCAATTCTCATCACCATTTAGTCCCTTCTAACACTGCCGGAGCTGAGGGACCATGTTGGGCAACATGTTGTGATTAATTAATACAAAGGATTGCACATGGAAAAGTCTGGTCTAAGTGCAGAGCAGCAGATGAGGTTAAAACACTTTTATTCTTTGACTTTGTTCTTGTTTCTCTGTCTTCATTTCCGTGGCATTTTGCCTCCATTGAGACTTATTTAGTATGCATCAGTTCCTGCGAGTTATTATCAAGGCTATTTTTCATTTTCTTATATTACTACTTGATACTTTCGTATTGTGGCAGCAAAATTGAACAGGGTATTACCACTCTCATGGTGTTTTTCTGGAATAGATCTTATCACAGGACCCAGTAAAGTCCCAACAGGTACAAGGAAACTTGGCTAACTTGGCTGTGTTTTCTCTTTACAAATAACTAGTGCCTTGTCGTGTAAGAAATTAGTATTAACTGGATAGTACGTGTTTAACAGCATTTGTGCTTCCACTGCTGTGATGACATACATTGTAAAAGAGGTTATATATATTTATTTTTATATATATGTATAGTCTGATTTGTATTCCTTCTTACCTTTCCCTTGTACAGGTTGGTGTGCTGGGTGATGAGGAAGAATGGGTGAGTCTTCATGAGGTGGAGAATGAACCTGATGCTCAGATGCTGGAGGTACCAAACCTTACTCCTTACACTCATTACAGGTAAGAACAGCAGGTAATTAGCTGCAACATAAAAAAAAAAATAATGAATAAATAGCAGCATGGAACAGCTTTCCTAATCAGAAACAGCTGGCTGGGTTTTATAATCTGAACAAAAGGGAAAAGGTTTGCTGTTTTCGTAGTTAATACTTAAAATTGCTAATCTGATGTTGTTAATTGTAATTTGCATACAGTACAGCTCATAACATTAAAAAGGAAATTCAAGTGCACAGTGAAATGTTTTTAGGAGTAACTGCTGCCCTGTGACTTCCTTCCTCTGAAGGGAACACCAGTGTAACATCAGCCAGTGACAAATCAATTGTAGTTAAGCTGGTGCAAACCTGTAATTACATATTTACATCAGTTTAAACATCTTTTTATTGATTTAACTTAATTTGGTAACATCAGTTAGATGAAACCTTTGTTTATAAGAATTTACCAAGTTAAGCTTAATAGATATACGCAGTGCTTAAAGTGATTGAAGTGGATCTGCATTATGGGTGCACCCCAGTTAAACAAGATTGATTTTTAAATCAATTCAATCCAAGCCATGCATTGCTGTACTATAGACAAGACTGGAGAATTTGAGGTACTCAATCCTAATGAAAAATACTTCCATGAACCAGCTTGCTAATGTAAAGGCTGGTTGCAAGGAGATCTAGTGGCAAGTGTTAAATCAGCTTACTAGAAACTTGTCCATTTTGTGCTGGCTGAAGGGCCTATTAACCAACCCATGTGCTGTTGTAAGCTGGTAGTAGGTGCAACCAAGTAGAGCTCATATAATTTACAACTGATCCAGTGCTGGCTAATTTTCTTCTCTTGGTCACAAACGTAAGAACACACTGAATTTCTCACTAACTCTCCACTGAAGTGTTTTAAACCTCATCTTCCAGAGCTAAACGTTTCACTAAGAGCTCTTTGAAAATTTTTTTGAACTTGACCAGAGATTTCTGGTGCAGAGGTTTAGGAAAATTTATCTTCAGGTTAAGAGGATTTTGCTGTCCTCGTAAAGGTGGATCCTTGAGGCTGAAAGCAGTAAAGTGCAGGTTGTACCAGAGTTCAGGGTTCACTGTCCATGAAGAGTAAGGAAGACTTGCACACCCAGCCAGGTGCATGGAGAAATGTCGTTGGGATAGAAAGGAGTGAGGAAGTATAAGAGAGATTTGGGGGAATTAGTTTTTTTCTGTTTTTAAAATTTTCAGTTTAATCTTATTCCTGTATCTCGTTTCTCTCTTGTATTCATTAAATTCTGGAGGGATCCAAATTATGCTGAGATCTTTCACACATCCAGTTCTTCTCTGAGAGGAGAATTGTATTTCAGTTTTTTCATTGTAAAGCAGCTCCTTGAAGTTTGCTTGGGTTTTTTCCTCTCATGCAGGCACAGAAAGGAGCTTTTTTTGGGTTTGCTTCAGTGTTCAGCAATTTTATACAGATTTTTGAAACCTAGAAAGTTGTTGCCAAATGGATTTTTTGTCCCTTGGTCAGCTTTAGTCATTGCCCACTGAGGAAAGACACCGTGAGAGCTGATTATCAGACACATCTTTACAGGCCATCTTCTTTTCTCTATTTCGGGCTAATGCTTGAGTATGAAATCAGGACAGTATCTGTTTAATATGTTTCCTTTAGTGCAATTTGCAGGGAGATCAGAGCAGGTAAATAAACACTGCTGTGTTAACTAGCTCATCCTTTTCCCAAGCTCATTCGTTAGGTCTCAAAATTAAGTGTTTAGTCTGTATGAACAGGTCAAGTTTATGTGCAAGTGCTGGGTACTTCCAATTGCTTATGACTGGTGAGAGTATCTGAAATGTACAGCACATCTTAATTACTTGGTGCTGCCTGTAAAAGAGATTTCCCTAAATCTTTTGTGACCCAATAGGGGATTTCTATTGTGGGAGAGACAGTTTCAAGCAGACAGGGTATTTTTTAAAGATGCATATCCATATTAAATAACTTAATCTTTCTTGTGCAGGAAGGCTGAATATGCAGCACGGGGATAAATCAGCCTCTTTCAATGAGTAATTGAGGGGAAATGTTATCGCTGGAATATTCTTTATATTGACAGGGAATGAGACTATCCAAAGTTTGATATTTTAATACCTTTCTGAATGTATTGTATAAGCATCGCAAGAGAAAATCACTTACTGCCAGCATAAGCTCATCAGGCCTGGTATAATTAACATAAATTTCTCACACAAATACCTAAGTTTCTAATAGACCCTAAGCTAATCTCATTTTCATTTTTTAAATACCTGAGAGGATCTGAGAGCAGTTACCATAAAGCTTTCAGCGGCGAATACAAAGGGGACCTGCGTGCAACGACCTTTGTGGAACATTTTAGAGAGCCCTAATTTGTATTCTCCCATCTTTTCCCCCATCCTGGAAATGGGAAATGGTTGGCTGAGGTCTTACAAGCACACGCTGCGTCTCTGCTCCCGCTCCAGGTTCCGGATGAGGCAGGTGAACGTGGTGGGTCCCAGCCCCCTGAGCCAGCCCTCCAGGGTCATCCAGACGCTGCAGGCCCCTCCAGATGTGTCCCCTGGGAGCGTCACCGTGCGCACGGCCAGCGAGACCAGCCTGTGGCTGCGATGGGTGGTGAGCAGCACGGGGGGGACAGGGATGGAGGGGAGCCGGGTACTGGGGCTTGGGATGTGGCTGCTTCCCCCCGGGGTCAGGCCAGCAGTCCAGAGTGCCTCCTGCTTGCATCCAGCACGAGGACTAACAGCAAAATTATTTCCTTTCTCTGAATAGTCGGAAATCCGAGACTTACCTTAAGTGCCTTATTAATCAAATAAATTGCCTACTGCTTCTATTTCTGCCACCTCATCAGGGGAATGGGTGCCTGTGTGTGAAACCTCGGCTTTGAGGCTCTCCAGTACCACCCTCTGGGTCAACACGTGGGGCAGGAATGTAACACTTGAGCCAATTTGCAGCTTTCCAGGGCTCGGTTGTTTGCTCTGTACAAAACGGTCCCCAGAAGGTGCATCCTGGCCGTTGGCAGCCGTCCCGTGGTACTGAGAGCTGGGGTCCAACAGCAGCAAAGCTGGCACGTTACACCCCTGTAGGAAGATTGTGTTTATTTGAAAGGGTGAGGAATTGTGTGATAAAATGCAGAAATGAATGATTGATGGAGAAGATGCTGTGGTTGCTGACATCCTTTTACCCCTTTGGCTGTCTCAGTTACCTGCAGAGCTGCCACGCTGGGATTTACTTGGCAATTAACCTGCTCCAGAATGGTTTTTCTTCACCCCTGTTAGGCAGAATTTTCCACTGGGGTTACTGTGGTGTGAAGTTGATGAAGCACAGGTTTCCTTTTGCCCAAATGTTAGCTTTTCCATGCATAAACTCATTATGGCTGGAAGTCAAAATCAGGCTGGAAGCAAGAGGGCTTTTCTCCTGCTCAGAAAGGAATAATTCCATTTTCTCAACAGGACACTGCACTTAATTCTGAACCTTGCAAGACTAAAATATCAGACTTGAAGGTGTCACCTCACCATCCATAGAAGAGCCATTGCAGTTCCTTTGATAGGACACATGTAACTCTCTGGTGGCTTTTGTGTGTGAATAACGTGCCCACATTGTTACACCTCTGGTTCTGTATCCAGACCTACATATCTCCCATCAAAATTAACTCAAGGTTGTTTTAAGAGACAACCTTGACTTTAAAACATTTAAAAGAGACTTTAAAGCATTAAGACTGTGCTACCTGGAAGGCTGTTTTTCTTTAGTCACACTGTGCAGGGTTCAGGAGGAACAGCAACCACGTTTAAAAATGACCTGATAAACCATTTCCATGCTTAATAACATCAATATTTGAAAGTGTTCAATCTCTTTTATTTCAAGACCTGCAGGTGAATTTGTGTCCCCCTGGGAGCTGGGAATTCCTCCCTTCCTACAGAATAAGGGTCACGTTTCTAGCCCTGCTTGCCTGCAGGGTACAGTCTTTTAAGCTGTGAAATGTTAATGTGTATCCAGCTTTCCCAGTGAATCAGAACTGAATCTCAGCCATCCGTGGCATCATGCAGTTAGTTTTACAGCAGAAAAACTCTAAACTTCGTGAAGTAGGCTAATTATTTCATATTTTAATCTCTGAAATTGCTTGGGGAGTTAGAATACTAGAATGAATCTCTGCTGATAAATGAGTAGGCAGAGAGTCAGTAAAAAAAAAAAAAAAAAGAAATAAAGTACGATAAATGAATTTGTCACATGCTTCAGCAATTTATCATTCATTTCCATAATTAATCACAAAGCTCTGAAATATATTATATTCGTATCATCTCTGTTGATACACCCACAGCAAATGGCTTGGTTTTGTGAGCATATCTATTTAGCTCAAAATGAAGGTAAAAATTAAAAGAAAATTTCAAGCAGCACAGAAATGAAATATAAACCAGAAAATCAACCTCTTGATCTTTTTTGCCTTCCTATGGCCTTACATTAGTCCAGGCAGCCTTGGAATATAGTTTGGAAAGCCCTGGCAGCGTGTTCTGATAGGAATCCTGTGTCTCTCCTTGTCGTTTCCAGCCCCTCCCTGACACGCAGTACAACGGCAACCCAGAGTCGGTGGGGTACAGGATCAGGTTCTGGCGTGTGGACCTGCAGTCCCCTGTCCTCACGAAGGTCATTAATGACAGACTGGAGAGGGAGTACACGGTTGAAGACCTGGAGGAGTGGACAGAGTACGAGCTGCAGATCCAGGCCTTCAACGCCATCGGGGCAGGGCCGTGGAGCGAAGTCGTGAGGGGCCGTACCCGGGAGTCTGGTGAGTGAAAGCACCAAAGCTTCTGGGACAGGCACACCTGAGAATTCACTGCTTTTCTGCCCTTTTGTTCAGCTTTTAATTAATTTTTTTTTGGTTTGGTGTGTTGTTGCTGTTAGGTGGGGGTTTTTTTGCTTGCTGATCCATTAAATCAAAAGTGAAATTAAAAAACCCCAGTCTCTAGATGCACTAAAGGTAAAAAGACATATAGCGAGACATTTGGAGGAGTTATTTATTTTTCATTCCTACCCTGCTGTCATGCACAAACCTGCAGGTTATTCATTTAAAGCAAACAAAACCACCTCTCCCCATTCCTGCCCCAGTTTGGCAGCAGTATGGACAACACAAGGAGAGGCTTGTATACAGATTTCTCTGGTTGAGTTGCTTTCTCCTGCCTCCTCTTCCTCCCCAGTACCCCATTGCCCCTAATTTTCCCTCTTTCCTCTGAGGCAGATTTTCTCACAGCTGTGGTTACCTGAAGTTTCATTTCAAGCATCAAATATTTCTAAAAGGGCACAAGTCACTTCAGAGAGATGATTACACAGACAGAAATGAAATAATTATCTGAGATTTTGATGGCACGTTTTCAAACCTGCCTTCCAAAATTGTGTGTACAAGGCTTTATAGATATAACCTGCTTATAGACTTAGAGCACAAGGACTGTATTGTCAACTTGAATTGTCCAGGCAAGCACAGAGACTTCAAATATCAGAAGGAAACTGTCACTCTCAGGAAACAGTAAATTGCTGTTTGCTCAAGTAGCAACAATAAAGGCAGATGTTGAAAAGCTGCTCTCTAGCAGTTGACTTCCACAAAACCTATTTCCAAACCTGCCCTATGTGCATCTGGGAAATTAAAATTTATATTTCAAGTAAGTAACAAAGTAGGTGACATATACGGTTTAAAAGTTTAATAGTAACAGCTCTTTATGACCCGTATTTATGCAAGATTCAACACCAATATTTTTTCCTGTTATTTTTTCCGATTTTTCTTCATTAAAAAAGTTTTGGGATTTAATCCTATGCATACCCTGCCCTTACATATGCATGTCTGTGCACTGGGTACCACGCAGTGTTACTTGGTGGGAAGCATGAACACTCACGGCAGGGTTTGGTCTGCTGGTTCAGATAACTCCCCTTTGAACTAGCCAGGGAGAAGGCTAAACAAAGTCATCCCCCTCCATTAAAGTGCAGCTTTTTGGGAAGTAGTAATTGGAAAGCTGTTGCCAGAGGTATTTTAAACAAGGCTTGTGCTGGAGTTAGAGATAGCACGACCCAGGCAAAACAGTTCTGAAGTGTTCTGTGTCATAATAAAAAGATATCTCATCCTCCACTTTCTCCTTTCCGCTGCTCTTCAAACACTTCTTTTGAAATGTAGTAAATGCTGAGATTAAGTCATTTCATAAAACCTTAGGATTACAGGGCTCCTGCTCAGCATCTAAAGATCAGAGGTTACTCGTGGATTTGGCATTTTCTCTGGCAGTATTAAGAGAAGGTTGACTTGAAACTGATTGTAGGAGGCACACACAGAAACCGGGATCAAAATAGCACAAAGCTGTGATTTGGGCGTAAGGACTCATTTGGTTTTTTCCAAGTGTTTTCTTTGATACTGACATCTGATTCTCTGCACAGAGCAAGTCAGGGCTCAGACTTTTGGCTGTATCTTCTTAGATTTAGAATATACAAGACACGCTGGCATAGCAGCAGGCTGTATGAAAGCACTTCAGGGAATCTGGAATTAACCTGTATGCACAGTCAAATGGGGTTAAAATGCAAATAAAAGATATTTAAAGCCAGAGAGAAAGGTCAAAGCACTTTTAGGTCTGTCTTCTTAACTATAAGAAAAATTCTGTTTATCGCTTATGTTTTCAAAGCGCTTCAGAAGCAGGTGTCCTAAATATTTCTCTTTCTGTTTTTTAGATACAGAGTCAGGGAAGTTGTTTTTGCTGGTGCTGTGGATTGTAAACATCCCTCACAGCTGGCCAGAGGAGCCTTGGCCAGGATTATGTGGTGGTTCATTGACAGAACTCACAGTTCTATTTGACATTGTCCAAGGAGTTCAGGAGTTAAAGCCTGGGCACCAAACCAGGTCATGGCACCTGATGACGGTGCAGCCACTGAAGTTCAAAATCTTTATTGAAAATAAAGCTGTACTTGAGCACTTCTGTTTATTTTAGGTTGTGCAATCCCATCACTAATAGCTGAGCACACATGCCAACAATAGTGGAGTGTGTCATTACAGGTAATCACTGCTTTCTGATGCTCTTGAATATAAAACCAAAGAAAACAAAGAAACTATGAGAGAATAAATAATCCTGTAGGCTTTGGTAACCCAGGCTTGAAAAACAGTTAGAAAACCCTAAAATGAAAATCTGAGGTAGGGTTGCAAGCAGCTGAAGATGAAGGGAGATTAATTAGAATTTTTAAACAGGATGGGTTTTATCAATCCAAAATGTTTTTTATAACATTAGAAATTAAATAGCTCATTAAATTTTACAGTGTAAAATAACTGCAGAGTAACAAGCTCAGATTCCACTCAATAAATTGACAACAGTTGTAGGAAAATATAGAGAAAGGAAGAAAATACAAAGACATCTGATGTATTAGAACAACCTTGGCAGGGCTGCTTCCTCTTACAGACCCTCTTGTTCTCAAAAAAATTCATCTCCAATACACCTAACCTAGCGCCTTAATGGATTTTTGTGCTCTTAATATTCAGCTGCATGAATGTGTATACTCTTCTTACAGGATGAGCTACTCTAGGAGCATGGTCACACATCCATGGCAAGGATCAATCTCCTGGTGCTTTGGAGGCTGACCTTCACGAAGCACTTACTGTGCCATGATAAAGCATCGCCTGCTAATTCAAATGTGGTCCAATGTCACTGTGGGAATTTGTCAGTTTATACAAGCTGAGAATTTGGCCTGCAATATATAATTTTATGGGCAAAATGGATGTGTGCTGTAGCTATGCTACTTTTGCCACATACCTTGCTGGAAGTTTGCACTTCTTAGTTGACGTCAGAGGTACAATATGCCGCTCTAATTTTTGCTTGCAAAAAAGGAGTGAGGGATGTGCAGCTAAAATGAGCTGCAAAAATGGAGAGAACCACTGCATCCCACTCTGTAGCTTTCTTAGAAAGCCAGAATACAGGCTAGCTTATTAAAAGCTGCTTTTGGCCCAGTTAGAGACATAAAACGACATAATTTGCTATACATCAAATGTGGCTATGTCAGATGTAGAAAGAGGATGCATGATCTTAGATGCCAACATGGATAACCTTAAAACTTGAGCTCTTATTGAAGTTGCAGTGCAAAGTGCCAGTAACTCTATAATTTCCTACGTTTGATCTTCAGAAGTGCACCGTGCAGCTGGCAGTTTGCTGGATTAGCTCATCGTTTAGTTTCAGCGTTTCCGGTTCATTTTGTTAAAGCTCTGGGATTTTTTTGGACACTGTTGCTTGGCTTCTGTACTATTCTTGCAGGTTACTAATGAGAACTCAGCTTTGGAGCTTATAACAAAGTCTTCAGTGCAACAGTTAAGGAAACCAGCATTAGAGAAGGGAGCTTGCAGAGGAAAAGAGGGATTATGTGCCTCACTCACTAATTAGTCTTAGCAAACTATAATTTCTTTGAATCGTGGCTTCCTGAGAGAGGAGAAGGGTCAGAAAAATGAAGGTTATGTTTCAATTAATTCTTAAAGGGTCGATCAAAGTCTGTTACTTGATAAAAGACTGGCAACAGTAAGATCCATAAAATCATTTGCAGGTCCTGAATTCATTCGTCCATATTAGAATAAAATTCTCAGCGCTGATATGAGAACTGAACAGTTAAAGGACACTCAATGAACACGAGGATTTTTGCCATTTAGGCATTGGATTTAGATTCCCTTCCAGGAGAGGGGACATTTAGCTGCTCTGTCACTGGGAATTGAGCAGAGTCTGGGCTAATGAACCTTCAGACAGACCATTCTCTCCTTTGAAAGCTTTTGAGTGCCCCTGCCAGCAGCCTGATCACACACACCTCAAAGTGAGGCTGCACTCAGGGCCAGCCCGGGCACAGCCTCCACCTTCTGTGAATTCAGGACGGCTGATGGCTGCTGATCAAAGAGGAAAAGAAATATTTGTAAAATAAAGTAACTTTTTTCTCTCTCGAAAGGCTTCAAAACAGATAAAATAAAAATAAATGTGGCTGGAAAGGGCTTCTTTCCCCTACACATCCTGGTTCCCTGCGACCCACCTCCACCCTTTCTCTCTCCAGAAGTGATTCATGTGGGAGTAGCTCTTTGTGAAGATCTACAGATAAAGTAATGGCAGCTATCCAAAGACATTCATGGCTCCTGGCAATCTATTTTCCTTAAACATAATTATATCCTTGTGGGGGATAAATCTAGCAAAAGATTTAAGAAAAAAAAAAAAAAAGTCACTTCAGTGTTGGAGGGGAAAAAAATTGGATTTTAGTCCGCTGCAGTGTTGTGTGATGGTGCTCTGTTTCTCATGTCCCAAATAATTGGTAACAGGGAAATTGTTTCAGAAATTACTATCTCTGCTGTTAACCTTGAGTGCACAAGGGTGGGAGTGGTACATTTTGGGGGGGGGGGGAGGTTTCAATTTATATTAATTCTGGTGTCATACTCATTATCTCATTCATGTTACTAGGAGCTTCAGGAGCTCGCCTGCAAAACAGAAGGTCTGTTCTTTCATTTGGACAGCCAGGAAAGCATTCCTTTTGGCAGAGAATTGGGCTCCTTTTTGTGATAGATTCAGGACCTAATCAAGCCTTACTGTCCCTAAGTGCTTGTGTAACATAACTTGGGGAATGTTCTCTTGAGGTCTGACAGGTGTATCAGGCTTTAGAAAAGATTGTACCCTTCAGATGTTGGAAATGCCACAGGGAAAGAATGCGAAAGGGCAGCATAAAATGTGAACTCTTAAAAATAGCCTCAAATCCTGCTTGCATAACGTGACATGCTATTAGGCTTGCCTACAAAAGCCTGCAGTTGTGTGGTTCTACAGCTCTCCGAGTTTTAATGGCACGGGGAAAATGCAAGTTTGCTCTTCTCTGGAGTCAGAGAAAATTACAGTGTTCCTGTGCCATCAGTTCTAATGACGTTTCTGGTTTCATAAGAGCTGATTTTGCAACATAAATGAAACAGGCATCTCTCATTGACACCGTATCAATCCCTGAAAATACACCTCCTGTTAATGTATCCGTCTGTAATTGATGTATTGCAAATGTTGAGCGCTCTCACATCATCAAGAGGCTCAGAGGTTAAAGAACTTCTTACTGAACTGGGAGTGCAATCCAGTGGGGGAAATTATTGCTAGCTCCAGACAAGATGCTATAATTTCCTTTCAGATAATATAGGAAGCCAGGATGGCGTAAAACTTCTTGTTAAAACAGATCGTGCTATAAGATAAACTCCCATTCAGAAAGATTTCCAGCTTTTGGCATAGGGAAATAAAATGTGTGGGAAAGAAATACTAGGAGATAGACTTCTGGAGAAGTCCAGCAATTTAAACTTGGTTCTAATTACTGCGAATATATAGAGCTTGAAATTTATTCTTAGCTGTCAATATTTACTGTCTGTCTGTAGACACTGAAAAGTATTAAATGTTTAGCTCTTTACAAACATTGTCATTTCTGAGATGAACTGGCAAGAAATTGTGAGACAGGCTGAAATATAAAGATGATGTAGAATGAATACAAGAGGAGAAGGGATTCTCTAGAACGTATTCCAGTCTTTTTGGGTCTGAATACTCATCTGTGGGAGTCTGGGAGAATCCTAAGCAGATGGAGCAGAATGATCTGATCTGTCTTACCTATTTCTGCTCTTTGGTAATGCCATGTTATTCCAGTTCCCTCTGCTCCTCCTGAGAATGTCACTGCTGAAGCTGTGAGTTCCACCCAGATCCTGCTGACGTGGGCTGCAGTCCCCGAGTCTGAACAGAATGGTCTCATCCTGGGGTACAAGGTATGGAGTTTCACATTTATTTGATTTTTAATGCATTAACAGGAAATTATTTTGTTATATTCATTATATAATATTCACCTGCTGCATATTCGTATTATTCCAAAGTCAGCTGGAGAAGATACAGAAAATGTGTTGTCTTTGAAAGGAGTGAGAGGTGAATATAATCTCATTTTACACTGTGTGGAAAGGAGGAATCTAAAATGTGTGTCCCTCTCTCCGGTCCTCGTGCAACAATCTCCTTCCTTCTGTATTTCGTCCGCGTTTATCCTGCAGATACTTTTCAAAGCAAAAGATTTGGACTCTGAACCAAAGAGCCAGACAGTGAGAGGGAACCACACCCAGTCTGTCCTGCTCTCCGGCCTGCGGAAATTCGTCCTCTACGAGATCCAGGTGTTGGCCTTCACCCGGATCGGGGATGGAGTCCCCAGCTCTCCTGCAGTGATAGAGAGAACCAAGGATGATGGTGAGTTCCAAGGTCACCAAAACAACCATTTTATTTGCTCCAGCCTTTTACCACTGCTTTGTTTTAGTGGTGCAAGTGTAGCTGACAGCTACTCTAAGGCTGCTTGGATTTTGGGGGGGATTTTTTTTTCCAATTTTGATCCCAAAGGACTTCAGCCATACATAGGATAACTCAGCACTATTCCATTGGTCATGGGCTCCTTCCCTGCAGCTAGTGAAGAGGAAAAAAACTTACAAAATTGAACTCTGAAGCTTGGTGTAGATAATTTCTATTGAAAACAACTTTAGAGCCCAATTATAAATTCTTATTGAAGTTCAGTCATGCTAAAAAAATAAAAAAGAGTGCTGCAATTGAAAGCAATAAACAAATCTGGGTCTGATTGGACTGAAGGAGAAAGATGGCATTTGCAACTTCAGTAATCCATTCTCCATTTTTTTTTTCCCCAAAAAGAATAAGACATTGACCCTGGAAGATGATCATGCCAGCTTCCTTTTGCAGCTGCCTCCAGCACTTCCCTTAAGCTCAGAGGCTTCCCAGTGCAGTTGGATGTATTGAAGGAACCCAAGCAAGCCCCTTGCCCCAGTGCTCCCTGGGCACACTGGTGTGGTGGGAGCATTCCTGATGATGAAATTCTACAGAAATTTAGTTCAGCACTTAAAATATTTTTGCCTTTGTGGATGCTAAAACTAGTTTTAGTTTCATTACCTTTTCAGGAATAGATAGATTCATATCAGTGTGGGAGGCTTCTATTTAAGTCTCTCTCTTTTTCATCAAACTTTTTCTCAATAGTAAAAGAATAGACATTGGTTTCTACTAGCAACTTCATTAAGGTACTCTGATTGGACTGAAAACATTCCCACATCTGGCTTAACAAAACATTTTCTGTGCAGGGAAGAAAGGAGTAGGAGCATGAAGGGACAAGAACAGGGACAGCAGCTCCCTCACATTTTTTTAGCCTTTTTCTTAGCATACTGCCTGTGTGGGGACCTGGCTTCTCTATGAAAGGAAAAATTAGAAAAATTACTGTTAGCAGAACTCTTCAGGGAGAGAAAAAGCACTCCATGAAATGTACATATTGGGCTGTAATGAGAAATACTTAGAACTGTTTGTTTTGGATAACCCCATTATAGCAGTTCCCTCCTTAAGTGCATGTTGGCAAATGAAACAAATTGTTCTTCCATCTCCATACCCCTGACATAAATATGTTGTGTCTCCTCTGGGCTCGACTTAATTAAAAGTATCACCAGGAGTAATGCAGGTGGAATTTGTGCTGAAGGGGAAATTTCGTGGATGCTAATGTATGAATTAGCATCTCCTCACCTTGTGGACCCGGGATGGTCAGCACAGCCTGTGTTAATGTGCATCTCACCTGCCTCGGGTTCTCCTGCTCACACCTAAGTGTTTAAGATGCAAATGTTATGTCAGGAAGCAGTTCAAAGCCAGTGCTGATGACACAGAGAGGGGATATTATTCAATTCCAACAGGTATGAAGTGGATTAAGCTATATAATTCTGTAAAGGCAGCTCAGTGGCTTGCTTTATAGTATGTTCTCAGCTATACCAGTGGCGATGCTGCTGTGAGAAAAATCATTCAGGGTTCAGAGCTCCTGGTGCAGTAGAAAAACACTGTAGGGTGCACTGATTCTGTGTCATGTTTGGTATTCCTGGGTGTTGGAGACATTGGCCATGGACAGGACTCCTCAGAATAAATTTATATTATGTACATGCATAGGTGCTTCCAACCATTTACTTACTGGGGATCTACAGCCTGGGCTGTAATTCTGTACAGGGTGAGCAGAACACTTGTAACCCCTGTGACATGCAATCCTTGCTGCCATGATCTCTGTTCTTCTTTCCAGCCCCTGGCCCCCCCGTGAGGCTGGTGTTCCCCGAGGTGAGGCTGACATCCGTGCGGATTGTTTGGCAGCCACCAGAGGAGCCCAATGGAATCATTCTGGGTAAGATGGAGCAGCAAACCCTGGGCTGGGAGGAGAGGGCTGGAGACCAGAGCAAGCTGCAGCCGTTGAGTTTTCCTTCCCCTTGCACATAAGCAAATCTCTGGCTAAAGAAAAGAAAATATGTCGGTGTCAGCTGCGAGACTGTGGTGAGGAGAAAAGTCTGTGTGGCTTCATGGTTTGTGTTTTCTTGAACCAGAATCTGGTATCATTCAGGCACTATGTTTGAATGTCATCCCTCTTCCCATCTGCATTTGGGTTGGTAACCTGTCTGGCTGACTGTTGGGTAAACTGCCTGGAGACCTGGATTTTCCCCACCCTTGCCGGGCATGTCTGATGTTTCAGTATCATGTGTGCTTCCTTTTTATTGCTTCCTTTGGATAATACTGTCTGACAGGTCACAAGGAGTTAAATCATATTTGGCTTTTCATCAAGGACATGAGAGGCAGCAAGGCACGACAGGAATTTGTGAAAAACCTTCTCAGCTTCCTGCTCTCGTTACTCTTGGGTTACCTTGGCAATATGTTCACCAGTCACTACTTGTACTTAAAACATGAAGACTTTTATAATGTAAGAATCCATTGCTACCTCTAAAATTAATGTAGTTCATAGTTACCCAGGAATTTTGTGTTCTCTGCTGATGTTAAACACATTTTACCATAGTTCTAGCTGGTGAGTAAAGATTTTTGTCTCAATTCTAAAAACAGAAGCAAAAGCTTTTGGTTTTTTGTCTAGTTCTCAATCTGACAGACCTTTCTGCTTCGAATTGCACTGCCCATTCAGGTTCATGTGTAGGCTTTTAGCAATATTTCCTAAAGCCTCCTTTGCTGGGTAGAGGGCACTTGCTTAAAATGCTCCTGCATTGGTGGCATCCCTTAAATACAGGACTGGTCCTGCATTGGACTTAAATCTTGTGTCCAGAACTCAAAGTGTTTGCTCAGGTGTGTAGTTTACCAAAGTGATCCTGGCACCTGAAGATGCAGGAAAGTCATCAAATGACATCCAAAGGCAGACACTGCAGGATTTTCTGAGCACGAGGAAGAGTCTGTGTGAAGCTTGGCAGCAGTGAGCTGCCAGAGATGGATCCATGCAGGGTTTCTCTGCAGCTCAGGGAAGGTTGGCTTCCAGGTTGTCTTGTGGGTTTGATTTGTTGCTCTTTTTTTTAAGGAACTGTGTGGCCTAGAACTTGCTCTCAGCAGAGATTGGGATTTGAATCACAGGATGTGGTTAAGGAGAAAAAAAAATCATTTGATAGAAATGATGAGAAAGCACAAAAGACATTTTGCTCCCCCGACTGTGTTCCAACCTCTCACGTTGCTGCACTTTGTCAGCCTCATTTGCTGAAGTTGCAAGCTTGGTGGAGGAGGAACTCTCTTTTATTTTGTCTTTGCAGAATTCTTTGTGCAGTGCATCCCCCCTCAGCTGGTTCTTACTCATTGCCATTATGTTGATGGTAAAATCATACAAATGCAGGGTTGGAATGAAAGGGGGAGGGTGTCCCTTAAAAAATCTTTGGCATGTTTAGTGTCTGTCATTGTTTCCAATGACTTTCACAGTCCATTCCCAGTAATACATCCCAGTATACTTCATGCAGTCCTTGACTACACTGATGGTGTAACTGAGTAGGTTTATGTCCCACTATTAATTCCTGCCCTTTTCCTCAGTACACTTCCAGGTCAGCCAGTCCTTCTTTTACAAGTACATTAAGCTTTTTCTCTTTAAGTTAATTCACAGATGCCTTTATTGAATTTCATCTCACTGATTCCAGACCATTTCTCTTCGTTACCAAGATCTCTTTAAATGACACTCTTGTCCTCTAAAGTGCACACAGCCACTCACAGCTTGGTGTCATTTTTGGAGTTTGCAAGCAGACTGGCAATTCCATCAGCCAGGCCATTAATGAAAGTATTAGAACCAGACTCATTCATGAGGTCTCATGAGAGCTTACTTAATACATCCTCCCAGGTTGTTAGCAAATCATTGATTATAACATTTTTTTACTTTTTTTTTTTTAATCATCTCAAAATGTGCAGTATTTTTCTTAGATTCTGTTTCTCTTGTTTGCTTTTGATGGGACTGTGTGCAACCATATTAAAGTCTTACTCAAAGTCAACGTGGATCATATCTGCTCTTCCCACATGGCCAATTACACTGTCAAAATGGAAAACAGATTATTTGATATTTATTATTTGCTCCAATCAAACAGATATTGGCTGTTCCTTAGCACATTATTATCCTCATGGATGCTTGTATATTGACTCTTTTTTTTTTTTCCAGGATCTTTCTGGGTATTGAACTTGAGTTAGATTTGTCCATAATTCCTCTAGTTGGTCTTGCCTCATTTTAAAAGGCAGTGTAGTCTGTTTGCCCTTCTGTAACATTTTGGGATGTCACCTGTCATCTGCAAGATCTTGAAGAGAACAGCTAATTATTCAGAGATGGCTCCCTCTAGTTATATAAGCACTGCAGGGCAAATTTCATCAGGCCTTTCTGACTTGATTACATCGAGCTTAACTAAATATTTGTTAACCTGCTCTCTGTTCTAGCCTACATCCCTACTTATATTGTTGTCAGTTTTGATTTGTGTTGAGTCTCTAGTCAGCATCAACTTTCTGTTGTGTGTGAAAATGAAGGAATGGAGGTATCAGCCTCACCTGTCTTGTGCTTATCTTTTCTTCCCACTGTTTGACCTGTCCTCCTCCTCTCTCTCGGATTTCTAATGTATTTATAAAATCTTTCTCATTGCTTTTGATGCCCTTAAGGTTATAACTCACCTTGCCCTTTAGCTGTTCTGTTTTTGTCCCTACATGCCTGTGCTTGTCTATTTATACACTCCCTTAGACCTTTGTCCTGTTTCAACTTTTGTCCAATTCAGTTTTGATTTTCAGGTCATTAGTGAGCTCTGAATACAAACATATTGTCCTTTTAACATCTTTTGTCTCCGTTGCAATTGTTGTACCTTTTTTTTTTTTTGTCTCTTCAGGTCAGCAAACCTGAATTCCTTCCCAGGGGGGTGTTACCTGCCAGTTCCCCCAGTGCACTTCTTTGAAGTCCATTGTCTTTATTCAACAGTTCCCACTTTCATTTTTTTCCATGGTAGAAATACTGAGGTTCCTGGAGGAAGTAGTTACCTGCCAATGGCAGAGAGAAAAGTGAAAATTGCTCATGCTGGGCACTTCTGTGATCTCTCCTAAGAAGTGAGCTGTGCTTCAAAAATAGATAACACCTCAATATGTAGCATTCTAAGGAAAGGTTGCAAATTTTTGTTTTTTTTTTTTTTCCCGTTCTCCTTTTAAACCTCATTACTATAATGAACTTTGAAAACACCTTGTGACCCACCCCGGGTCAAGTGCATCGAAGTAGAGTTATTGGGAAAAATAAGTGAACTCATTTTGTGCAGTGCCCTTCTATTCACTCTTGGGGTTGGAAAGAAAAACCACTTGCGTTGCAAGAGCAACTTTATATAGAGAGCCCCTTTGAACTAATGTTCCTGCTCTGCTTGCCTTGTCCTCTGAGTATACATGCACCTTTGCAGCTAACATTTTTGTAATCTATATAAAAACACGCTCTAGCATTTCAGAGAGAGATTAGCAGGATGAAATACTGGCAGGCGCCAAGAGGGAAAAAACCACTTGTTTGTTTGTTTAAATATTTTACTGTGGAAGACTGTTAGATGTTTCCCTTTCTCCTTTTGGGAGTGTTATGGTAACCATCTGAGGCTTCACTCTGTCTTCTTTTCTGCGCTCAGTTCAGCCAGCACCCACATCGTTCCTTCAAATACTATGAAAGATAAATGATGCATTAATGTGCATATGTGCACTTGAAGCTATGAGCTTCCCCTGAAAACGAGAGCTTAACCTGCATCCTCCCGGGCCCTGGTTAGTATTCCTCATGGTACCCTGGTATTTAGCGTTTACCTGAAGCTTTATTGTGGAAAAAAGCGTAAGAACTCCACCGAGAATTAGAACCGAAATTGGATGTAATCCATGTTTGCAAATTCCTGTTTTGATCCCAGGCTGTATTTGCACACCCGCTGGCCCTAAAACAGATAAGCAGGGAAGGCAACAAACGGGATTGCTGCTCCGCCCGTAACCTCCCAGGATCGTTTGCCTTTCCCCGAGTCGTGTGACAAATTAATAAGTGGTTGTATCTCTGCAGCACCGTGGCCTGCACGGGCGGGTGCTGTCAGTTCTGAAGGGCTTTTTGTGTGGTGATGAGCTTGAAAGCTTTTTGATATTCGTGGTGTGTTGGCATCCTCCCGCCTGTTTGCTCTGGGGAATCCACCGGTTGTGTTACGGTGACCTAACATTTCACAGGCAGTTCAGACTGTTGCCATTTATTGAGTTGAGGAAGTGTAGCTCGTGGAACTGCTTGTAGTTGTGCAAAAAGTACTCAGAAAGATGCTAAAGTAAAAAAAAAAACACCTGGGTTCAATGAATAAATAAATTCCTGAAGAGTTGAACTTTCAGGGTTTTTTTTGTGATGTTTGGCCTGGTGAATGGCAGCATTCCCAATAGCAGCAGAGATTTGGGATCTGATGCTATATGGGGAAAAAATTAAGAAAATAATATGAATTCCTCTTATTGGCCATCCAGATACTTCATGTTCTGTAAGATATTCCTTTCCCCAAAAAGTTTCCTCTGATCACCTTTTAAAGATTTGACTTTCATTCATAACACTTGATTTTTTAATTTTTTTTTTTATTCTAAGATATCTGCAACATCTTACTGTTGTAATCTAGTAAGGAAAGGAAGCTGCTTATTCCTCCACTACAGCAATTGCCTTTTACAGCCCTCAAGCATACATTAATTTCTCTTTGAACACTTTCCATTTACCTCTATTGATTTGCCTTGTTTGATTTCACTTAACATTTCCTTTCTTCTCCCATCCCTTGTTGCTGAATTCATCAACTTAATAATTTTATCTTTTTGATCTTGTGTTAGCCCCAGTTATTATCCAAGCTGTAGTTTAAATGCTGAGTCTTCTGTGCCACTCAGAAAAAGTAAAAATAGTGCTTTTTATGTCAGTCTGTATCCTGGCTGTCCCAAACTGTGTAATAGGGGATGCAGGGGATCAAAATGCAATGCTGGGTGTCTCTTAGGTGGGTTGTAGGTAGCAATAAGAGCGAGATGAATTCAGGTGTAGAAGTTGGTTATCTACCTTAAAATCAGCCCCATGGAAGTGTTGATTTTCGTAGGAAATCTGTAAAGGTGACAGCTCTGATTGTGTAAACTCTGCCTGAGATATCCAGGAAAATAGATATTTACCCAGACTGTCAGACAACACGGCAGAGGTAGGAGAGGGCAGTGAGAGCTGATGCTGTTTTTCACAGGGATGCATGTCAGAGAGACAGGCTGTGACAAGTGATTTCCTCTTTCTCATGGCTAAATTAGTTTTTACACTAGCCATGGACCCACTCTTGTGTAAGATATTATAATGGCCTAGATATGTGTTCCTTTGCCTAATCTGAGTGTGTTTGTAATTGGCTTTCCAGCACGAGTACCACCATTTAGCAGTAAATAGTTATCTTTTTATTCCCTCCTTACATTTTAACTACATGTTATATTTTACAAAGGTTTAGAAAAGAGAGGAAATTGCTTGACAAGGATATGTCCCAGATATCATACTTATCTTTTAATGACTAGATAAATCAACTTTTCTATTCTTTTAATATTCTCTGTTTCCCTCCAGGTCTTATTCTTTACGTCTTATGTCCCTTTATCAAGCTTCTTTAGCCATCTTAGTTGCTTCTCCCTTCATCTTTCCTGCTGCTGTAAAAATTTCCCCAGTGCTTTTCTTTGACTGTTTTTCCTCCTTGTTAAGATTCTGCACTGGGGTTTTCACTCCCACATTCTTCACATCAGTATAAACAAAAAAGATCATATGTATCAGTTCCTTCTCCCCATTGCTCTCTGTCTTTCTGTAGACTTTAAAAAAGATAAAAATATTGCAGTATTAAAGGCACAGAAATACTTCAGTGGAATATATTGGACCAGTAATGGAAGAGCTAGTCCTATGGATAAAAGGAGGTAATTTGGAGGTGGAAAAATGAAATGCTGAAAGGGTAAGACCCTCAGACTTTGCTGGGATCTAAGCATGCTCAGGAGTTCTGAAAAGTCAGGCCACTTTTTTTTTTATTACATTAGAATAGACTATTTCAGTTGGAAGGGACCTACAAAGATCATTAAGTCCAGCTGTCTAACCAGTGCAGGGCTGACCAAGTTAAAACATTATTAAGGTGTTGGTGCAATCAGATTGTTCCATGTGAAGCAGCAATGGCTGTTGCCCCACGTCCCCGAGCATCTGCCAGAGAAGAAAGGACAAGGATGCAGTGGTGCGTTGTCAGTGGCACTGTGAGAGTCAGCACAACAAAATTAATACCATCTGTATCCCAATTAAATTCCACTGTTTATGACAGAGTGCACCACACGCCAGTGGCATTCATTCCAGGGGCTGCAGGAACTCTGGGCACGTGGCAATTGTTGCATATTCACAGTGGGAAATAAATGTCACTGAGTTTTGTCTAATAGCCATAGGTAAGATAAAGCCCTCAGATTTCATGCACTGGCCTTCCTGAATGAAGCATGCCGGGTTTGGCTCTCCTTGGTCTTGTTACAGCCAAAATGTGGTGGGAGTTCAAACTCTAGCTGGGATATTAATTCCGTGAGAAAGGGATGGCTCAGGTGCTGCGGATCCCTTTTGTCATTCGCAAGACGAGCAGAGGGTTGGCAGAACTCTGTCATGACTGTTTTGTTTTCAGCTGGTTTGATTTGGATTTGTTGGCTGCCCTCTGCCCTGTTAACTCCATGAAGCGTTTAATCATACATTCAGCTTGGGCAATAATACCCCGCATCGGTTCTGGTATTAATTGATTTTGGAAGTCAGCTGCTGGACTGGAAGTTACCACCGAGCTCCAGAAGTGAGAGCCTGATTCAATTGCTGGGTTTACAGAACGGATTTGAGCATTTGGCAGACCCTCTTTGGGGGATGGTTGTTGCTTAGTGGTGCGTGAGAACCCTGGAAGCCCTCCTTGCACAGTCGAGTCATTAATAACACGGGCTAAACTATGAGCTCCTGATTGTCAGACAGGGTGGAACGGGGGTTATCACTCACAGGCATCATCAGCAGAATTGACTATTGAGAGCTGCATGGATGAAGCAGGACCACACAGCTTGCAGGCTGCTCCTTGGACTGTGGGCAAGGGCAGCGGTGTTGAATGACAGAAGAAGGGTGGTTTTATTGGCAGTTCTGGCCCCAGTGCACAGTTGCAGGGGCGTAGGAGAGCTGAGGAAAAAGCAAATGCAGAAAGGAGGAACAAGCCTTGACTGGTTGATAAGACTGCACAGTTTGGGCAATCCAGCTGCTGGAGCTGCAGCTGGAGAACCTTGAGTTTGAGCCAGTGCTGAAACTGTGAGAGGGCAGAACAACCCCTGAGTGTGGGTGCACACACATGCACACGTGTGCTGGGGTGGAAAGATGAAACTGGAGTGTTGCCTTGAACCGCCTCAACCAGGTGACATATTGCACCAGCTCTGTTTGTTCCTTTGATTTCCAAAAAGGTACCAGTATGCTCAGGAAAGATTAAACTGGTTTTGCATCTTGTTGGTATAAAGGATGGACTGTGAAATGGGGTTTGTGGCAGTTACGTTCAGTAGGCCCTTGTGAGCACCACTGTGTGTGATTTCCCTTGTAGCGTATGGCATCTGCTGTAGAGCAGAGTTTTACAACAGCAAAGGAAGTAAATTACTTTCTTCTGATCTCAGATAAGTAATTATGATAAACTAATAGTTCTGGTGCTCTTTTGTCCCTGTTAGTAAAAGCAGCTCACCCTTTCCCCCTCTCTGGCTGGTGCTGTGCTTGCAGGGTACCAGGTCGCCTATCGCCTGGCCAGCAGCAGCCCCAACAAGTTCACCACGGTGGAGGTCGGCTCGACAGTGCGGCAGTTCACGGCCACAGACCTCACCCCGGAGTCAGCCTACATCTTCAGGACATCTGCCAAGACCAGGCAGGGCTGGGGGGAGCCCCTGGAAGCCACGGTGATCACCACCGAAAAACGAGGTAACGCTTCCAGCCGCGGGTTGAGAGCCTTCCCGTGCCTGCCTTGGAGCCTGAGCTGTGCTTAGGGGAGTTTTAATAACAGCCCACAGCCTATACACCTCCTCCTTCTCACCCCATAAACCTGCCCCAAACCATAGCAACATCATGATTTGAGAAAGCAAGACAGACTTTTATGAGGCACAGTTCTTCTAACCTGCCGGGCTGTTGGAATTGATTTTTCCATCAGCTGCTATATTGGCCATATGCAGCCTCCTTTTGCAGTCAGATGGCTTTTTTTCAGCTCTCTCGTTTTCTAGAAAGATTGCAGTCTTAAGAAAGTAAGTGATGGATGAATTATATTGATTAAGGAACGCAAAATGAGAGGCAGTGGTGTTGCAGAATTTCTCCACAGCTCCTCCATTGTACCTCAGCCCTGACCTAATGTGTCAGTAATTACTCTGGCCTTTCACTGCCACACGCTCGAGCAGAGCGTTTGCATCTGGATTGCCCAGACCTTTTCTGTTTCTTCCATCAGCCATAAAATGGTTGTTTGCAATCTGCATCTCTGGTCAAATTCTGTTCTGAAAGGGAATCTGCTTGAAGTCAGCATTTATACATGTCTATAAATGAAACCAGATGCTTAGATACCAAACGTATCAAAATGTGAAAGACGTGTAAGGTATTACAGGATCTGCTCTGCATCATTGCTTGTTTTTAATGCTTTGGCTCAAGTAACTGCTCCTTTTTCCAGTTTTAGAACAGATCTCTAGAGCTGCCAGATAGAAAAATTGCATTTTCTACTTGTTCATGAAGGTTTGTTTCTGGGGTTTTTTTTAATTCAGAGCTAAAAGAGGATATTTTGGTGAATATGTTGGTGGAGAACAGGAGGGTGGGTTTTCCTCTGGTCTTGCACCATATGCCACATTTCATTGCAAAGGATATATCTGGTCTCTTGAACTGACAAAGTCAAAAGCAGCCAGGGTAACTTTACCAGCATCACTGGGTTTTGCGTGACGTGCTGCTCTGACCCATTGTGCTGTCTGGATATTGATCTTTAAGAAAACTACTCACTCAAAAGTCAAAACCATCAGCTTGTGTGATTTATAAAAATCACTGTTCAGAGAGAAGCACACTTCAGCAGGTCACCAGGGCAGACCTCCTCAGATGTCTTTCAACTATTGTTAGAACTTTTACATGTGCTTCTGGGCCTGGTCTTAGTTCTTGCCCCATTCTTGCACTTTAATACAACCAGTTACATTTACTTTTAGTTCTTAAAGTGTGCCTACTAAGTAATCTTTTGTTTAAAGTCCTTTCTACACCTTGCAAATCATTTAGGGCAAGAGTAAGGATTTCCCATTTTATTTGTCCACAGTGTCTTCCCTGTTGTTTTCCTCTAACACTTCTAAGAAGAGAGGGTGTTGGTCTGATGCTCATCCACCAGAAGCAAGAACCTGTGAGGTGCATTTCAACTACTTGTGGCCTGTGTGGTTGGAGTTAAAATTCCCACTGGCATAGCCCTCTAGGTCATGTGCAGCCTTCTCAGTGCATAACAGTGCAGTCCTCAGAGAGAGAACCTCTGGAGCTGTATTTGAAACTTGAGAATGCCTCTGCTAAAGATACTGTCCATCAAAGAGATTTATCTGCTCAAGGTTTCTTCCACCCCTGTCTGATTGCTGTCAAAGGGGAAGTTCAAAGTCCAGCATGTGGAAGCTTCAAAAAAACCCACCGTGCCAAATAAAGTGGAGTCTCAAAGCTCAGAGCCTCTCCCTCTCAATAAAATGTGCTCAAATTTCCCAGACCTTGCACGAGGATACACAATAGCTCAAGTCAGAACTCCCGGCTCTGCTGTGGGAACAATGATCCCTTCTTGCTATCAGTGCTTTAGGGTTATCTTGAGAAGGCAAGTCATAGTATAGTATGAACCCTTTCTCTTTTTGATGGACAGCTCTACTGTCTCTACACATGCTATGGAACCAAGAGTTAACTGTATAAAGTGTAGGGAGAAGAATGTGTATTCTCACATCAGCAAGAACAATATAAGAGGGATGATAAAGAAATTTATCCATTGCAGCTATTCTGTTAACAAGAAATTAACCCAAAACTTGTATATATGACAGTAAATATCCTAGAGTAAAAAGGTATTTTATTTCCATTAATAGCAATGCATTTGATATCCTTGTAGTCCTCGATACTGAGGTAGACAGACACAAAAATTCCCCATGAAAATTAGCAAAATTGGTCACTTGTGTCCTTGTAAATTCCTTGGATAAGGAAAATACATTATTTTACATTTTACAATGATACCTGTAATTTATAGATCCCAAATTATATTGTGGCTGTGTTCTCCAGAGGTTCTGCTGCAGTGCTTTGGATCTACACAGTGATACTTCAGAATAAACAACACAAGTGTTCAGGGCAGAACTGAGTCAGAAAATGTAAATGTAGCAAGAAATTAAAAGTAGTCTATAGAGCCATGTGGACTGGTACAGTCAAGCCTTACATTCCTGCACAAACAGCTCACCTTAGCATTTGCTTGTGGCTAAACTCCCATAAATAAACTCTTTATACTAATGGTTTTGTACAAACAGTCAGGGAATATATCTTGCAACACAGAAGATTTTAAGATCTCCCGTTAGCAGCGGAAGGAAACCGAGCCGTGGGAGACTGACTGCAAGATCTGACCTGCCCACAACAGCAAAGCATATCAGCAGAGTTTATAAAATCCCTGCATGACACTCACTTCCTTGGATGGAATAACCTGCATACCTGTCTCAGCCTGTCAGTGTAAGGCACTGACCTTTTGCGTTGTACTGCGGCTCGCAGGCTGCTGGCACCCAGGGCTTCCTCCAGCTAATAGCTTACAAGTCTTTGGGCACTGATGTCAGCAAGAGCAGGCTGCAGAGAAATGCCAGAACACACAGGAAATGGTTTTAGGCGGTGGCAGGGAAATGAAGTGTTTGCCATATGGAGCTGTGAGGAACCAGGCAGGCAGAGGTGTGTTTATGGAAACAAGTGCTGATGAAGTTGAATTGAATTGCTTCTCAAAAGCAAGTCACTGCGGTGTCTCCAATCAATTTTTGCTTTATTACATGCCACACATTTTAATCAGAATCAATAATCTTCATGATAAACAATTAAACAATTATTCCTCACTCTATAGAGTTTCTCTATTGAAATCGATGGAGTGCTGAGATGCGGTGACGGGAAAGGAGATCTGTAATGAAACAGTTGGGGACTGGCATGCTTACACCTGCATTACCATTCCCTGCTCATCTCAGAGGTGTGCTGGTAATTACTCTGCAGGGATCTCCCTCAGCACAGGCTGATTTGACTTTGCAGGTTCAAGGTTAGTGGGTACAAAGGGAAGAGCTGGGAAGCTCTGGAAGTGACCTGCAGCAGGTGCTGCAGCCCCAGCTCCCCACTAGCTCCAGGCTGAGGTTTGGAAGCAGCAGCACCAGGAGCTGCTGATGGTTCCCAGATCCTTGCCAGAGAGGGCTGGTGCAGGAATTCAGTATCAGCTGTGTGTGCTTGGACTCTGCAACACAACAGCCTGTTCCAGCTCATCCCTTTCTCTCCTTTGTGCCTCGGCTGGGCAGCAGCTGGGGGAAGAGGATGCTACATAGCACAGAGAGAACAAAGTCCCTGGTACCAAGGAGTAAGAATAGGTTAAAAAGTGAGCTAATTTATAGGCAAATTCTTTCAAAAGAGCAACTGCAGACAGAAGCACAGCTGAGTTTCAGTAAAGATTGCCTTGGTTTGCTTGACTGCCAGTCCTAGTGATTCTTCCTTAACCTACCAGGCCAAGACCCCCCTCAAGTTTGAGGTTCACTGCTAGGAAGGTGTATATTCAATGCTGACCTTTGATGCAGGGAGATAAGAATCAATTTTAGTGCTCCTCTTTGCAGGAGAAGGTTAAGGAATGGGATGGTTGTATACTTCATGGGGCAAATCCAAAAGTTCAATCTCCTGTGGCATTACCACTATGAAAATCTGATCAGGCTGTCACATTTTATGTTGTCTGAAATTTCCTCTCAAAGCAGTACCGAATTATGGTTTAATTGCAGAACGACCAGCACCTCCCAGGCAGGTGATGACCCCCCAGAGCGACGTGTCCTCACGGAGTCTGCTGCTGAAGTGGGTCCCTGGAAGTGATGGATCTTCACCGATCCGATATTTTACAGTCCAAGTGCGAGAACTGCCCAATGGAGACTGGCAAACCTACTCCTCTTCCATCAGCCACGAGGCGACGTCCTGCATTATCGAAAGGTACCATGTGATCCCAGGCTACCATAGAAATTCCCACACTTTCCCAAGAGCTGGGAAACCAAAACAAGCATCACTCAGCTTCACAGTCTTCTTGGGAGGGAGAGAGGTTAAGTGAGGTCGCTGCTCCCATTTTAGAGGTGGTGTTATGAACAGCAGTTGAGAGATTTGCTGAAGGTCACGCAATAAATCTAATTAAAGTTGGACTGCAGTGCATCTTTTTGAAGCCCTTCCTGGAAGCTCAGCACCGCAGATAACACCACTCAGGCTAAATCATATGTAGCTACACAGTGCTCTGTAAAATACAACTAGTTAAAAATCCTTTCAGTACTGACTGATGTTAAAATCCACTCTGAATGCTGCATTGCAATTATCTCTATATAAGCTTTTCCAGATGAAATGAGAGCCATTTTTATCTGTATTTTCCATACTGAAGTTTATAGATAGCATCGGAATGTTTAAACTTTGTTATTCAGGCTTCATTATATCTTCAGCAATGCTAGTGTAATTAAAGTCCTTGTAACATTGGCAAAAGTAATTGAATGTCTATGAGCAGGTACTTGTTTTGCTGTCCATTTCCTCTGTTGACGAGCTGGTACAAATCTGATTATTTCTAAAAAGCCGTGAGCTTTAGGAGAATCGAGTATTCAAATCATTCAGATACAGATTTTTCAGGCCAGTTATAAAAGCAGCAGTGGCTATGGTATATGACAGCTCACTGGTCCTGTGCCAGTATCTTTCCAGTCAAAACCTGTAAAAACAAGGCAGCCATCTATGTCATTTAGACTTGGCATTGACGTGACTGAAAACAAAAGATTGGAAACAATGATTCACGTTATTCAAGTTGCTATAGGTAAGTAATGGTGTCCTAATAGGGTGGCACTGCTTAAAGAGATTTCTTCTGCTCCTTGCTAAAAGCATTTTCCTGTGGAAGTCCGGAAGAGTCGTAGATGTGAGAGTGCTGCCCATCAGGATGCATTATCCTTGATGTTTAATCATTCCTTACAAGTAACTTTACTTGGGTTTGCAGTCAGTGTTACATCTGCCAGCGGATGGCTAGACACTACCAATTAATTAGCTAAATCCCCTGTAAGTTACAGCTCTGCATTTCAAGCCTCTGCCTGTGACTCCAAAGGCAGCCTCCCCCTCACCTTCCCCTGCCAAGCCAAGACAGAAGCATCTCTGTGAAGGTTGTGTCAGCTGGAAATCACTCTTTGCATATCTTAAAGCCCCACATAGATAAAAGAGCTGCAGGGAACCTGTTGTTGCTGTCTTTATTAAATAATCCAGGTAATAGCATTAATTTGAAATTCAGTAGGAACAAAATGCACTGATCAAGTGGTGTGGTGTAAGGGATTAGTCAGGAGGCTGATGCTCTGAATTCCAGTGCCTGCTGTGCACTGGCCAACCCTGGGCATGTTACCTGCCTCCACCTGTAATCCCCCTCCGTGCTCTGAGGATCAGTTTTGAGGATATCTCAGCCAAGCACCTTGAAAGCCAGGTTTTGCACAGCCATGCAGAACTTGAATGACAGCACAGCTTGTCCTTCCCAACAAGCCCCATCCATCGGCTGCTCCATGAGTTGCAGCTTCACGTCTGTTTTCTGGCACCCAATTATGTGGTGAATCCAGGAGTGGTTTTGGGAACTGAGGCCAGTGGACATCTGAGAAGATGCTGATGGCAGCAGGGGTGCAAACACCCCCACGTCACGAGGAAGGTGGGGGAGGCTGCAGAGAAAAGGCGATGGGGAGAAGAGACAAACTGCTGAATGACTTTGGTTGGCAATGGGCAGGTTCTCTGTAGAGGCAAGTTGTGGTGATGTGGGGAGGTTTCATCCCTCAGCCTTATTTTTTACGTTCCACAGCTTGAACCCGTTCACCTCTTACAAACTGCGAGTGAAGGCAACCAACGACATCGGGGACAGCGACTTCAGCGCGGAGACAGAGGCGGTCACGACGCTGCAGGATGGTAAGGCAGGAGGAGCTCCATGGGGTGGGCACTTCCCAGGGCTCCTGGGTCTGCTGGACCCACTGCAATGTGATTTCCACTGGGACTGTGCAGTGAAAATCAACAGCCGATGCAGGTTTGTTCATAGGAAGTTGATGCAGGTAGCATGAGATATGGCTGAATTAACAGGCAGACTCAAGTGTCCTGCTGTGCCCTCTGACAATGAATCATACTTTCAGGAGTCTCAAAATGGAATTAAACTTCGTTTGATTGGCTTCCAAACTCTGCACTAACCATTATCTTTGCAGAAATTGAATAATTTACAAGAGATCATTAAAAATAAATGTAGAACCTTGCATACATTTGAAGAAGTTTCTTCAGTTGTTTTCCCTCACAATCCACATCAGTCTGCAGTATGGCAAAATTGCTGAGGTATAAGTAAGAAAGAGTATGAAGCTCCTGGAAACATGAGCATTTAATCCTGCAGATCAGGACTAATAAACTGTGAATGACATTGACAAGGCTTTTATTTTTAGCCTTAGAGATCAGCTTCTAATTCCTTGATTGTATAAAGTTGATGCCTGAATGCAGAAGTAGCTCTGGTGTCTTAAATGGAGAAAGGAACTCTGCAAAGTATGAAAAAGCATCAGTATGTACTGTTACCCTGGAAAATTGAGTAATACTGGGATACATACATATATAAATATATATATGGGTGTTGTGAGGTGGGGGTCGATCTCTTCTCCCAAGTAACAAGTGACAGGACATGAGGAAATGGCCTCAGGTTGCACCAGGGGAGGCTTAGATTGGATATTAGGGAAAAGTCTTCACTGAAGGGGTTGTCAAGCACTGGAATTGGCTGCCCGGGGCAGTGGTGGAGTCACCATCCCTGGAAGGATTTAAAAGACGTGTAGATGTGGCACCTGGGGATGTGGTTCAGTGGTGAACTTGGAAGCGCTGACTTAATGGTTGGACTCGATGATCTTAGAGGTCTTTTCCAACCTGAACAATTTTATGGTTCTATATACATGGTGCTAGAAATTCTTCAGAATTTCTTACAGAGCAAGGAATGAGGACACCGAGATATAAAAGCAGGAAACCATTTTGCAAAGGAGCGTTTAAAGACTGTAATCTTGAAATCAGAAAAAGAGAGGACACTGCTCAGGAGTATCCAAAGCTAAACAAGAACCCATGTAACACCTGAGCAATGTGCCAAGCAGCCCTTTAATGACATCCTGACTCTCCACCTTCCTGCGCAGCCGCTGCGGGATCGGTGCGGGCTGTGACTGCGCTAATGAGGCAGCACTGACTCACTGTTTCAGAATTTAAAGTTTTACTTTAAATTTAAAGTTTTACTTTAAATTCTCTTTGAATTTAGCTACAGTGAATCCAGAGTTGTGCTTGGCCTCCTCACAATACAATGGGGAAACGCTGTGAAAGCTTCTCACCTCCTCAACAAACTCAACATTTATTCTGCTGAGCAGACCCGGTGCTGCCACCAGAGCGTTGTGCTGTGGAGGGCTGTCAGCTCCTGATAAGCCTTTGCCTCCTGTGTTTGAGCTGCTGTGGTGCCTGAATGTGCTACAGGCCATGGGCACAGGAAGGGGTTAACCTGTGGTAAATCAAGCTGCCCTAACTAGAATAATATGGGACTATTTGACACAGACTCCTACATAGGAGATGGGCTTGCCCCAGCTGTGGCATAAATCTCATGAAGAATCTGGGAGCAGTTTGCTCACACTTTGGAGCCCTCACACAGCTGGTTTAACTTCCTTTCAAATGAGCACCCAGTGTTTTGTGAGCACTGGCTGCTGCAGTTTCCTTCAGGTTTATGCCCTCAGCTTTTCTTGTTCCTGCTCAAGCTGCCAAGGCCACAGGTAGAGCAAGGGATGTAGGAGAAATGCCTGGCTTCTGCCCGGGTTCCAATATCCATATCCACCACACTGCTTTTGAGACCTACCATGTAGCAGTTGGGATGGAAGATTTTCTTCAGCAGTAAAGAAGGAGAATCTGAGAAATAAAAGCTGCCTCTTTTCCACCCTTTTGCCATAACTCTTTTTGTTTCATTTTTCTCTCGTTTAGTTCCAGATGAACCACCCAGTTCTGTGTTAGTGACTCCCCACACGACTTCCTCTGTCCTTGTGCAGTGGCAGGTAGGTAAAATGAAAAAATATGATATTTCTGGAACAGATTTTTGGTTGCTTTGACTTGTTGACCTTAATGGTACATTGCCAGGGACATTTTCCTGAGCTTGGAACTATTGTAGTAAAGTTTAAGGACTGCAGCTACTTCCTTATTTTCCTGACCTAGCATAGATTTTAGTGATGGACGGAAATTTCTGACAGTTGCTTTTACTTTTTGCCCCATGAGAAGTTTGGGAGGTAAAGGAGTTTCTGTAGCCATGTCCAAGGTCATTACTTGTCAGATTCTCCTGTCCTTTTGTTGATATTGATAGATGTTCATCTTTACATGGAAAACATTCATGGAGTGCAGCGGCGGTAAAATCAGGTAATCAAAAGCTCCCTTTGGTTCACATCATGTCTGGCCTCCTCCTGCTGCTGAAATGATCAGAAGCCTGAGATCAGTGCCTGAGATCCCATTCATACCTCTGAGGAACTCCAGGTGCCCTTTTGGCTCTTCGAGAGAGAAAATTCGAGACTTCTTCAGAGAACAGAAAGAAAGAAAGTTTGAGCTCTCCATGATCCCTCTGAGCTGGACGGGGAACTATTCATGCCAAGTCTGCATTTTATATTGGCATTTCCTCTGCCTCCCTTTATCTCTCAATCCTGGCCTCCTGGGCGATGCAGGAACATTTTGTGACCCAGTGCCTGAGGCTTCTTTTTGCAGAGTGGGCATTAATAGAGGGAACCCAGTGGGGTACTGCACGTTATCCATAACCTATCCTGGAAAGCCTCTGCCCACCCTGCTCCCAAGACAATGTCCCCCACACATAATAAGGATAACTTTGGACAGATTGCATTACAGTGAAAAATGTACATATGCGTTTACAGTACAGATGGGACTCCTTTCATTTTTGGAAGAAAAATATGTGTACGAGGGTCTGTTTATTGCTGTGCAGCAGCACTTTAAAAATATGCCTGGCTGTGCTCCTGGGTGACTGGCCCGAATTCACCAGCATAATCCTGAGCAACAACATTGCTTACAGCATGTTGAGCAAATAGGAGACATGTTGAGCAGTTTTACCAAAGGAATTATGGAGGGATGTGAATCTGCCTCCCCACCTACAACTGCAGCCCACAGCGAAGGAAAGAAAGGTATAGAAAGAGAGGACAAAGAGGATGTGAGGCAGGATGGGCCAGGGAAATAAACATTCCCCCAATTGACTGATTATTGGTGTGTGGTTAATGTGAAATAGGTGGTTGTTTAGGTAATTGGATGCTTTTTATTTCATGAAAATGAAATGGGGTTGTTGTACCAGAGCCATCTCAAGGGAGTTGTGGGCGATTACATGTCATTACTACATGTGTATTAATAGGTCCTGGTAATTCAACCATACTATATTTTTCAAATAAACAAAAGTCTTCAAGTCCCACAATAGCCACCAATTAAGAGGAAGTTTCACAGCAGTGTCAAGGAAATAAGGTAAACTGCAAACAGCAGTCAAGCTTAATGGGAGAGTGGGTTTCTAAGCAAAGCTAAATTTTTAACTTTGAGCTCTGTTAATAATTCACAAAACAAACTCTAGATGCACTATCTGGGCTTTCAGCTGCTTGGTCCAATCAGTCCGTTATTTTTAAATTTAAAGGAGGAAGAAAATAAGTAATTTCCATGGAGGTCTGTTGTATCAATAATGCAAGGTTATTTCAAATGTTCTGGAGGATGTTACACTTAACATCAGGATCATGTACTGTTCTGCTTCTACGTTAGAGAGAACAATTATTGAAACTTACATTTTGGTCTTTTTTTTTTATTTATTTTTAAACAGCACAAAAATGTTTCTCTTACTTCTGTGCAACATTATGGGCTGCCACTCATAATCATTTTACCTATTTCAGCAGATCCCTCAGGCTTTCCTACAAAATCCTAAATAATCCATTACATCAAAAGCAGAGTTTTGTCCATGGAAGACAGATAGGAAGGGGAAGACCTGACCTTTTATCAGAGTACCCTTTTCAGGAAAGAATTTTCATTTCCATGCAAGGAGAAAGACAGTTTGCAAACCATTTATTTTCTGAGTTTTCCTGTCTCAAATTTCAAGGAAGCTAAAAATGGAGAATCACATGATAGCATAAAAAAAACATTGTTTACTATCAACAAATCAGCGTCAGACTGTAACGAGAATTTAAGCTTTACCTGTTAAGCAGTTACATGGCAGGGCAGGCAATAGCAGTCTCTTTCTCAGCTTCAGCAAGGTTTTCCTTCCAAGGTTCTGTAGGATATTCCATCTCAACTTTTTTTCTTTAATTTAAAAAAGATTATTATTGGTTAAAATGGGAGAAGTCAGAGTGGGGCAAGGCCACTGCTGTGCTGTGGAGCCCTTCTCTGTAAGGGCACCATCAGGGCTAAAGCAACTTGAGTATAATACAGAAAACAAAAGAAGGGAGTCAAAAGATTGGAAAAGAGAAAAGAAAAGATCAGGAGAGAGATACTAGTAATTTCCATTAAACCACATCTCATCTCCTTGCACAGGAGAGCATTTCAGCTGGTCTGTGAGCCATAACGTCACTGGGCAGCTCTGGAGAAGGCACTTTGGTCTACTTGCTTAGTCCCTTGGACAAGGGGCTCAGTCTGAGACTGGGAAAGGCTGTTGTACAAGAGCTTGATTTATTTGCCTTGTAAAATGTAGTCGTAGAGGGAATATGATTGCCCTTTCTAAAATACATCACAGGAGTAAACACCCCACAGGGAGAAGAACAATTTAACCCAAAAGGCAATGTTAGCACAGGAACAAATGGTTAGAAACTAGCTATGAATTATTTAGATTAGAAATTAAATGAGGGTTTCTAACCACCCAAGTAGTGAGGCTTGAAACAGCTTTCCAACAGGAATACTGGAAAGCAGAAAAATCAGCTTGTTTTCAGGAGGAGGTTGTTCTCTGGGTGAAAGGGACTTTAGGCAGGTGGGTCTCTGCAGTGGTGAGGTCCCAGTCCTGATGATTCCTGAGTTCCCTCACAATCCTGCATTCACAGAATCATCTTGTAATGCCGATGCTAAACAGTAGTGAAAGGTGGTCAGAGCTTCTCCAAAGACTGGAGCACAATAACAAGCATGAAACAATGATGAATAAAAGATCTCCAACCATGCAGAGGAAAAACAATGAAGTCTTGGGATGATTTGGGTTGCTTTCAGCAGGCTCTGTGCAGGACAACTGCAAAAGAAGGTGGCTTCTTGCAGGAGCAGCTTCTGCTCCTTTTCCTGGTGGCTGTGTATGTTCCTTATACTCTGATTCACATCATTTTCTTTTTTCATTTCCATGAACTGCAGTCTCTGTACTTAAGTCCTTCAGCCCTCACCCAAAGCAAAGTCCTTCGCTCCGAGACAGGACAGTTGTCTCTCCCCTCTTGCCATTGTAATGGAGTAATGGAAAATTCTTGTCATCTCTGGAGGCAGAAAGCCAAGTTATTACCAAGGATCTTCCTCCTTTCCTGTAAAAATGTCCTTACTTTCTTCATTAAAATTACATGTGGTATTACCTTCTATTGTCACAGCATTTCATACCAGCGGTTAATTTTTACACAATGGACAGAAGGCTTTTCCTTAGTAAAGTTCTCAAGGCTGGCAGGGATCTTTCAGGATTAGAGGCGAGATCATCATTAAAATCCTTTTCATTTATAGTTTCAGCCCCTTAAATTTCAGTACAAGAATCTTTAGAAGATAAATGGCTCAGGGCATCTTTTCTTCTCTGCAGTTCTTAGCCTGTATTAGGCTCATGAAAGTAATTTTTTTTCCCAAACATGAAGAATCCCTTTGCTTGTCTCTATTTAAGCAAGCCACTCAGACAAAAATCTCCTTTTCAGTGTACTGGCTGTGTATCTGTATCTGAAGGAGGATGTGAGGGGCTGCTGAAGAAGCCTTGCTGAGGTATTATGTCTTTGAGCATCTCCCAGCATGTTGCTGAAGAAAAAAATCTCGTGTCTGAGCCAGCTCGTGGCCAAATTGCTCAGAGCTGTTATGGAGGAGACTTGGGTTTTTCTGTGGGAGTGGACATGTGGAACACACCAGAGCCCATCACACTGTGACTGCTCTCTAAATGCCTTTACGAGGTTATTATTAGACCTAGTTTCATCTTCCTAATTAAAGCCAGAACAAACCAATTCCTTTTTATTTTCTCATCAGTCTTTCAGTAAAATAATGCCAAATGAAGAATGCCCTGTGATCAGTCCCCAAGGGAAATACCCACTAAAGGAATTCTGTCTTTAACAAAACAATCTGCTTCTTTTCATCTCAGAAGAAGTGAAATACTGTTTGGCTGTTCCACTGTTGGTGGCTGACAACCTGCATTTCCAGGAACATGCTTATTTATACTCTTTATCACCCACAAGTTTCAGTGGAGCAAGAAGGAAAGGAGCTTGGCTCTTAGTGGAGTACATCGGGTGTGGATTTTGTAATGGCCACAGCTGAGGGAAGTCATCACAGTTGCCTTTAACTTGTGTTTTTCAAATTACACAGCCTTCCACCCTGCACATTATTAATGTCTGTTTTCACCAGAGCACTGTCCCCCTTCACACAGGGCCTGTGTCAGCTGCTGCCCGTGGTGATGGATGTTTGTTGCAATGCACATCTTAACAAGCCTGTTCTGAACATGAATGTTTTTCAGCCACCCAAAGTGGAGAGTCTGAATGGTTTGCTCTTGGGATACCGGATCTACTATCGGGAGCTGGATTATGACACTGGACCTGGAAGAGAATCCAAAAACATCCAGAACCCTTCAGCTTTACGAGCAGAGCTCACACGTAAGCCTACTGTAGTTTGGACCCTAAAATATCCCAGAATGGTAATCTGTCATTACACCAGACACTATAAGCCCTCTTGCCCCATGGAAGTAACACATAAGTCTAACAGTGCTGGGGATAATTCAGGTTTTACACAGTCAGGGTGAAGATGCTGAAAAATGCAAGTAAATCCTGTGTGATCAGCACTGTCATGGTCCGTGCTAATCTCTGCCAGCATGCTGGAATTGATGGTCTGTCCCCCAGGTATCCTCTGATTTCCTGCTTTTCACTACCTCCAGTTCATGATTACTCTGGTATACTTTGTTCTACCATTAGACAAAAGAAAGACACTTCATTTTCCTCAGCTGGCAACTTTTTTCTTTCTTGCTATTTTTTCAAGAGTTTTTATAACTGGCATTTTGTTTTTCTTTTTAACTGTGTAAGAAAACAGCTGAGGAGAATTTTTAAATAGAATTTTTACGATTTCAAAGCTCTTGTCCATATTTTAGAAGAAAACAGTAAGGATGAGCAAGAATTTTTAGGTGCATGCTTTCCATGTTAGTCACTAGGATTTATGGCTCACATGGAAAGAAAGCGGAGAGGGAGAGGAATAATAGAAAAATGAAAAGGCTTTTTAGACAAAGACTAAAAAGGAAATCAGAGGGAAGAATAGGCAGAATAAGGTGATGGAAGGCAGAGATGTGATCACTCAGGAGCCTGAAAAAATATGGTCCAGCAATGAGATGTGCTCATGGAGGGACCAGCTTTTGTCATGTTTGAAGGCAGTGGAATATTCACAATAAGATAATACTCCAAGAGCAGCAGAATAGGGCTGAGTGAGACTGTTTTAATATCTTACATCATCTTCCATGAACTCTGAACCCATAAAAGTGATTTCTACAAAAGCCAGAGTGAATTTTTGTGAGGGTGTGGGAGAAGTGGATGCTTTAAATGTAACGTAAGCACCTAAGTGTGACCTCACTTACATGGTCAGTGCTAATGAGATTTCTCAGGCTGTGCAGTTTTAACCAGGACAGAGTAGAGATGTAAAGCTCTTATAGGTGCATAAGGGATTTTCCCAGACAAAAGCTGAATGACTGTATACATTATCATGAAGTAATGATTTTGGATGCTCTCACAAGCCAGGGAGCCTGTGAAACCAGCTGGTTTCCTCTTTTCCCTCTTCTCTCCTGGCCCTGCAGCAATGTTCCTAATAGCTGTAGAGTTGAAAAAACGAGCTGTACCTCTCCAGGGAGTCAAGAGAGAGAGAGAGAAAGGGGTGGAGACAAGTGTATTTTCAGATAAATTTCCCTCTTTCTCCTCATAATTCTCACCTTAGAACACCTCTGTTCCTCACTGACCTGCAGTTTTGCACAGCTTAGCATCTTATTACAATTCACTCACAGCAGGAATATTGAATTCTTTAAGTGAAACTGTGGGAAATCTAACTCACACTTAAAGAAACAGGTCCTGTCCTAATGTAAGTGTTCACTCTCTGGCCCACGTTCCAGGTCTTTCCCCTGCAGCTCTTCAGGTTTTGAATTTTGCATCTTGAGAAATCAGGATGTAATGCACCATTGAGAGTTTTCCCCCTTAGAAATCGTTTTGTTTTTTCCTCATTTGTTCTGTTTAGTCTAAAAGTCAGAACATTTTTGTGTTGTGTATTTGTGAGTTCCTCTGTTTGAGGAGGAAATGAAACAGCCCCATGTGAGCGAGGCGCTTTTGATGTGTTACGAGAGAGTGATGTGATTTTATTGCCCTTCAAGGTATAGTCCTGCAGCTTAAACTGTGTATGGGTGTGCTGCCTCATTTGCCTCTGTCTCTGCTGTACATCATTTGCAATAACTATTTCCTTGCACTGTAACAAGCTTTCTGCTTTGCTTACCCTGAATAGCCCAAAGCAGCTTCAAGACAGTGAACAGCAGCTCTGCATTAACGACGTATGAATTAACACGTAAGTGCACATTGCCTTTAGATGAGACTCTTTGTAATGGTTCAAAATACACTGTAGGCAAACTCCTATGGCTCTCCTCAGTGGATCCAGCAGAAATCAACACAGATTAATGATTCTGCTTTCTCCAGTTTCTTTTCCTTTAAGCCTTTGCTTTCCCTACGCCAAGAGACATCGATGATGCAAGTAGGTAGCTGTTGTAAAAACCTGGCTGCTGGGAAGGTAAAACATTATTGACTGTAACAACCCAGTATTGCTGATGCTAAATGAATTTTGATTTGCTTGCTACATATTTTGCAGTCCATGTGAGCTTAGCTGTATCACATCATTAGTTCTATGATTCAAGCACTGCGATGCTCAGGCATTCCATGGAGTACGAGGCCAGTTTAGAGAGGGCCCAATGAATTTATGTGCATCTCCAGAGGTGTTTTCAATTGGAAATGAATAAAATAACATTCGACAGAGTTAAAAGGCAAGTTGCTTTGTGGTGATGATGGTTCACTAGATAGGTTTTGCCCAAGGCTTTTGAGTCACAGATTGTGATGGGCTAAAAAAAAAACCACAAAAAAACATGAAGCCCTATCCCCACTGAAAGTTGCATGCATGAACTCTCATGTGTTCCATTTTCTTCCACATCCAGTTAACACTAAAATCTCCCTTGTGGCTTTTCATGGCAGAAAATAAAGTTTCACTGTACAGGCTGCCCACTACTATATCCTATATATCCTACTATTTCTTGTATGTTTATGAACTTAGCTCCATTACTGCTGATTTCCTTGCTCCATGTTTTGCAGGCCATCTGAGTTTAGTGGTATCTCATCAAAAAATTAGGGATGTATCAAATATCATTTTCAGTATGCCCGAGACTGGGGAATGATGCTGGACTTGGAGTCAGATATGGGAGCACAAGTCTTGTAAACACTTCCATGAAACTGAAATTAGACAAACTTATATAATTAGGCTCATTGAACCTTACCAAACCAATGGCATGCTGTCAGCCACCGAGTTAAGGGGACTATCTGATTCATAGATAGCAGGAAAAATTATTGGCGAAGGGAGAAATTTGGACCCCTGGCCATGCGTGTCTTAATTCAAACCTCATTTAAATAGGGCAATTTATATTATTGATCGCCCTCTTACTCTAATCTCCCTGCTAAATATTGTAGATGATAAATATATCTGTTAGGATTGATTCTTTCATCCTGAAAATGCAAAATCTGAAACTGCTCAGGCGCTGCCTCCCCTAATGACGTTGACGTGATTCTACTCCACCCTCGTTTGCATCAGTTAATTACCCGCATACAACTGGGTTTTCTAGATTTTTTCATGCTTCTCTCACTCTCCTGCCTCATCTGGCAGAGTAGTTTCTCTGTGTCAGCAAAGGAGTTTGGTGCCTGGTGGCCAAATGGAGTCCAGCCTCCAAATTCTTCTTTCTCTTTATGGTTGATGGTCAGGCTGTGGTCACGCTGAAGGAGAAAGATCCCCATGGATTACTTGGAATGGGACTCCAGATGCCCTACTGCAGTTTTTCCTCTGCACCCTGTTTCACCTGGGGCATTCTTGAGCAGCACAGTTGCCAAATGCCTCCCTAGATGAACATCCCTGGGATTAGGCAAAGGCTTGCAGCTCTTTCCTACCAGTAGAGATGGAAAGGAGCCCATATGTTGACATTCAAAGCCATTTTCTGTCCTTAAGAATGACCTAGAGATGTTCCTCTAGCTAAATATTCATCAGGAATGGGTATATTCCAGGAGGAATCCTTATTCCTCTTATTGGAGCAATACTGTGAGGAAGCACTGGAAAATCCTACCTTTTCAACACAAACACCTTTCATAATTATTCAAATCCTGCCATGAATTAAGGAAGGATGGAGTACATTGCACTGTTGTACTGTTCTATTGCTGTGTGTCCCAAGAGAGAAGTATGGTGATGAAGAGGTCTTGGAGTCTTAAAAATATCTGTAATATAGTATAAATGATAAGATAGAATATTAATATATAATATTTTACTTTTTCAGAGTTGAAGAAATACAAGAGATATGAAGTACTAATGACAGCATACAATGTCATTGGTGAGAGCCCTACCAGCACACCAGTGGAAGTGTTTGTGGGTGAAGCAGGTAAGTAAAAGGAAAATTGGTTGATTTTATTTTTTTTTAAAGTACCAGCGTGTTTTAATATTCTCCAGATAATATTTAATATTTGCTCACGAAGGGGATGATTTGAAAACACAAGCAGTTTTTGTAGCCTCCTGGAATAGGTTGGCACTGACAGCTTCTTGCCATTGGAAAGCCAGTTGGTCTGCACGAACAAGGGGAGAAAGGGCATCTGAAAGAAAGAAAAGGAAATATTTTTGGAGTTGCAGGAGGATGGCTGTTCATACCAAATTAGCTTGAGGGGAAAATTGACTCAAGTTGAAGAAGTGAAAAGTGGAGCACAGGAAAGCCACAAGGGAAAAGAAACAAAACTACAAAACAAGGGAGACTTGGAAAGCTGGTTCTTTTATTTTATAACTTGCCGTGTAGAGACATTGCCTTGCACCACACCTGGCTGTATTTTTATGCTCTTGAAGCAAGAAGACACCGTGTCCAGTTTAATGCTGGCTTTGGAGGCACAGATAAAGGTCTCTCTCTGAAACATGCAGATTCTGTTGTACCATCCAGCCCCTTCAGAACCTGAGGGGTCAGTGGCTGATGGTCACTGGTCATGGTCTGTTCATGTGGATTTAGTGCACGAGTCCATTGTGAATCGTAACTTGATCATTTTAAAATCCCTCCAGTGGAAGGCTGGAGGTGGAAATCAGGACGAAACAGTTAAGTAGACATTTCTCTGGGTGGTTTTGCAGAGCCCAGATAACCCACAGCTGAGTCTGTTCTCTCAGTAACTCCAGCTGGAAAGGGCAGGACTGCAATAGCTGATGTCTTCCTCACAGCCCCGGCGGAGGGGCCGTATTTATGGTGACCCCAGCTGGAGAGAGGCTGGCACCGAAATAGTTGTTAGTTATGGTATCAGCTTCTGCAGCAGCATCTTTTGAAGCTCAGAACAAGAAGAGGCAGCACACACCCTCCTGTTGTTCAGCCTGCTGCCGAGAACGGGTCTGGTTACGCTTTTGTTCCTCTGTCTCAGGGCTGTGGGAGGTAGAAGCTATCAAACCCAGCACTAATTCATTTCATTATTAGCCATTAAATATTCTGTTGCTCAAAAGTAAGTGAAAGCATATTTTTTTTAAACTCCACTGCATTTTTTTTTAAACTCTACTTAACCTTTTCATTTCAAATATGGTGTAACATTCACCATCTTTCTTTGAAAACATCATAAATTAATCAGAGCAGCATGGTTCTGGAGAGACAGCTGGCAATATTTACATTTTTTTCTAGTTTGCTGCTGCTCCAACTTACTTCTGCAACTGCAGCAAAGAAAGTCCCAAGTGGAGCCAACTGTATCTGGCTTCAAAATACATTTTTGTTTCAGAGCTAAATATCTCACTGCTGCAAATGGAGCCAGTGCCTGCACTTAAACACATGTACACAGCATGGAAAATCAGCTGGGGAAAAGAAGGAAATGCTGTTATGTCGTGTTTTTTAATCCCACTGTCTGGGTCTTCCTTATCATAACTCAGGGAACAGGGCAATGGGAGGAGATAAACTTGAGAAGAAACTGAGATATTTACATAACTCCCAAGTGTCCAGTGGAAGGTGCCCCTGCCCATGGCAGGGGTTTGGAACTAGATGGGCTTTAAGGTCCTTTCCAACCCAAACCATTCCATGATACCATGATATCCAGGAGGACTCCTTTCACAGGCAGGACTGGTGTATCTGAAGTTGTAGCATGAGTTGGATGGTTTTTTACAGTTGCTGGATTTACTTCTGGTAAGGGACAGTCCAGGTTCATGTGGTAGAAATGATGAATGTAGGATCTTCCTGCCGATTTTCACTCTTGTTGTGTGAAGTTATTATGCTTTGTTATATAACTGCTTCTTCCACCTCCAGAACTGGCTGTGATTTATACTGTGAGTAAAGTGATTGGAGCTGGTACTGCAATTTAAGTTTTAAATTGATTTGTGACACCTTTGAGTCAAAGTGTGCTGTGGAAATACAAGGTTTTGTTGTTATTGTTTGCTCAGTGTTCTTACCCATGGTAAAGGCAGTTAAGCAGCTAGCTGGGGAAAAAATGGGCCTGCTCAGCTCCAGCAGTGGGGCATCCAGGTTAAAGACAGAGAAAAGGTTCCCAGTAAACAACAAGTGCTGACATAGGCATAGCACTGGGCACAAAGTGACTGAAGGTGACCAGTCCCTGGTCTGAAGCTCCCAGATAACTGATGTCCCAGTGCTGTTAAATGGTGCTTCATTCTGCCACAGGTGTTGCAGTAATTCTGGGAGGTGCAAGAACATTCCTCTCTTGGTCGTAAAAAGGAATATACAGCACATGCCTTTGGGGAAATGTGCTGGGCTTAGGCCAGCTCAGTCAAAATACCCATTTCCCTTGGGTATTGATGTTGCTAGTGGTTGATGTGCTGTTCAGCTTCTATGTCTGGTGCAGCCAGATGAGTGATGTAGAAGGAGAAGTATCTGTGATTCCTTCCATCCTTCTGGTGCTTTCCCTTGTTAGATTTGAAGATTTTCTTATCATTGTATCTGGATTTTTGTAATAAAAACTCCAGCAGGCAATAGATCTACCTGAAAAACTTGGAGAAGAAACAGCCATGAAAACCAACCTTCTGCAAATTTTTTCAATTAGATGAGCAAAAAATACCCAAATGGGGAGTTCTCTCCAGCCTTTAAGTGCTGTTGAGCTGTACCCCAGCCAAAAGAATATCCTCTTCGGGCAGCCTGAGTGCTCTGTTCTTCCTTGCCTCTGACTGATGGGCAGGTGGAAGTTTTGGGAGAGAACAACCTGCTGGCAGGCAATGGGCCAGGTGTGAGTAACAGAACTCCATATCCTGACTTGCCTGGGGAATAGGGAAGCTGAATGCAAGTGGTGTGGATATTTTGGGGGGTTTTTTGGCGGTGTTTTTGGTTTTTTTTTTATTCTACAGGTGGGGCAAAACCTTTTTATAGCAGCCCACAAGATCAAAGCCCCACCAAAGGCTCCATTTTGAGTTCTGCCTGGATGTTGGCAAAGCTCACTGGTGTGGAGTGTGGAGAGCAGTTCTTCCCCATGTTGGGAGAGCAGGCTGCGAGTCCTTGAGCTCAGTGCAGCTGGAAGGACACGCTGCCTGTTCAGTCTGAACAGAGCCCATGTCCTTCCCCCACCTGCCTCAAGCATCTGGCTCCCTCTCCTCCACGGACCAGAAGATCCTCTAACGCTGCCTTTTTCGAGCTGGCTGCAGCTCTGCCCTGCTCATTAGGGAACCATGTGCATCTCCTGACAAATGACAGAAAAATTGAAAGCCACCACTTGCAGAAATTAGGAAGGGAGTCGCAGCCCCGCTGGCAAGCCCCCTTTTTGCCTTGTTAATTCATTTAACAGTTCAGCTGTCAGGGATGCTGGCTTTGATTGGGAAGGCAGTGAGTGTTCAGCGAGAGGCTGGGTACTGATATTCATCCCAGCCCGAAACGCAGCTGCTACCAGAGGTGCTGTTCTGCCCGACTGAAATTAAGACTCTGTTAGAGCAGCCACTATATCAAGAGCATTATTCTACCAGGTCGCTGTCACTGCCTGATTGTGTGGTGGGCTCTGGAGTTCTGGAGACTCCACTACCTGCATTTTAATTAAACAGAAATCACAGGTTTGGGGCAGCCGTGCTTCACCTAATTTGGGAAGGTGAATGAAATAAAAGGTGGCAATACAAATCCTGTGCTAACGAGCCTGCAGCCTTCGGTGCTTCTCCCATATACTGCAAAGATGTTTTGGATGAGAAATAATGGAACTCATCATTTCTTCCAGCAGCTGCTGCTGGAGTAGAATATGTGTGTGGAGAGAGGAGGTGGCAGAAGGGGTGAAGTGCTCCAAGAGGCACTAGCCTTTAAACAGGTTGTAAACCCATTTGTGTGAAGAGGGGAGTGATGTGTGTCATTATAACTGATGGTGACATTGGTGACCTTCAGAATTCACAAGAACTGATGGGGCTGGGTTGTTATTGTTGTTCTTTTTAATGATGATCTCTGAGAGTTGGTTCTATGATGGAAAAGGCAAGGAGTAAAAGGAGCTGGGAGACAGATCCCTTTCTTTACACATCCCCCATTGAAATGTCGCCTTTGTTGTACCATCATCTTTCAGAGAAAGTCTCCTGGCCTTCTCACTTTATTCCAAGTGAAGCTGTAGCTTGGAAAGGAACAGGAATGGGAGAAAGGGATGACTGCTTCTTACCTGTGTCTTGAAAAGCTGAATCTGCTTCTTGGTGCAAAGCTAGCAGACACCAAAGTAAATTTCTTCCTGTTATCTGCAATTATTTTCATCTGCCCTCCTGTCTGCAGCTCCACAGGTGTTCATGAACTTCACAAAATTCATTTTGTTCACCCGTAGCTGACACAGGGAGGGAAGATCTGCTCTGCCAGTAATGTCAGGGGAAGCACTTGGAGCTGCCTGACTATCTCCAGCATTTTGCAGTCAAGAAACAGAGACCATCTGGAAAGCTCCAAGACTAAAAATAGTGAATTAGGTTTGGGAAAGAGAAGGCTAAATTGAGGGAGGAAGCCCTGATAAGAACAAAGAATGCTTGTAAGGAAGCAAAGACTTGACTCCAGGTACTTGGTTCCCCTTCATAAACTGCTTCTAGCACAGAGCTCTTGTTCCTCATTACCTGGTTATCTGTGCTGGGGCAATGTCCCTCTGTCTCTTTGGTAATGGCAGAGAAGGTTGGCAGAACAAGGCTGCCTTGTCCTTGGGTGTTTTCATCTCTGCTGGCCTCGCTCTTTGATGTGTTCACTCAAAACACCCCACGTGGTGCCACCTCCCCATCGGAGGTTGCTTTCTGCAGAAGGGGGTCCCCCAGCACTACCTTGGGCAGCCCTTTCTCTTACAGCACAGCAGCTTTATCTCCTTCCCTGCCCCAAACACAGCAGAGGAGATGCTGTGCAGAGCAGTCCCCTGTGCCTCCTTGTTAACAGCCTGGGAGAGGAATGACAGCATTTCAGCGCATTAGAGCTGGCAGCTTCAATCAGCTGCCGTGGCCCCGTGG